GAGACGCGTCATCGCCCCGCCTCTTGTTAAAGCACGCATGCGCCGCACTCAGAAAATAATGACAACAACAATGTAGCTTGTTGGTTTTGTAATCCAGTGTGACCCGAAGCAACAGTTCAACCTCATCGTCCGCCCATACTAATGTAGTACCAGCTCGCCCACTCGCCATGTTGTCTGTTTACAAAATTCTGCGCATGCCCAGTTCCCGTCACGGAAGTTTGGGCTTGATCCCGTCATTGCGTCACAGCGCCACCAACAGGTCTGGCATAGTTTCACAGCGTTTTCAGGCATATTGACTACATTCATATGGACGCACACATTTACTGAGCTAACTCCGTGTTTACAGAAAAAGTTTCTGAAATTATAAGCGTTATGTCTTCGTGTGGATATAGCCTTATGCCGTGTTCAGACCGATCGCGATGGAGGAGTCAGGGGCGAGTGATTTACATGTTATGTCTATGGCCGGGTGCGCTCAGGAGCGAATGACAGGCCGGCGGTGCGAATGACGAGAGTAGAGCGAGGCGAACAGGGCGTTTTGAACGAAAAGAGCGGAACGAAAGTGGCGAAAGGGGCGTTTGACGCGCGCCTAGAGCCATTTCGCCTCCACCGCCCTACTCGCTCGAGTTGAAAAATCTGAACTTTTTGGTCAATTCGCGGGGCGTTGACCAATCAGGGACTGAATCGAGCAGTGACGTAGTATTGAACCGCGGCGGAGACGAAGCATCTTTTCATTCAACATGGAGGACTCACTGATCGTAGCTGTGTGCCAGCGGCCCGAGTTGTATGACACCAGCAACTATCACTACAGAGACAGGGATAGAAAGGAGCTAGCGTGGAGAAGGGTCAGCGAGGAGACGGGGGTGCCAGGTAATTTTTTTATTTTTATATATATAATTTTCACTCTACTAGCGTAGCGCTAGTATCCCGCGCAAAATGTGTCGCTATTTACGAGTGTCTTATTTCGTTTCGTATTCTCTAAATTAAGTTACTTTTGGACATGCAAATGTTTTATATTGTATTATGTGCAGTATTGAAATGAGCATGTCACGTTTTAATGCAAATTTAATTTGCATTCGCAATTTCGTTTAATTGGGGAGAAGCATCACAGTCAAAAGTGGAAGATAAATCACAAACATAAGCCAATTTATATTTATATCCTATACATTTTCAGAGAGTGCGTGCAAGAAAAAATGGAAAGGTCTGCGGGACACATATCTGAAGGAGAGGAGGAAGGAGTTGGACAGGAGGAGTGGGTCAGCAGCAGGGGCGGTGCGGAGGTGGAGGTTCTCTGCTGTCCTTGCTTTCCTGGACCCATATGTCACCCCTCGTGCCACCACCAGCAACATGGGCCAGGTGGAGGAGGCAGCAGAGGACCTCCCAGAAGAGCCCACCCAGGACCAGGAGGCATCAGAGACTGAAGGTATGCAGCAAAATCTTTCATGAGAAATGTACACCGTAAAGTATGACTAATTTCATATTTGACTGTCATGACAGAGCAATACGATGATGGGAGCAGGCCAGGATCCCCACTGGAGGAAGATCCTGTCCCTGTCCCATCCAGGTCTCCAGTCCCTGGTCCTTCAACCCCTGCTGCTGCTGCACCAACACCCACTCCCATAGGTGTGTACAGGTTACAGTACCAAAAAAAAAAACACACATGCAATAGGCTATACATTAACACACCAACACATGATATTGTAATATACTGTATATATATATATATATGTGTGTGAGTATTTTGACATTGAAGTCTTGTTCCAATTTAATTAGTTACTGTTTTGTTTTTTTCAGGAAAAAGGAGGCGGCCACAACCCCGGGCAGAGCCAACGGCGGTGGAGCAGGCCATTTTATTCGCCCTGAAAGAGCGCCCTGTCCCTCCACCAACGGCCACCCGGGAGTTTAGCCACATAGAGTATTACCTCCTGAGTCTTGCTCCTTCCCTGGAGAGACTGTCCTTCTATGACCTAGAGGTCATAAAAACAAAAATAAATAAAGTCATATTTGACAATTGCACTGTTGTGCTCAATTTGGAACATTCGGCCCAATAGATTTTAAATAAAAGTTTATAGATGTTGGCAGTTTCTCCAGGGAAGGACCAGTTCTCCTTCCTCCTCTCCTAGTTGTTCATTGTTGAAGTGTTCCTTTCTATCCCTGTCTCTCGTCATACAAGTCAGGCCGCAATATTATTTATTTTTGTATTTTTATTTTATTTTTTATAAATAAATCTAGAAAATGTCATTCTACTTGTCTTCTTGCATGCAAACATTTTATATCTAATATATTTCATACATTCATTGTAATATCACAATATGACTCAATCATGCATCTGCAAACCAGGTACATTTATGCATTGGTTGTAATTTATTGTGGCAGACTGAAATACAAGGTTTTCCTTTGGGGCTTGTCTCAAGACATTGTAGTAAAACCATCCCAGCATATACAAAATGATCCCTCCCCCTGAAGAGGACCATGATATAGTTTAACATATTTTAAACCAGGGGTGTGCTTGTAATTTTCAGAGGGGCCACATAAGTAACCGGAATTGAGTTGGAGGGACATGAAAGTCGCTTAAAAAAATATTGCATACACACACAAAAAAAAACCCACAACATTAACAAAGGGACAGATATCATAAGATCCTCCTTTCTATTCAAAATCAGGTGTTTATCTTTTTCCAGAATGTCCACTTGAGTTCATGTCCTGTCGAATATCTGCAAAAAGAAATAATGACAAAAAGACAAACATTCATAAGCGATTGTATTAAATCCACAGCATTTATAGGTATTAATTGAATAACTCACTGATTGGAGAGGAATGATGTGATGGATGTGAACTGCAGCTGCCTTGGAGGTAAAATCAGTTGGGACATAACATGAGCTTTAATTCACAGAATGTGCGTTGAGTTTGGATGAAGTCCCTGCAAACACAAAGAAAAACATAACAAAAAATACAGTCCACAGTTCATTTTGTTGCAATATAGTTACATTAAAACAGTAGAATGTACAATAGGGCTGAAGTTTTGAAATAAGCTCTTTATGTTTGTGGGTGGCTTTTAAAAAAGCCGTTGTTAGTCCTGAGAAGGACTGGTGGAAATCATTCTGTGGGCTGCCATGATACTGCTCCCTCTGCCATGAAGTACTCTTTGAAAGCATCCCTCACGCGTCTTGCCTCTGTGGAAGAGTTGTTGGCAGCTACCCGGCCCAAACCTTGCAGTGGTACCTCTTCTGCTGCTGCACCCCTCACAGCAGGTGCCTCAGCTCCCACAGAAGCCCGCATGAAATTGTGAAGCACACATGTCGCCTTCACACACTGCTCCACCACTTCAGGACGCACCTCAATGATGCGTCGGTACCACCTCCACTGTGCGGTCAGGATGCCAAAGGCGTCCTCCACAACAAGGCGGGCCCGGGAGAGGCGGTAATTAAAGACGCGTTCCTCCGGGGGAAGGCCACCACGTCCGCGTCCAGGGAAAGGTCGCATCATGTTCCTCCTCAGCGGGAACGCCTCATCAGCCACAAATACATGAGGCTGAGGTCCTCTGTGCTCAGCATCAGGCAGGTGTTGGTCAGCAGGCAGATGGAGTGTGCCAGCCCGCAGACCCTGACCAAAAGCTGAATTGGACAGAATGCCGCCATCACTGGTCCTCCCATACCCCCCAACATCGATCACCCGGAACCGGTACCGAGCGTCCACAACAGCCAGGAGGACAATAGAGAAATCCCCCTGGTAGTTGAAGAACTGGGATCCTGAGTTGGGGGGCGCTGCAATCCGGACGTGCTTGCCGTCCACTGCTCCACAGCACAGAGGGAAGTTCCATCGGTCTTGGAACTCTGCAGCGATGGACAGCCAGTCTTCAGTGGAGGGCACAGCCATAAACTCCTCCACAAGACAGTGCCAGATAGCAGCCACCACCTGAGGGACAATGCCGCTGACAGTGGAGACACCTACCCGGAAACTGTATGCGATAGTCCTGTAGGAGTCCCCAGTGGCAAGATATCTATAAAAAAAGAAAAACACAGGGCAAAATTATTAACTCTACTAAAGGATATTGATTTTGTTGCCAAGTTATACTACTTACTTGTAATTTACTTTAAATAAAGTATTTAAAATGATTTTATCAACCATTACTAATGCAATATCATAATTAAGGCCCTTCTGCAAACCCAGGTAATGTGGTACTACACAAGAAACACTAGATAGCGCTATTTGGCTGTTTATTGCAATTTTCTTAATCACAGTCGGTTGCAACATTTAGTTATCTAACCTAATGGACTATTAATTATCTAACCCCCACCTGAAACGAGCTTATCGTGTCTAGTTTGGCATAACTAACTGATTAGTTTGGCATAAATCTAAAAGCTAAACAGTGGCACAATGGCTTTACATGTAAAGTACTTGGATTATAACATTTGGAATCTTATTTATTGAGAACCGCTTGATTTACTAACCGAAGACAGATGGACAGGCGCTCTGCAGGGGAGATAGAGCGCCTGTAGTTGGTCTCCCGGACGGTGATCCGAGCCCCAACGCGGGACAGCAGGTCCTCAAACTGGGTCCTGGACACACGGAAATACCGCTGGAATCGACCGTCATCCAGGCGCAGCTCCTGGAGCAGATGGTGGTACTCCCCATATTGGGAGCGTCTCTGGAGGATATCGTGGACCCAGAGACGGCGTCGCTGCCGCCGCTGTTCGGCTTTCCACATTAAATAGAGTATAGTGACTCGTTCCAGAAAATCAAAGCCCGCCATGCTGAGTTGAACAACAACCGGAACCGGCAACTGGCCATAAGCTCCTCCTATTGGATGACGCGGCGAGGCGAAATCAAGACGAAAATCCTCAGGCGAACAGAGCGAGTAATCGCCGCGATAGAAGCGAGTGTCATCAAATATTCAAGCGAAAAACGCCTGGCGTTTGATGCGATTTTTTCGCCTCCATCGCGATCGGTCTGAACACGGCTTTAGAGTTTGTGAAATGCTAATCTGGGAGAAACACACTCACTTTGTATCCCAACACTGCAGACTCGTTGTGGAAAGCGACGACCGGGTCCCACCTCAGCGACAGAGACGAGCTTTGGGTTTTCCAGGAAACATTTGCAGGAGGACGATTGGGAGCTGAGGAGAAAGTCGAGATTTATTATTCAGATGTTTACGTTATTATATATCTATTTTCATTTGTGTAAGATCTGAGTCGTACAAAGAATATTCAAAACAATGGAAGGACGCTCACCCTTCGTCTGTACTTCAGTTAGCATCATCTGTACTTCAGTTAGCATCATCTGTACTTCAGTTAGCATCATCTGTACTTCAGTTAGCATCATCTGTACTTCAGTTAGCATCATCTGTACTTCAGTTAGCATCATCTGTACTTCAGTTAGCATCATCTGTACTTCAGTTAGCATCATCTGTACTTCAGTTAGCATCATCTGTACTTCAGTTAGCATCATCTGTACTTCAGTTAGCATCATCTGTACTTCAGTTAGCATCATCTGTACTTCAGTTAGCATCCTCTGTGCTTCAGTTAGCATCCTCTGTGCTTCAGTTAGCATCATCTGTACTTCAGTTAGCATCATCTGTGCTTCAGTTAGCATCATCTGTACTTCAGTTAGCATCCTCTGTACTTCAGTTAGCATCATCTGTACTTCAGTTAGCATCCTCTATACTTCAGTTAGCATCATCTGTACTTCAGTTAGCATCATCTGTGCTTCAGTTAGCATCATCAGTTAGCATCCTCTGTGCTTCAGTTAGCATCCTCTGTGCTTCAGTTAGCATCATCTGTACTTCAGTTAGCATCATCTGTACTTCAGTTAGCATCATCTGTACTTCAGTTAGCATCATCTGTACTTCAGTTAGCATCCTCTGTACTTCAGTTAGCATCATCTGTACTTCAGTTAGCATCATCTGTGCTTCAGTTAGCATCATCAGTTAGCATCATCTGTACTTCAGTTAGCATCATCAGTTAGCATCATCTGTACTTCAGTTAGCATCATCTGCAGTTCAGTTAGCATCATCTGTACTTCAGTTAGCATCATCTGTAGTTCAGTTAGCATCATCTGTAGTTCAGTTAGCATCATCTGTGCTTCAGTTAGCATCATCTGTACTTCAGTTAGCATCATCTGTGCTTCAGTTAGCATCATCTGTGCTTCAGTTAGCATCATCTGTACTTCAGTTAGCATCATCTGTACTTCAGTTAGCATCATCTGTACTTCAGTTAGCATCATCTGTACTTCAGTTAGCATCATCTGTGCTTCAGTTAGCATCATCTGTGCTTCAGTTAGCATCATCTGTACTTCAGTTAGCATCATCTGTACTTCAGTTAGCATCATCTGTGCTTCAGTTAGCATCATCTGTACTTCAGTTAGCATCCTCTGTACTTCAGTTAGCATCATCTGTACTTCAGTTAGCATCATCTGTACTTCAGTTAGCATCATCTGTACTTCAGTTAGCATCCTCTGTGCTTCAGTTAGCATCATCTGTACTTCAGTTAGCATCATCTGTACTTCAGTTAGCATCATCTGTGCTTCAGTTAGCATCATCTGTAGTTCAGTTAGCATCATCTGTGCTTCAGTTAGCATCATCTGTACTTCAGTTAGCATCATCTGTACTTCAGTTAGCATCATCTGTACTTCAGTTAGCATCATCTGTACTTCAGTTAGCATCCTCTGTGCTTCAGTTAGCATCATCTGTACTTCAGTTAGCATCATCTGTACTTCAGTTAGCATCATCTGTACTTCAGTTAGCATCATCTGTACTTCAGTTAGCATCATCTGTACTTCAGTTAGCATCATCTGTACTTCAGTTAGCATCATCTGTGCTTCAGTTAGCATCATCTGTGCTTCAGTTAGCATCATCTGTACTTCAGTTAGCATCATATGTGCTTCAGTTAGCATCATCTGTAGTTCAGTTAGCATCATCTGTACTTCAGTTAGCATCATCTGTACTTCAGTTAGCATCATCTGTACTTCAGTTAGCATCCTCTGTACTTCAGTTAGCATCCTCTGTACTTCAGTTAGCATCCTCTGTACTTCAGTTAGCATCATCTGTACTTCAGTTAGCATCATCTGTACTTCAGTTAGCATCCTCTGTACTTCAGTTAGCATCCTCTATACTTCAGTTAGCATCCTCTGTACTTCAGTTAGCATCCTCTGTACTTCAGTTAGCATCCTCTGTACTTCAGTTAGCATCATCTGTAGTTCAGTTAGCATCATCTGTAGTTCAGTTAGCATCATCTGTACTTCAGTTAGCATCATCTGTACTTCAGTTAGCATCATCTGTAGTTCAGTTAGCATCATCTGTAGTTCAGTTAGCATCCTCTGTACTTCAGTTAGCATCATCTGTACTTCAGTTAGCATCCTCTGTACTTCAGTTAGCATCCTCTGTACTTCAGTTAGCATCCTCTGTACTTCAGTTAGCATCCTCTGTACTTCAGTTAGCATCATCTGTACTTCAGTTAGCATCATCTGTACTTCAGTTAGCATCATCTGTACTTCAGTTAGCATCATCTGTACTTCAGTTAGCATCATCTGTACTTCAGTTAGCATCATCTGTAGTTCAGTTAGCATCATCTGTACTTCAGTTAGCATCATCTGTACTTCAGTTAGCATCATCTGTAGTTCAGTTAGCATCCTCTGTACTTCAGTTAGCATCATCTGTACTTCAGTTAGCATCCTCTGTACTTCAGTTAGCATCATCTGTACTTCAGTTAGCATCATCTGTACTTCAGTTAGCATCTCTGTACTTCAGTTAGCATCATCTGTACTTCAGTTAGCATCATCTGTACTTCAGTTAGCATCATCTGTACTTCAGTTAGCATCATCTGTGCTTCAGTTAGCATCCTCTGTACTTCAGTTAGCATCCTCTGTACTTCAGTTAGCATCATCTGTACTTCAGTTAGCATCATATGTACTTCAGTTAGCATCATCTGTACTTCAGTTAGCATCATCTGTACTTCAGTTAGCATCCTCTGTACTTCAGTTAGCATCATCTGTGCTTCAGTTAGCATCCTCTGTACTTCAGTTAGCATCATCTGTACTTCAGTTAGCATCATCTGTACTTCAGTTAGCATCCTCTGTACTTCAGTTAGCATCATCTGTACTTCAGTTAGCATCATCTGTACTTCAGTTAGCATCATCTGTACTTCAGTTAGCATCATCTGTACTTCAGTTAGCATCATCTGTACTTCAGTTAGCATCCTCTGTACTTCAGTTATCTCTTACTTCAGTACATCTGTACTTCAGTTAGCATCATCTGTACTTCAGTTAGCATCATCTGTACTTCAGTTAGCATCATCTGTACTTCAGTTAGCATCATCTGTACTTCAGTTAGCATCATCTGTACTTCAGTTAGCATCATCTGCTTCAGTTAGCATCATCTGTACTTCAGTTAGCATCATCTGTACTTCAGTTAGCATCATCTGTACTTCAGTTAGCATCATCTGTACTTCAGTTAGCATCATCTGTACTTCAGTTAGCATCATCTGTACTTCAGTTAGCATCATCTGTACTTCAGTTAGCATCATCTGTACTTCAGTTAGCATCATCTGTACTTCAGTTAGCATCATCTGTACTTCAGTTAGCATCATCTGTACTTCAGTTAGCATCATCTGTACTTCAGTTAGCATCATCTGTACTTCAGTTAGCATCATCTGTACTTCAGTTAGCATCATCTGTACTTCAGTTAGGCATCATCTGTACTTCAGTTAGCATCATCTGTACTTCAGTTAGCATCATCTGTACTTCAGTTAGCATCATCTGTACTTCAGTTAGCATCATCTGTGCTTCAGTTAGCATCATCTGTACTTCAGTTAGCATCATCTGTACTTCAGTTAGCATCATCTGTACTTCAGTTAGCATCATCTGTAGTTCAGTTAGCATCATCTGTACTTCAGTTAGCATCATCTGTACTTCAGTTAGCATCATCTGTACTTCAGTTAGCATCATCTGTACTTCAGTTAGCATCATCTGTACTTCAGTTAGCATCATCTGTACTTCAGTTAGCATCATCTGTACTTCAGTTAGCATCATCTGTACTTCAGTTAGCATCATCTGTACTTCAGTTAGCATCATCTGTAGTTCAGTTAGCATCATCTGTACTTCAGTTAGCATCATCTGTACTTCAGTTAGCATCATCTGTACTTCAGTTAGCATCATCTGTACTTCAGTTAGCATCATCTGTACTTCAGTTAGCATCATCTGTACTTCAGTTAGCATCATCTGTACTTCAGTTAGCATCATCTGTACTTCAGTTAGCATCATCTGTACTTCAGTTAGCATCATCTGTACTTCAGTTAGCATCATCTGTACTTCAGTTAGCATCATCTGTACTTCAGTTAGCATCATCTGTACTTCAGTTAGCATCATCTGTACTTCAGTTAGCATCATCTGTGCTTCAGTTAGCATCATCTGTGCTTCAGTTAGCATCATCTGTACTTCAGTTACATCATCTGTACTTCAGTTAGCATCATCTGTACTTCAGTTAGCATCATCTGTACTTCAGTTAGCATCATCTGTACTTCAGTTAGCATCATCTGTACTTCAGTTAGCATCATCTGTTTCAGTTAGCATCATCTGTACTTCAGTTAGCATCATCTGTACTTCAGTTAGCATCATCTGTACTTCAGTTAGCATCATCTGTACTTCAGTTAGCATCATCTGTACTTCAGTTAGCATCATCTGTACTTCAGTTAGCATCATCTGTACTTCAGTTAGCATCATCTGTACTTCAGTTAGCATCATCTGTACTTCAGTTAGCATCATCTGTACTTCAGTTAGCATCATCTGTACTTCAGTTAGCATCATCTGTCTTCAGTTAGCATCATCTGTACTTCAGTTAGCATCATCTGTACTTCAGTTAGCATCATCTGTATTCAGTTGCATCATCTGTACTTCAGTTAGCATCATCTGTACTTCAGTTAGCATCATCTGTACTTCAGTTAGCATCATCTGTACTTCAGTTAGCATCATCTGTACTTCAGTTAGCATCATCTGTACTTCAGTTAGCATCATCTGTACTTCAGTTAGCATCATCTGTACTTCAGTTAGCATCATCTGTGCTTCAGTTAGCATCATCTGTACTTCAGTTAGCATCATCTGTACTTCAGTTAGCATCATCTGTACTTCAGTTAGCATCCTCTGTACTTCAGTTAGCATCCTCTGTGCTTCAGTTAGCATCATCTTCAGGGCGGAAGCGGACCCCTCCGCTGCGCGTCGGGGTCCGCTTCGCCCTGTCGGTACTTATTTTCCGATAATGACCTGTAGGCTATACATTATCCCTTACATAATCCAGTGCCATGGCTTTAGCAGTGTCTGCAGGCAGAGGAGTGAGCAGCACAACACATATCAGGTTAAATCTTGTTGAAGCTTTTATTTACAGCCTGCTAGCTCAGGAAGAGTCAGACCAGGATCATTTTTCTGCCTGTGTGAAGCCAGTGGGTTTTTCTGCTGATAAGAATCATCCCGTTTTGCCTGCGGCGCGGGGGGAGGCCGCACTTCTGTCACACTCGTCTAGACCTGGACTAATCCCTTCATTCAGGTCCACAGTTTAATCTGAACATGGCGCCATCTACTGGACAGTCAAATAGAATATGTGCATGTTGTCGTTATCAGTGTATATCAGGGGTCTCCAACCTTTTTCAATCAGAGAGCTACTTTTATACAAACAAACAGGCAGAGAGCTACTCCTTTTTGCAGTTGTAATAAAAGTCGATCTAATAATTACGACCCAACTCAGGGAACACATATAAAATACACATAATACTGTATAACCCTATATTTATACTTATAATAGATATGTAATGGGTCAAAAAGTATTGTTTGAAGTGTATTTGTTCAATTCTAATTTCTTTGGCGAGCTACCTGTAAGGGGCTGGCGAGCTACTGGTGGCTCCCGAGCTACAGGTTGGAGACCCCTGGTGTATATTATAGATTGGGTGCCATCTTCCTGTGGACCCACCACTATTACTAATACAACTATTAAAGGGGTAGAAAATGCCATGTGTATTTTTGTATGATTTTGTCCTTTGTATTAGTGATGTGCGATTCGTGAACGAATCGTTCAAAACTCGAGATTCACTTTACTGACTCGGGAGTCGTGATTCCCCGCCTCCATTAACTCGTTCACTAACTCGTCCGCCCACCACTTTCTAAACTGCGACCCCCAGACTGCGTTTTCTACTAGCCACAATGAATCACACTCTAATATTACGTGTGTGACTGTGTGTGTGTGTGTACTGTAGCTCGTTTGAGCACAGAAACCAAAAGCTTATTGTTTACAACCATCTACAGTACTTCACCGTAACGTCCTCCTTCCTGCCCGCGCCGTACGAGCCGTACGAGCAGTGAACGACTCACTGTGGTTCTGGATCAGCCCCTTCCCGCTCCCCTTCGAGTCGTTCAGCTCTGAACGAATCGTTCATCTGATCTGACTCACTCACTCAGCATCAAGCGAGTCGAAACAACAGGACAGGACACCGACTCGTCTCGTAACTCTCGTTCTCTAACTGGGTTGAAAAAAGTAGTTTCTTTTGCCCCATCTGACAAAAAATAATAACCCTCTACATGTATTATGTGAGGTAGATTGAAAAATATAATTGGCTATTTATTAAGTTATTTGTTCAGCTGTGTTTCTCTCGTCGGACAACAGGAGTTCCGCCTCGAACATTATTGGCGTTACAATGATTGTCATCAATAAAAAATGAATGTGTGAAAAATATCAATGTTGTTTGTATTTATTATTTATATAATATAATTGTTATTGTTATGTTTTTTTTTTTACCAGGAATGTAGGTTTTAACACGGAATACATTTATGTAACACCACACATATAATACACATTGTATTTCTTGTATTGTGACAGCCCCTCGCTTGGAATGTTGTTGCTGCTTTGTTCACAATTTTACTGTTGAATTGTTAAATTTAAAGAGTTTATATTTTGTCAAATTAGTTTACATATTTGTTATTGTTACCATTTATCAAATTTTAATAAATGTTTTGATTGTAAATTGCCATTTTAGCATTATTTTGTGTTCATGTATGTTTTTTTCTGAACAACTGAATCACTGAATCAAATGACTCAAAACACCCGATTTACTTTGGTGAGTGATTCACTTTAACTCGAGTCAGTAAAATGAATCAAACTTTACATCACTACTTTGTATAAATATTACACTGGGTAACAAAAAAATAGTTTTTGAAAATAGTCCAGGGTTTTCCAGCTGAATCAGACTAATGTTGATGCTCTGAGTCTGAAAATGACCTTGGTTTTGCTCAATCAGGTCAGGATTTTTTGCTACAGAAATATTTCTTTTAATCGATTTTGCGTAAAAAAAACAAATTTCTGCAGATCATCAGCTGAGACACCATTGACGTTTTTTCCGTTTTCCTCAAGAAATAAAAGTCAACGTATCCAAAGTCATTCAGTTTTTATTTACTCCATCAAATTTGATAAGCAGAATTCATAATAACGTAGACGTACATAATCCGTAACACTATGGCTGTATCTCATACAGTTGACCTGATAGAGCAACATGCATGTGATATTCAGACTCAGAACACCAACATTAGTCTGAATCAGTTGAGAAACCCCTGAACATTTTTTGGCTGTCAACTTGTGTTATTCAAGGTCCCTGTTAGTTAGTGTTGTTTGCATTAATAGTAATAAAGACGTTTATTAAAAGAAAATAACAAAAACATTTACCACTCAGGGGAGAAAACAACGTAACAGATTTGACCCTATTATCACTTTAATAGAATACTTAGAATAGAATAGATTATGTGCATGTTGTCATTGTTAGTGTATATCATAGATTGGCAGATTGAAAGACCCGGCAACGGATGAAGCGGAAGAAAATGGATGGATGGATGTATTCCGAATACTTAGAATACTTTTATTAATGCTTTGAATGACTATTTTTGTTTTATTCATGTATTTTATAAAAGGGTACATTTCAAAATATTTAAAACCACAACCTCAAAAAAAATGTAAATTAAAAATCTTAAAATATTTTATAATTTATTGTTTATTTTTGTAAGATTCTTTTTTACTAGTTTTAAAATAATAACATTTCACAATCTCATTGGAGAAAAAAATCTGAGCAGTGAGCTGGATTCGTCTGCATATCTGGCAACCTGGGTCAGGGAGAGGCTGCAGTACCACTTTTGGCCACATTTTTACATACTGCTCTTTTAAGCAGCATTTTACTTTTAGCGTCTGGTGCATGTGAGACGTACGTGGTTTCCTGGTGGTGACGGTGGTTCGAGGAGACAGGGGTCCGGTCCCGGCGCTGTTGTACGCCAGAACAGCCACATGGTACCGGGTGCTGGGCCTGAGACCGGGGACTCTGGCGAAAGACTGTTGTCCCACGATCCGCACTCGGTCTGCGGCTGCCTCCCGCTCGTGCTGCCTCCAGTACCGGATCTGAGCACACAGCAGACAACAGACGCTCAAAAATCCATAAAAAGGGATTCAGTAACAACAGTTGTCAGAGAAGGAGGTCAAGTAGGGTGTGTTTAAAGAGGATGGACTTTAGGCAAGGCAAGGCAAGGCAAGTTTAATTGTATAGCACAATTCATACACAAGGCAATTCAAAGTGCTGAACAAAACAAGAAAGCATTAAAATCATAAATAATCACAGAACATTAAAAAGAAAGATAAAAATATAAAATCCCTCAGTTGTAGCACAGCTAAACAGAACCGTTTTTAACCTGGTTCTAAACATTGTCAGAGAGGAGGCCTGTCTCACATCTTCAGGAAGATTATTCCAGATTTTAGCAGCATGAATCTGAAAAGCAGCCTCCCCATGTTTAGTTCTGACTCTGGGCACTAACAGGAGTCCAGTCCCTGTGCTCCTCAGAGTCCGGGCTGGTTCATATGGGACTAACATGTCACTAATGTGGTTTTTAAAAATTATCCCGAGCTTTGTCCATTGGAGGAAAGAGTTCAAATTATTTAAAAAAATGCTCATTCTTATCATTACAAATAACTCCATAAAACCTTTTGCTTTTGCTAATAAGTGCCCGTTACATGCAGCTGGCTCATGCCCACTTTCTATTTTATTGATGTTTACTTCATATATTTGTATCAATCAATCAATCAATCCTTTATTATCTCACAGATGGAGAAATTCAGTTCGATGAATAAACATCAAGACTGGCTGCGTACTCTATTTACATATTTTCGCGCTCCTTATGACAGTTATTCAACAAAACAAACATATATTTCAACGGACATTCTTGGAGAGACACAGTGCATGCGGAAAACATGCGGATCTTTTTAAAGGGACATTATCACTCTGACCCGCCTCGTCCAATATGGCGTGTCAGTGGGAAGGAGAGGTGGGGGGGAAGATCACCATAGACTGAAGAGAGAGAGAGGCAGATATGTAGAAGGGAGAGGGGAGTCCCACAACTAGTAACTGAACTGGGAGAGAGTCCATCTAGTGGCTCAGTTGGTAGAGCATTAGTGGATCTATTGTATTATTTACATAATAAAGACGTTTATTAAAAACAAAAACGTGAAGCATTTAGGAGAAAACATGGTAAAGACCACATATGACCTTGATCTTGTTACCACTCTAACGGACTGTCCTCACCTCGTATCCTCGGAGGATTCCATTTGCACTGAGCGGCTGCACAGGATCCCATGAAACCAGGACCTCGAAAGCTGTGAGTGCAGTGGCATTAATGCTCTGAGGACCCACGGTCGGAGCTGAGGACGACAGAAGACGTGAAGGTGACGGCTCTTTCCACAAACGTCTGATATTTATTATAACCTTATCAAGAACTATCTATAATCAGTAACCTGTTTGAAGTTACTTTTTCAAACCCACTTTGATCGAATGGCTTTCCCCTGACTGTTTTCAAAGTTGGGGAGAATACTTTGAAAATGTATTCAGTTCCAGAATACTCAGTACAAGACCTAAAATTTATTTTGTAACGTATTCTGTTACTTTGGAAAAAGTATTACCTATATTTTAAATACAGAACTCCCCCACAACCTGGCAACGGACGAAGTGGAAGAAAAAGGATGGATGGATGTATTCCGGAATGGTTGGAATACTTTTAATCATACTTTGAATTTTTTGTGTTATTTATGTATTTTATTTATTAATTACAAAACTTAAAAATGTACATTTCAAAATATTTAAAACCACAACCTCAATAAATGTTTAAATAAATAAAAAAATGAAATTATTTCATAATGTGTTTATTTTTGTAAAATTATTTTTTACTAGTTTTAAAATAATAATATTTCACAATCTTATTGGAGAAAAAAGTCTGAGCAGTGAGCTGGATTCGTCTGCATATCTGGCAACCTGAGTCAGGGAGAGGCTGCAGTACCACTTTTGGCCACATTTTTACATACGGTTCCTGTCATTGACTGACATTGACGTATTTGTCTGAGGCCCTCTATTCAACTGTGGATTACAGGACAACAAAAAGAGCTAGAAACAAAGTTATTTTTGCTGATGAAAGTAGACAGTCCAGTCTTTCAGAATCGGGTTTCATATTACACATAGTCTTAGAATATAATATTCTGTGGGTCTTGAGAATCAGTGAAATCATCAAAAACGGCTGACAGTCAATGAGTTTTTAAGCAGCATTTTACTTTATTTTTCCCCACAGGATTTTCTCCAGTGTGTAATCCTGAGAAGCAGCCCCCACTCACCCTCCTCTGCAGAGTACACCACTGCGATCTGACTGAAGGGCCCCTCCCCTCGCTGGTTGAAGGCCTTGATCTTGACGTCGAAGGGACTGTACGGCTCCTGGCTGCTGTTGACGTAGACGTATCGAGACGACTCCACGTCAGGAACCCGCACCAGATTCCACGGTGACGGTGAATCCTTCTCCTTCACAGCCAACACGTACCCAAAACCGTTGCCGTTTTGATATTCTCGTGCCATGCGCTACAAAGCAAACGGCAAAAGACAAGTCACTGCTTTGACACATTTTGACTGATTGACCGGTGGTTATGACTCATTTCATTGTTTGCTTTTAATCACTGCAAAAAGCACATTTTGACAGAGCGTTGGAACAAGATTTGCTGATGGGAGAAAGAAAAAATACATACAAAAAAGTCTCCCTTGGAATGAGGAAATAAAGCTGAATTCTTGAAATAAGACTAAATAGCTTTGTCCCATTGTGGCGCCCCCACTCTCAAAAATAACAATTGTAAACCGCTTTGAGACTCCGATGTGCAGTGAAAAGGCGGTATATAAATAAAGATTACTTACTACTTACTTACTACTACTTACAATGGAGAATATTGTTATCAGACAGTCAACATGCACACAGGACCTTTAAGGACTGCACACAGGACCTTTAAGGATCTTTAAGGACCCTTAATGCCTAGCGTACATCGGACTGGCAACTGATTATATCCGTTGCATATGAGTTGCTGCCCCGCACACATCGATAATCTGGTGAAAATGGGCAACTCCAGTATCAGGCAAGTCTGGGGAATAACAGCACGTACAACAACAGCAACTGGCCTCAACTACAGTGTGTTTTCTGACATAAACGCATCAAAAACATGTGAACTGGTCTACAACTTCAGTCGCAACAGTTCTCATTTGCCTGTCGTAATCGACAACTCCCAGGTGCAGATCGTAGAGGAGTGCAAGTTTCTGGGTTTAACTCTGTCTAACCTGAAATGGGTTAAAAACACTGACCGAGTCGTTAAGAAAGCTCGTCAGCGTCTCTACTTTCTGCGTAAACTTAGAGAATTTACCACTAACTCTAAGATTGTGCTTAACTTTTATGGCTGCACCATTGAGAGTTTACTTGTTGGTTCTGTGTCTGTGTGGTTTGGAAACATCACAAATAAAGAAAAGAGAGCTTTAAACAAGGTGCTCCACTCTGCAAAGAGGACCGTGGGCTGTGAGCTTCCTGTTCTGGAGGTTCTGTCATGGTGTGGGTTTTATTTTTATATTTTAGTTTTATTTTGACATTGTTCTCTGTGGTTTGGTTTTAGTTGTACTTCCTGTCCTGTTTGCCCTTGTCTTGATTGTCTGCCCCGCCCTGATGTGTTTCACCTGTGTCTGTGTCTATGTACCCTGTGCTTCTCTCCCCTTGTTGATGGTCCATTGTATTGTCTTGTCCATGTCTGTTTTGTTCCTGTCTCCTGGATTTTGAGTTTTAACCTGGACTTTTATTTTAATAAATAATTATTTTCGGCATTCCTGCATTTTGAGTCCTCCATCAAATCACCACGTAACAGGTTCTTTATAAATCCAGACTTTTAAACAAAGCTCTTAGGATTGTTAATGACTCTTCTGGCCACCCTGGGAAAGCCATGTTCCAGCTTCTTCCCTCTGGCAGAAGATATCGCTCTCTGAGATGCAGGACATCTCGTTACGCTAACAGTTTTTATCCACAGGCTGTTATCAGTGTGAACAGAGCACTTTAATGATTTGCACTTGTTTTGAAACTGTTTTAGTCGATCGTTTTCACAGTGACATTTGTTTACTGTTTTATTTGTTTTATTTTTGTCATTTAATGTTGTTTTGTGTCTGTATTTGTCTGTGCACACTGGAGACTTTTGCTAATGTATTCCAATGTGGGTTTTTTTACTGCAAATGGCAAATAAACTGAATCTGAATCTGAACTGTAGAGGGCGCAATACACACATGTTGTTGGAGCACATCGGGTGATATCTCAGGATCTGAGGACGACTAAAAGTAGAACACGGACAACTGACTGAATCCGGAGATCGACTGTTTATCTCCAGTTGTAAGAGCGCTCACATCGACCGATTTCAACTGATCATCTCCATCATCTACTCTCAGTCGCCAAAAGGCGCCTTGAAACTAGTTGTCTCCAGTTACTCTGTCGATGTACGCTAGGCTTTGGGACATTTATGGACATCATCCCGCTCCCCATGAAATTTGTTCTGATTTTGACTTTAGCAACTAGCAATTAGATATGAACAAACAATAAATACCATACATTTGTGTCAACTGTTGTATTAGGGAATGCAATAATAATAACCATAATGATAATGATGACGATGATGAAGATGATGATGATGAAGATGCAACGATCACTCACCGTCCAGGTAATTATCAGCTCACCACGATCCCCGCCTCCTCCTCCAAGACCACTGGGCGCCACCGTGGGAGCTGGGAGTTCAGACATGCATTCATGAGTGTATAGAACATGCTGATATAGTAACCACACCTTATTTTTCATAGTAAAAGCCTTCGTTAAATGTAAATAACACTTGTAAATGTAGATTTTTCTGGTTTCACATTTCATTTACTACATGAAAGTATCATTTTGTTTGTAGTCCGTCTAAAAAAAAAATGTATAAATTAGTGCTGTCCAACGATTAAAATATTTAATCGCGATTAATCACATGGATTTCATAGTTAACTCGCGATTAATCGCAAATTAGTCACACATTTGCGTGCTGTGTGCAATTGCTTTTTTTATTGAAAACAATGTGTAGTGTTATATTACACACTAACATTTGATGCAAAATCATCAATAAATGGATGACAAAATAAATAATTGGTAACAAAAAGCCCTTTCAATGTGTGTGTGTGGGTGTGTGTGTGTATGTGTGGGTATAGACCATAGACTGTATAGAAACATCATGGTGTCATTATGATGATGATAAACAATCTGTAAATATTTTGTAAATTTGTTCATGTAAATACTCTATGCTGTTTCTCTGTTTACCTTCGGTATATCTATGACTGTATACTGTTTGCTTGTATTGCCTTTTTTATTAAAAAAGAATTTTTTTTTTTTTTTTTTTTTTTTATTGCGCGATAAAAAAAATGACGGCGTTAATATTGATTTGCGTTAACGCGCTAATAACGCGCTATTTTGGACAGCCCTAGTATAAATCAAATGTGGATCTGAAAATATGTAACAAACTGCAGCTCCGCAGCTCAATCCGTCAAAACATCAGGTCCGTTACATAAAATAAACTTTAGCCGCTTTAGGAAACTCGTCTAATGTATAAAACAGTCTCTTTTAGCAACTTCCAATGAACAGAGGAGGTGTTTGGACACATGAAAAACACAATATATCTTCTTATCATTAAAATATCATGTTTGGCCTATTGTCACACGTTTGTACCCTTTAGTGTGAACAAGCCCATATACTGCGACTCAAGCAGGAAATGACACCAAAAACGACACTGAACCTTCTGTATTGGAGCGGCACAGACCGGCACAGACCTGCTTGCATGGTGCGGACTGTCTTTGAGGGCAAACTGGGCTCTCCGCTGCCCAGAATGTTGCTGGCAATGACCTGGAATTGATAATCCATCCATGGTATTAGTCCAATGACCTGGGCCACCTCTGCATTCCCCTCAATGTTCACTGGATCTGAAACAGTACAAGTGGATTGAGTGTTAAAGTGGTTCAGTAGCAGTGAGATGCTGAGTCCACAGACCTGTCCTCATCCTCTTCCACTCGGCGCTGAGGGAGGAGCCACCCATGATTACGTATTTCCCGATGGGGCTGTGGTTGTCGTACCCTCGGCTCCATCTCAGCTCAACCGAAGTCTCTGCCACGTTTCTCACGAGTAGCCCACCAGGAGGTCCAGGGGGGCCTGTGCAAAGACAAGTTTCAACAATAGTATGTACAATCTGTCAGATGTAGGGTCTTTACTCTGTTGATTTGAATAAAAAAATTATTTGTATAATAGTTGACCGATAAAAATGTCTATTCAAGGTTGTGTGCAATACTTGAATGTGTGCAATAATTGGATTTATGCCATAACGAGGTGTGTGTAATATTGGGATGTGTGCAATAATTGGATTTGTGCAATAATTGGATGTGTGCAATATTGGTATGTGTGCAATAATTGGATTTGTGCAATAATTGGATGTGTGCAATATTGGTATGTGTGCAATAATGGGATGTGTGCAATAATTGGATGTGTGCAATATTGGGATGTGTGCAATAATTGGATGTGTGCAAAAATGGGATGTATGCAATAATTGGATGTGTGCAATAACGTGGTGTGTGTAATAATTGGATGTGTGCAATAATGGGATGTGTGCAATAATTGGATGTGTGCAATAATTGGATGTGTGCAATAATGGGATGTGTGCAATAATTGGATGTGTGCAATAATGGGATGTGTGCAATAACGTGGTGTGTGTAATAATTGGATGTGTGCAATAATGGCATGTGTGTAATAACATGGTGTGTGTAATAATTGGATGTGTGCAATAATGGCGTGTGTGTAAAAATGGGATGTGTGCAGCAATTGGATGTGTGCAATAATGGGATGTGTGCAATAATGGGATGTGTGCAATAATGAGATGTGTGCAATAATGGGATGTGTGCAATAATGAGATGTGTGCAATAATGGGATGTGTGCAATAATGAGATGTGTGCAATAATTGGATGTGTGCAATAATTGGATGTGTGCAATAATGAGATGTGTGCAATAACATGGTGTGTGCAATAATGGGATGTGTGCAGTAATGGGATGTGTACAATTGTTGGGTGTGTGCAACAATGTGGACTCAAACATTGTGGATTTTGGTGGACTTAATGTGTGGCCTGTGCGGGAACGCAAGCTGGGTTGTTCTGTTGTTTTTTTTCTGTGTTTAGCCCTAACCCTAACCCCTACAGATGGAAAATAGGCTTTGGCTGTAATCCACATGTTTACATTCATGTTTCTGTGATGTCTGTTCATTAACATGTACTGTACATAAACAAATACATTTAAACTGTGTAAAAGTAAGTGAGAGCACGTTACCTCGCACCACTAGTTTAGCCGAAGATGAAGCACTGTCCACCACGGTCTGTGCCGTGCAGGTATACACTCCCGCCTGATTGAGCTGGGTGCTTACGATCAACAAATCACCGATGGTCTCTTTCTGGAGGAGAAGTACGTAGATCATAAAAGGTTTTAGAATAGTTATACCATTACGTGAATATCTAAATATTACTGATCTATGGAGTTTCAGGTGTATGCTGACACCTGTACTTAAAACTGCATACAGAGGCATCCACGTACAGTAAAAAGAAATACTATCGTGTTTACATTGGAGATTGGTCAGTGAGTAAAGCCATATGTTCAGCCTTAAGCCATCCTCTGCCTACGTGATCTGTACATCGAAGCTAAACGTCATGTGTCTGTGTTCAAGGCCTATAAGCGCCATCCTTCTCTGTGACAATCAGACTTTAGCTAGCCTGACCTTAGCTAACCGTACACTCTGCTCAATCATCATTTCCTGCATGTAACGTCTGGGTCTGGTGTTTGAGATACCATCGGTTGAATTCCATCCGACCAATCAGGCGGGTGTTGTAGTTAGTTGTGGGTGACGTCAAGAGTTTGCGTCGAACGAGCAGGCTGTAGTTTGGCGAAAAATGCGATAGTAAAGTATTCCGGTCTGGTTCTATCAAGAAATTGAAGCCGGAGCAAGAGGAATGTTTAGCAAATGTAATCGCTGCAAAGATCGCAACTCCCCTCGGGCTCCGTTAGCGGCAAAGGAGATGGCTAAAGCTAGGCTAAATGCTAAATGCCTCACTCACTCGGACTTATTACATACGTCACGGTAAACTCAGATCCAATGGTTTCAATCTGCAAAAGGAGTTAACCTCTCCCACCTGTTAACAGAGTCAATGGAGCAAATCCAGACCTTAGTACGAAATATAATTTGTACTATGGTGTGGTACGACCAGGCTCGACTTTAGCCAGACTTATGTAGACTTCTGTGGGAGCGCCCATGAACCAGACTTCGGGCTAGTTAAAATTCACTTACTAATTAGTCAACTGAATCATTATGAATGAAACCTACCCCTTCTATTCGGAAGTACGGTCCAGATGGGTGCTCCAGATCCAGTGGGACCCCATTGAGGGCCCATGTAAAGGTCAGGTCCATTGTGGGGTCGTGGGAAGCATGGCACTGCATGGTCACATTCTCACCTTGGTTTATGTCGGCGTTAGACGGTGCCAGGGTGATCTTTGTGGCATCTACACGTGGAAGACAGAGAGACATTCTGAGCATATCACACAGCTGAAGACACAATAACTACAGTTTTATAAAAATAAACTAATGAAAAATGAAAAATGAGGCGAGAGCGAGTACCTCTGACAGAAAGGTGACCGGTGCTGTTGGCTTTTCCAAGGTAGTTTTCAGCAAAGCACGTGTATTTTCCTTCATCTGCTCGACTGATGTTGTAAATCCGTAGTAAACCATCCGGAGTTACTGTGACTCTGATCCAGAAAAACAACAAGACTAATGTTGACTGAAGATCAAACAGGAAACAAACATCCTCGACATGTACAGTAGGACCGGCCGTACAGTAGGACCGGCCGTACAGTAGGACCGGCTGTAAAGTACAGTAGGACCGGCTGTACAGTAGGACCGTCTGTACAGTAGGACCGACTGTACAGTATGACCGTCTGTACAGTAGGACCGCCTGTACAGTACAGTAGGACCGGCTGTACAGTACAGTAGGACCGGCCGTACAGTAGGACCGTCTGTAAAGTACAGTAGGACTAACATGTACAGTAGGACCGCCTGTACAGTACAGTAGGACCGTCTGTACAGTAGGACCGGCTGTACAGTAGGACCGTCTGTAAAGTACAGTAGGACCGGCTGTACAGTAGGACCGGCCGTACAGTAGGACCAGCCGTACAGTAGGACCGCCTGTACAGTACAGTAGGACCGGCTGTACAGTAGGACTAACATGTACAGTAGGACCGGCTGTACAGTAGGACTAACATGTACAGTAGGACCAGCTGTACAGTAGGACCAGCTGTACAGTAGAGTAGGACCAGCTGTACAGTACAGTAGGACCGGCCGTACAGTACAGTAGGACCGGCTGTACAGTAGGACTGGCTGTACAGTAGGACTAACATGTACAGTAGGACCAGCTGTACAGTAGGACCGGCTGTAAAGTACAGTAGGACCGGCTGTACAGTAGGACCGTCTGTACAGTAGGACCGACTGTACAGTATGACCGTCTGTACAGTAGGACCGCCTGTACAGTACAGTAGGACCGGCTGTACAGTACAGTAGGACCGGCCGTACAGTAGGACCGTCTGTAAAGTACAGTAGGACCGGCCGTACAGTAGGACTAACATGTACAGTAGGACCGCCTGTACAGTACAGTAGGACCGTCTGTAAAGTACAGTAGGACCGTCTGTACAGTAGGACCGGCCGTACAGTAGGACCAGCCGTACAGTAGGACCGCCTGTACAGTACAGTAGGACCGGCTGTACAGTAGGACTAACATGTACAGTAGGACCGGCTGTACAGTAGGACTAACATGTACAGTAGGACCAGCTGTACAGTAGGACCAGCTGTACAGTACAGTAGGACCGGCCGTACAGTACAGTAGGACCGGCTGTACAGTAGGACTGGCTGTACAGTAGGACTAACATGTACAGTAGGACCAGCTGTACAGTAGGACCAGCTGTACAGTAGGACCGTCTGTACAGTACAGTAGGACCGGCCGTACAGTACAGTAGGACCGGCCGTACAGTACAGTAGGACCGGGTGCTTTACCTGCTGCTGTTGATGAGCAGCTCAGTCCCGCGGCTCCAGAAGAGACTGGGTTTCGGTGCCGCTCGAGGTCGACACTCGATCATCACCTCGCCCCCTCTGGCGGCTGGGATCAGCTTTTTCACCGGGTTTGATCTAAAGTCTGGAACTTGGACTAAAGGTACAGACACAAAAGGAAATGTGTTGAAGTGAAGAATATATGAAGTGTGTCCATGTTTCTATCCGTGTTTTTGGTTGTTGTTGTACTTGCTGATGGTACTGTACATTCTATCAAATCAAATCAGATTTTACAATAACATTTCAAATAATTGTCGAAAGAATAAAAAAAACTTGTGCACACACATTTATTAATTTGTTTTCAAAATTCTTGATTTTTAATATATAGTTATATTTCAATACTTTAATGGGTGGGGGGAGCTGGTGTGTCTGAGTGTGTGTGAGAGTGAGAGGGTTATTATGTTGTCATGTGTATTATTATTATTACTAATTTTTTGTTTTCGTTTTTTGTCTTTGGCTAATTTTTCGTTATTCTGCTCTGCTGTCTTGCTTGCTTTTTGTGAATTTTGAACTGAAGACCCTCCAAAACAAGATTCAGGTTCATCTCAAGGGGCTATTCCTCTTATTGATAATAGTAAAGAAACTGGAATTAATAATGTTGTCCAAAATTGTGCATGAGCTTTTAAGAACTATGAGTATTTCGTAAAAGTTTTTATACTCTGTAAATATTTTAAGACCACAAATCAATGGTTCCCTGACTGTGAAGTTACTGTAAAATAAGCCTCACCCTGGACCCTGAGCTCCGCGGTGGAGTAGATGGTGCCGTGCTTGTTCTCTGCCACACACTGGTACATGCCGGAATCTTCCAAAGCCAGGTTACTGATTTTGAGCTGATGTCCGTTTACCTCCAGTCGATCCTGCGGCTTCAAAACAGGTAGAATTATGCAAACACTGACAAATCTACTCTGCTACATGGAGCTGCTGGTCTTAAAATATGTTTTATTTTAGGCCCATTAGAAACTCGGACTTACGGACTTTTCCGTAAAACTCCTTTTTTAAATTTTATTCTCATGTAAAGTGTCATTGAGTGTCCAAAAAATCACAATACAAGCTGATGTATCATTAATATAATTATTATTATTATTATGATTATTATTATTATTATTAATGTCCCTTGTCTTATCTAACTATAGGTTCAAACTTACCATTATTTATCCAGTATAATGCTTAATATCCGTCCTTATAGTGTTTCACAATGTACTGTTCCGAACGCACACACGCATGCACGCACGCACGCACACACACACACACACACACACACACACACACACACGTTATCCATTGTATCCCTTAAAATATGTATCTCTCCACATATTTTTCTTGTTTGTTGTATTTATGTTCTTTTGCAAAATAAAAGAAATATATATTATTATTAAGACCAATAGCTCCATCTCTAATATACCTCGTCTATACAATAGTCTGCCCATGCATTAATCAGAACCTAATGTTGTTGTGTTACTTGTGTGGTTAGAGGCAGTCCGTTGCGGAGCCAGCGGACTGTGGGCCGTGGTTTTCCCGAAGCAACACAACTCCAGTGCAGTTCTGAGCTGATCTCCACCTCAGAGTCACTCATCACCTGCAGCCACTGAGGCTGAGCTGAAACCAGAAACACAGAAGGTTACAGAAGGATTAAATGTCATGTCAAGTCAGTATTAAAGGGCCTAATCTGTCATCATTAAAGGGCCCTAATTCGTCATCATTAAAGGGCTCTAATCCGTCATCATTAAAGGGCCCTAATCTGTCTACATTAAAGGGCAGAATCTGTAATCATTAAAATGCTCTTTTCCAATACTTCTTTAACTGATAACAGTAGTTCAGAGATATTTGAATTTCTAAATTACTTTTCCAGCCTCTAAATCTTGTTTTTGTTTTCATTTCAATGTCCCGCCCGCCACCGTTTCACCAATCAGAAAGTCTGTGATCCGGGCGCCAGAACTCACCGCGTGGAGCTAATCTCACTGGTAAAGTACCATGTGCCGCAGACCTGAAAAAGGTCTCGTTATGATTCTCAAATCATTAACGACAAAACAAGGAATAAAACCAGGATTTCTATCTTTGTGAAAAAGGTGTTGGTTATAGATTTGTTGTTGACAAAACTCTTGTCTATTCAGCTGTTATGGTCCCAGCTGGATTCGTCTGCATATCTGGCAACCTGAGTCAGGGAGAGTGGGAGAGGCTGCAGTACCACTTTTGGCCACATTTTTGCACACTGCTCCTTTAACTAAGAGCCAAGTTAGCCAAACTACATAAACAGTTGGATATAAAAGCAGAGATTGCGTATTTCACCTTGTACATTAATCCTTCCTTGATACGAGTCACTGCCTTCGGTGTTGTAGGCCTCACATTCATACTGCCCCTCGTCATCAAACGACAGATCTGGAAGAACCAGAGCCGGTCCGTCCACACTGGAGCCGGCTTTGGAAGGCACCAGACCGTCCATTTTCCTCCACCTGATCTTTGGCACTGGACTAATAACAAAACATGAGAGAAAGTTGTTTATAGTGAATCAAGCAACTTTTATTCATTCAAGTTCTGCTGAATTCAGGACGGTGTGTTATTTTTCACTCAAATCTATTGGTTAAAATCTAAGGTTGATTCAATTCAGTTTGAAAATATACAATATGCATTATGATCGAGAGTAGGCATGTCCACACTCAGGCCCAGGGGCCAAATGCGGCCCTCAGTGTCATTCTCTGTGGCCCTCTGCCTCGCTAACCTGAAGTAGTCTTTGAGATCATAAACACAAGTTCACTGTGTCATCCATCCAACTCCAGCTCAGCCAATATACCTTGTTCTAAAACCCAGTATGTCTGGATTTCAGTCGTTGACTTGTGATCTGGTGAGATGGTAAACATGTGTCATTTAGCCTTCATTAACAAAGCAAAGAATGACTTTGCTTAGTTAATGAAGGCTGTCCTTGCAAAAATCACATGGCCCACAACTGACGGATTTTGATGAAAAAGGTGTGCCACGGCTCAAAAAGGTTGGGGAACACTGGTGTATAGTACAATATGTCGTCTCTACAATAAACAGTGCTGAAGCTGCGTACCTCACGTTTTTATAAATAATCCATGTTTTTTTTTTTTTTTCTCCAACTAAAGGTTTGGTGAAAGAATTCAGATCACAAATCAAACCACAACATGCTAATTCAATTGTATGAGTTATTTTTTGGGCTTTGAAAACATGGCTTTGAAAACGAGTTGTAGAAGCAAAACGGTTATTACTCAGTTTTGTAAAGTTAGGTACCTCAGCTTTAAATGACCGGACTTACTTTCCGTATGCGAAACACTCCAGCTGTGCCGTGTGTCCGGCCAGAGCATAAGTGTCGGCCGGAAACCGCACCACGATGTTTGGAGAAGACTTTCGAGCATTCGCTGAAGAGAGAGAAGCGAGAACAAGTGTAAACAGTGTTACTACAATCAGACTCTATTCCTACAAGTCTAGAACAGTGTCTCTCTCTCTCTCACTCCGTCTCTCTCTCACGTCGTCTCTCCCTCTCCTCACGTCTCCCTCTTTATATCTCTTCTTCTCTCTATCTTCTTACGTCTCCCTCCTCGCCTCTCTCTCTTTCTCGCGTCTCTCCTTTTTCGTGTCTCTCTCTTCAAGTGTCTCTCCCTACTCGTGTCTTTCTCTCTCTTTCTCTCCTCGCCTCTCTCTTTCTCTCTCGTGTCTCCCTCCCCGCCTCTCTCTCTCTTTCTCCCTCTCTCCTTCCCCACTTCTCTCCCTCCTCACATCTGCCCCTCTTCATCTCTCTATTTCTCTCCCTCCCACCTCTCTCTCTTTCCCTCCCCGCCTCTTTCTCTCCTCGCCTCTCTCTCTTCCTCCTTACCTCTCTCTCTTTCTCTCTCCCTCCTTTGAATCGCCCCCTCTTCATCTCTCTCCTTGTGTCTCTCCATCCCTGCCTCTCTCTCTCTTTCTCTCTCTCCTCCCCCACCTCTCCCTCCTTGCGTCTCCTTCTCTCTCTCTCTCTCTCCCTCCCACCTCTCTCTCTTTCTTTCTCTCTCTCCTTGTATCTTACCCTCCCCGCCTCTTTCTCTTTCTCTCCTCGCCTCTCTCTCTCTTTCTCTCTCCCTCCTTGCGTCTCCTCCTCTTCATCTCTCTCTCTCTCTCTTTTATTCTTTTATTAGAATAACTATCGTAAATCCGACGTTTAGATCAGTGCCTCCTTAACCACAGACCTCACTCCTTAACCACAGACCTCACTCCTTAACCACAGACCTCACTCCTTAACCACAGACCTCACTCCTTAACCACAGACCTCACTCCTTAACCACAGACCTCACTCCTTAACCACGGACCTCACTCCTTAACCACAGACCTCTCTCCTTAACCACAGACCTCACTCCTTAACCACAGATCTCACTCACTCCTTAACCACAGACCTCACTCCTTAACCACAGACCTCACTCTTTAACCACAGACCTCACTCCTTAACCACAGACCTCACTCCTTAACCACAGACCTCACTCCTTAACCACAGACCTCACTCCTTAACCACAGACCTTACTCCTTAACCACAGACCTCACTCCTTAACCACAGACCTCACTCCTTAACCACAGACCTCACTCACTCCTTAACCACAGACCTCACTCCTTAACCACAGACCTCACTCCTTAACCACAGACCTCACTCCTTAACCACAGACCTCACTCCTTAACACCACAGACCTCACTCCTTAACCACAGACCTCACTCCTTAACCACAGACCTCACTCCTTAACCACAGACCTCACTCCTTAACCACAGACCTCACTCCTTAACCACAGACCTCACTCCTTAACCACAGACCTCACTCCTTAACCACAGACCCTTACTCCTTAACCACAGACCTCACTCCTTAACCACAGACCTCACTCCTTAACCACAGACCTCACTCCTTAACCACAGACCTCACTCCTTAACCACAGACCTCACTCCTTAACCACAGACCCTCACTCCTTAACCACAGACCTACACAACCTCACTCCTTAACCACAGACCTCACTCCTTAACCACAGACCTCACTCCTTAACCACAGACCTCCTCCTTAACCACAGACCTCACTCCTTAACCACAGACCTCACTCCTTAACCACAGACCTCACTCCTTAACCACAGACCTCACTCCTTAACCACAGACCTCACTCCTTAACCACAGACCTCACTCCTTAACCACAGACCTCACTCCTTAACCACAGACCTCACTCCTTAACCACAGACCTCACTCCTTAACCACAGACCTCTCACTCCTTAACCACAGACCTCACTCCTTAACCACAGACCTCACTCCTTAACCACAGACCTCACTCCTTAACCACAGACCTCACTCCTTAACCACAGACCTCACTCCTTAACCACAGACCTCACTCCTTAACCACAGACCTCACTCCTTAACCACAGACCTCACTCCTTAACCACAGACCTCACTCCTTAACCACAGACCTCACTCCTTAACCACAGACCTCACTCACTCCTTAACCACAGACCTCACTCCTTAACCACAGACCTCACTCCTTAACCACAGACCTCACTCACTCCTTAACCACAGACCTTACTCCTTAACCACAGACCTCACTCCTTAACCACAGACCTCACTCCTTAACCACAGACCTCACTCCTTAACCACAGACCTCACTCCTTAACCACAGACCTCACTCCTTAACCACAGACCTCACTCCTTAACCACACTCCTTAACCACAGACCTCACTCCTTAACCACAGACCTCACTCCTTAACCACAGACCTCACTCCTTAACCACAGACCTCACTCCTTAACCACAGACCTCACTCCTTAACCACAGACCTCACTCCTTAACCACAGACCTCACTCCTTAACCACAGACCTCACTCCTTAACCACAGACCTCACTCCTTAACCACAGACCTCACTCCTTAACCACAGACCTCACTCCTTAACCCCACAGACCTCACTCCTTAACCACAGACCTCACTCCTTACCACAGACCTCACTCCTTAACCACAGACCTCACTCCTTAACCACAGACCTCACTCCTTAACCACAGACCTCACTCCTTAACCACAGACCTCACTCCTTAACCACAGACCTCACTCCTTAACCACAGACCTCACTCCTTAACCACAGACCTCACTCCTTAACCACAGACCTCACTCCTTAACCACAGACCTCACTCCTTAACCACAGACCTCACTCCTTAACCACAGACCTCATCCTTAACACACTCCTTAACCACAGACCTCACTCCTTAACCACAGACCTCACTCCTTAACCACAGACCTCACTCCTTAACCACAGACCTCACTCCTTAACCACAGACCTCACTCTTAACACAGACTCACTCCTTAACCACAGACCTCACCTCACTCACTCCTTAACCACAGACCTCACTCCTTAACCACAGACCTCACTCCTTAACCACAGACCTCACTCCTTAACCACAGACCTCACTCCTTAACCACAGACCTCACTCCTTAACCACAGACCTCACTCCTTAACCACAGACCTCACTCCTTAACCACAGACCTCACTCCTTAACCACAGACTCCTTAACCACAGACCTCACTCCTTAACCACAGACCTCACTCCTTAACCACAGACCTCACTCCTTAACCACAGACCTCACTCCTTAACCACAGACCTCACTCCTTAACCACAGACCTCACTCCTTAACCACAGACCTCACTCCTTAACCACAGACCTCACTCCTTAACCACAGACCTCACTCCTTAACCACAGACCTCACTCCTTAACCACAGACCTCACTCCTTAACCACAGACCTCACACTCCTTAACCACAGACCTCACTCCTTAACCACAGACCTCACTCCTTAACCACAGACCTCACTCCTTAACCACAGACCTCACTCCTTAACCACAGACCTCACTCCTTAACCACAGACCTCACTCCCTTAACCACAGACCTCACTCCTTAACCACAGACCTCACTCCTTAACCACAGACCTCACTCCTTAACCACAGACCTCACTCCTTAACCACAGACCTCACTCCTTAACCACAGACCTCACTCCTTAACCACAGACCTCACTCCTTAAACCAGACCTCACTCCTTAACCACAGACCTCACTCCTTAACCACAGACCTCACTCCTTAACCACAGACCTCACTCCTTAACCACAGACCTCACTCCTTAACCACAGACCTCACTCCTTAACCACAGACCTCACTCCTTAACCACAGACCTCACTCCTTAACCACAGACCTCACTCCTTAACCACAGACCTCACTCCTTAACCACAGACCTCACTCCTTAACCACAGACCTCACTCCTTAACCACAGACCTCACTCCTTAACCACAGACCTCACTCCTTAACCACCACAGACCTCACTCCTTAACCACAGACCTCACTCCTTAACCACAGACCTCACTCCTTAACACCACAGACCTCACTCCTTAACCACAGACCTCACTCCTTAACCACAGACCTTAACCACACTCACTCCTTAACCACAGACCTCACTCCTTAACCACAGACCTCACTCCTTAACCACAGACCTCACTCCTTAACCACAGACCTCACTCCTTAACCACAGACCTCACTCCTTAACCACAGACCTCACTCCTTAACCACAGACCTCACTCCTTAACCACAGACCTCACTCCTTAACCACAGACCTCACTCCTTAACCACAGACCCTCACTCCTTAACCACAGACCTCACTCCTTAACCACAGACCTCACTCCTTAACCACAGACCTCACTCCTTAACCACAGACCTCACTCCTTAACCACAGACCTCACTCCTTAACCACAGACCTCACTCCTTAACCACAGACCTCACTCCTTAACCACAGACCTCACTCCTTAACCACAGACCTCACTCCTTAACCACAGACCTCACTCCTTAACCACAGACCTCACTCCTTAACCACAGACCTCACTCCTTAACCACAGACCTCACTCCTTAACCACAGACCTCACTCCTTAACCACAGACCTCACTCCTTAACCACAGACCTCACTCCTTAACCACAGCCTCATCCTTAACCACAGACCTCACTCCTTAACCACAGACCTCACTCCTTAACCACAGACCTCACTCCTTAACCACAGACCTCACTCCTTAACCACAGACCTCACTCCTTAACCACAGACCTCAGACTCACTCCTTAACCACAGACCTCACTCCTTAACCACAGACCTCACTCCTTAACCACAGACCTCACTCCTAACCACAGACCTCACTCCTTAACCACAGACCTCACTCCTTAACCACAGACCTCACTCCTTAACCACAGACCTCACTCCTTAACCACAGACCTCACTCCTTAACCACAGACCTCACTCCTTAACCACAGACCTCACTCCTTAACCACAGACCTCACTCCTTAATCACAGACCTCACTCCTTAACCACAGACCTCACTCCTTAACCACAGACCTCGCCGCACGCACGGCTCTAGAGCAAACAGGAAGTGGAAACGTGAGATTCACCGTCTGCCACCACGGTGAGCGGGTTGGCTTTGCTGAATGTGCTCTTGGTGCTGGCATCCATGTTGACCGTGGTGAAGCAGAAGTAGTTGCCAGTATCGTTCGGTTCTGCCTTGGCCACGTACAAGTTTCCTGTGACCTGGGACACAAACCACCGCTGATTGTCCTTTTTGATGAAATTTGGAAAATCGTTGATGAACCAGCGATAGGAAAGTGCTGCAGAGGCAAGAAGAAGTCATTTTAATGTTTTATAAGGAAAACAAAAAGAAGGAACCAGCGTTGAGCTCATACCCGGGTAATGAGGAGGGGGCTGGCAGGGCATAAACGTCCCCACACCTTCATAAGCCGTCTGCGGACTCCTGATGTCCGGGGAGAAGTCGTGAAGGTCTGTTATAATCAGAATTAAAGACATTTCTAAGGATGCATAAAGAAAATGTAATGCCACTGTATGGGCAAAAATAAGTTCTTCTTCAGCCTAATCCGTTCGGTCACAATTGCGTTTGTAAATCTGTGTTAAAGCATTTACACTACTGACATAAGATACATTGTTTTTGTAACCATGACCTGTTTTGAATGCCTTTTTTACGTCAAAAAATAATAATAATTTGTATGACCGAAGAAACAAACCTACCACTACTATCTAATACCGAACCGTTTCCATGACTGTTGAAACTTGCATCAGTAAATGGCAGAATTGGCAAAATGCATAAATCTTGGTTCTTAAAGGTGCTGATTGCAATGCCACAATCTCCCAAAGTTTGTTTTTTATTCTTATTTAACCTATATTTAACCAGGAAAATCCCATTGAGACTAAAAACCTGTTTCAAGGGAGTCCTGGACAGGGCAGCGCGGTGGCTGAGTGGATAGCACTCAGCCACCGCCTCTCAGCAAGAAGGTCCTGGGTTCGAATCCCGGTCGGACCAGGGCCTTTCTGAGTGGAGTTTGCATGTTCTCCCCGTGTCTGTGTAGGTTTCCTCCGGGTACTCCGGTTTCCCCTACCACTAAAAATAGTTCTAACATGCGCCTCCTGTACTGGTACCCCGCTCCCATCTCTGTGTGGAGTGAGAGACAAATGCCCATAATAAACAATTGTAAACCGCTTTGAGACTCAGCTCTGCAGAGAAAAGGCGGTATATAAATAAAGATTACTTACTACTACTTACTTACAAAAGCTACACAGTTTCATAAAAATATAGATTATATAAAGTTACATGGCAAAGAGGACGTCTCAATCTGGATTCAAAATCATTCCATGAAATATCATTTTCATGTTCAATGGAAAAGAGCAGTAAATACTAGTTTTGCCGTATAGACGTTTGTGTGATCTAAAAGGATGAATTATTTTGGTTAGATGAGATTTATTTTTATTTAATCAGGAAAGTCCCATTGAGATTAAAAACCTAATTTTAAAGCGAGTCCTGGACAAAATGTAGACAGATACAGACAATTACAGATTATAAAAACAGTTACACACTGTTTCATGAAATTACAGATTAGAAAAACAGTTGAGGACGTCTCAATCTGAATTTAAAAGCATTCATTAAAATAAATTCAGATCATTTCCAGTCTTTTAGCTTCATGTAAAAAGAGCAGTATATACTAAAGCCCTTTTCCCATCAACAAAAGATCATGTGACCACAAACGGTAAGAACCAACATGTCTCTGTGTGATTCAGGAGGGCAGTAGATCGAGCATGGCCTTATAAACAACAGTGTGTGGCAGCGGTTGATCTGCCGCCGATGTGGATATAGCAAGTTTTTTTGTCTTTTGTGTTTGTTTTTTCTACTTACAGCCAAATTTGAGGTTGGCAGCCTGACTGAGGATGGTGCCGCAGCGGTTGATGGCGAGACACTGGTATGAGCCGGTGTCCTGGCTCGGCTCAGGTCCGCTGATCACCAGACTTCCAGCCACGAGACCGTAACGAGTGTCCAACCCCAGTGGCACTTCTGTTCCGTTCACCAGCCATCTAAAACCAACCATAAAACTCAATTCAATTCCAAGTATTTTTGCAAAGCCCTAAATCACGACAGTATTTTTTATCTCAGAGGATTTGTAAGAAAGTAGTAGTAGTAATCTTTATTTATATACAACCTTTTCACTGCACATTGGAGTCTCAAAGCAGTTTACAATTGTTATTTTTGGGAGTGGGGGTGCCAGTACAGGAGGCACATGCCATACCTATTGTACATATTTTTAGTGGTAGGGGAAACCGGAGCACCCGGAGGAAACCTACGCAGACACGGGGAGAACATGCAAACTCCACTCAGAAAGGCCCTGGTCCAACCGGGATTCGAACCCAGGACCTTCTTGCTGAGAGGCGAGAGTGCTATCCAAAAGTTGAATCAGTTTCTGTTAAAACCAGTGTGGGCGGGTCCCGATGAGCTCGTGCGCCGACATGCTGCAATCCAACTCCTTGCTGGTGGGGGTGTACCCGGAAATAGAATTGCCCAATGCTTTTTTATGCCGCCTTCTTTTCTCTGGAAAACGTCTCAACAGGATGATGCTGAGGTGGGTATATTTTTTTGGGCCAGTCTAGTTTAGCCGTTGTGGACTTTTGATTCCAATTGTTAAACAAATGGGGCTAGTGCAGCTAACGCATACGCAAATGAATTTTTTCACATTTTCCTGCCCCGCTGCCATTTTGAAAAAGCCTGCGGTGCGTCCGTGTATATTTACAGTCTAACAACAACAAAGAGAATGAATCAGACCTGTACGATGCAGCCGGGTTGGCTCGAGCTCTGCAGCTCAGGGTCACTTTTCCTTCTGTAAGCCCCTCTGGGTAAATGACACCGCTGGGCTGTTCCTCAAACACAGGCCCGCTGTCGTGTCCCGACACACACACATCACCTCCTGAAGAGCCACAGAAAACAGAGTATATATGCCAGACAGCAGTGGTTTAAGGCAGACATCACTCACCCTGAACTCCTGTGAATGTGAGAAGACCGAAGACCAACACAGAGTAATGCATTTCAGTAAAACCAAAGAACTCCATCAGAACCACACAGACTGCAGCAGGACCCACTGATGCTGATCTCAGGAATCTGAAATGACACCACTGAAAATTCACACCAGTCTCAACAGTAAACGCTTTCTCATGTGCATAATAACATAATACATGCTCCACTCTGATACTTGGGATCAAGTCACTTTAGTAGATTATCATAGAACATCCTAGAACAGACTTATTACATGCAGTTGATTTAAGAATAAGACTAGCCAACATATTACCATCAAATATGGACAAAATATGCTTTTCCCCACAAAAAAAAAATATACTTTATTATAATCTACAAAGTTTGAGTCATATATTACAAAATATTGTATCACTATATTGATATTAATGTTAATGCCTTTTTGTTTATTCTTGGTTCAAGACTACTGTTTTTCTGTATGTGTGTGTATTATCAGGTAAACACAGGTTTGTTGGACTGATTTGCAGTATTTTGGGTGTATTATTATTTTAGGATACTGATTTAGCCAGACAGACCATTGACTGTAATTCTGCACGTGTTTTAATAGGTTTTATAAATGACAGAGCAGATGGTCATGAAAGATGCTGAGGACGTTTACCCACAGACGCGCTGCCTCCTGCCGTGACGCGGACGCAGCTCGGGGTTCTGCAGAGGGTTCTGTTCCGATGATTCCGTTCAGTTGTCAAAGGATGAATGTGTCCGGTCTCTCCTTCTGTCTCCAGCTCATCCAGGACAATCACATCACACACTTCCGGTGGATTTTCAGTGCGCAGCGACTCTGCATCATCACCGCCGCACCGCCGCGTCTATCTGCGGCTCTGCGGCTCAAAGACGGACTGGAAACACCAATAAATGTGTTTTACTCAGGCTCAGGCTGTCCCTGATGTACAGAGTCTGTCTGTTAAACAGGTCTTAAACTCGAGCATCTTAGATCTACTCCACATCACCGGAGAATCGCTTCCGGAGCGCCTCCTGTCCGTGTACCCCACCGACCCCCACCCCCGTTACTCTTTGTTGTGAACGTGAAGAATATTTTACAAAGAGCCGCTAATCAAGCTGACGTAATCAAGACGCATCATCCTTTTCTTTTATTCTTCCACATTTCACACATGTAGTGTAGTTATGGCCAAAGACTGTTCTTTAGAGCAGAAACAAGTCCTTTTATTCCCGGACAGGACCCCGTGGATTTTATTATTGAAACTGCAGTAATGAAATAAAGACAGGTTTAAGGCGTCTGGACCATGGTCTGGACCATGGTCTGGACCCCAAGGCTTTAGGTGACGTTCCGTTGGATGAGCACGGATCAGTCTGGAGCTTTGGGGAGAACGCTCTAACACAGTCTGAGATAAACCATAATCCCAGGTACAGGCGCCTGGACTCAGGAGCCGCCGCCCCCCGCGGAGCCTGGAGGATGCGACCCCATCACCACAGTCATGTGTTAGTGTTGTCAAGGGGATGGATCACGTGACCACTGGATACACAGGATCCCAGTGGATAAAGGACAGCAGTGATGGACATGGACGTCAGACACAACAGGACTATGCAGCTCATTGACAAATCTGGACCCGAGTGTTGGACTTTCCCCGCGTCAGACTGAGCGTGGTCGGGTCTCTGGGTCTCTGGGTCTCAGGCCTCCGCCGGGACCATGAAGTTGGACAATTATGTACTTTTCCTGCTCCAATGTTTGTCTATTTTTCACTGCTCCGCTATTGATACAAGTAAGTATTTATGTAATGTTCTTATTTTATAGAAAAGAAAGAAAACTATTACCAAAGTAAAATCTCTTTGCTGACACAATCTGACATTTGTCTAAAAAAAAAAATACTTTGTGAAAGAAAGATAATAAAAGGATCAAAAGGTTCTGCAAATTTTGTTTAAAGTCTTCGTTTGTGTCTGTTCAGAGGATTAACCTTCTTTAAATTCAAACCAATAGTTATTGAATTTGATCTATTTATAACATACTTTAACCTGTAGCTTTAATCCACTCTGTCAGACGAATAAGAAACGCTGTGTTTAAAGACAGACTTTTGTAAAGTTGTGTAAAAGTGCAGTAGAGCCTTTGTGTTTACTTTTGCCACACACGGGACAAGCTCTTTCCCACCAATGAGGCTCAGGACTCGGGACATTCCTGGGGTCACACCAGAGGAGCTGGATGCTCCCGTAGCAACTGAGCCCATAAACTCCAGGGGGGTCATAAATCCGCCCCTGACCCGGTTTAAGACTCAGAGCCACTTTGAGCAATTATTTTACACAGCATTTAATCAACTTTATGAGCTGCGTTTAGGTTTTCCACCCATTTCCCTGCATTATCTTTATGGTCCAGCTTAAATCACTGCCAAAATAGGCCTAAAAGTATATTTTATTATTATCATTTCTTCAAATACTTTTAGCAATACATGACGTTGTGTTTGAACGTTTACCCAGGAGGAATAATTTATAACAAAAATAATAATAATAATTTGTATTTGTGGATAATTCAAAGATTATGATTTAAATACAGTATGTTTTTCACTCATCGTTATTGATAAACTTTATGTTTCTGGGATATTCTCATTTCAAAATACTCTCCTGATCCTGATTAGAAGTTTCCATCCCCCCAGTTCTCAGCAGAGCCCGGAGTCTTTAGAGGCTGAGGTTCTTTCTCCTCTCGGACGTTCAAGCCGCTCTTTCTACTTGTCACAAAAGACAGTTCTAGTAAATCCACATTGTGTGAAGAGATCTGACTGACTCCAGAAAATAAAAAGATTCTTTAGTCTGGCTTCCCACAATCACTAATAATGAGTGGGGGACTTATGTTTGCCTTAGTCCCTCTAAAGAATAATAAAACTGCTTCTCTGATGTCACTGGAAGTAGACATTTCTGAGAGACGGGTGTTTGTGATGGAAAATAAAAAGGACAAGGAAAGATCTTAGCATAGACATTTTTTCTTTTTTGCAGTGAACGTTGTGGACTTCTGCGGTCAGACGATCCGTGCAGATGGGATGATTGTGAAGTCCCATCAGCAGTCCAAGAGATACTACTTTGTGACGATGGGAACCGACTGCCACATCACCATGCAGGCCGCAGCCCCTGAAGACAACATCCAGTTTTTCTTCCGCTACTTCCTGGTCTACAGCCTCCTGCGGGTCGCTCCTCTGAGTCCATCTCCAACCATCCCCGAGCCTCCCTCCAACTCCAGCCTCGAACCCATCTCTGCGGCAGGCCCGACTGACCGCTGCCACGCCGGGTCGTACATCCAGTTCTACGATGGTCCAGACAAGAACTGGCCTCTCCTGGGACCCCCGCTGTGTGGGAAGAGCCCTCCGAGGCCGGTACTGTCCACAGGGAACTACCTGACCCTGCGGCTGGTGACCCGGGGGTCGCAGCCCAGAGTGGACTTCGTGGGAGACTTCACCTCGTTCAGATTAGGTAAGACCACTGGAGAGGATTAAGAAACAAAAACAAATAAGATAACTTTTGTATGTATTAACGGCTAATTAACCGAGCGCGAGGTCTGTACAGAGAAATATCAGACCGCGGCCTTAAAGGAATAGTTCACCGTTTTTACATACTGACATATGTTCTTACCTTACCTTAGACTAGTTAATATGTACCTGTCTGGTCTTAGTCCGTGCGCTCTGTCATGCAAACGGAGCAAAAACGGGAGCACAACCGCAGCCTCCTCTGTATACTGTTTAGGACCAAAAGGTAGCTCCCGCTAGAAGCTACCAAACTCTTCCAAGTGTTCCCTATTAAATGTATATAGTTACGTGACGTGTTACACTGCAAAGTATAGTAACACAGAAATGAAACAGTCGATTTTCTCAGCGGATAAAACGGGTACTATATTGTGAGGCGTAGTAATCTGAGGAGCGCTACGTCCGCGCACTAACTTCTCTCCGGAGACTTCTCTCTCGCTGCTACTGTGTGTACTACAAGTCACGCTGCTTCTATTGACGGAAGGGAACACTTGGAAGAGTTTGGTAGCTTCTAGCGGGAGCTACCTTTTGGTCCTAAACAGTATACAGAGGAGGCTGCGTTTGTGCTCCCGTTTTTGCTCCGTTTGCATGACAGAGCGCACGGACTAAGACCAGACAGGTACATATTAACTAGTCTAAGGTAAGGTAAGAACATATGTCAGTATGTAAAAACGGTGAACTATTCCTTTAATGTACAGACCGAGCCGTGGCGAGATCTGTACCAAAAGGCCAAGGTCTGATATTTCTCCGTATAAATGTTTATTATATTTTTAATTTATGCAAATATTGATCTCCGACTTGGTTTTCCTAATAGTGTTTGTACCTTTCTGGTCTGTAACAAAGTTGTCGATCTCTTCTTGACAGTTAGGGTTTGTGTTTTTGTCGTTATTTGCTGTAGTTACTTCCTCTGGCTCTTCGAAGTCGTCGCTCATTCTTTTTTCACCGAGGAAAGATATCAAATTTGATACGCGCTGCGGACCGATTGTCATGGTAACGGTCCGAGATGGGAAAAATATTAGACCGCAAATCAGCCAATCAGAGCGCGCGTACGGTCCAAGTCATATAATAATTGTATGTATTACACCCCCTCGACCCAGCAATGGATTAAGGTGAAGAAAAGTGATGGAAGTATTTTTTATATTGATGATGTTCACCACATCCTGTACACAACATTGTTCCTCTTTTCCCCTTTTCTTTCTCCTTGTGTGTCCCTTGTGCACCAAAATAATCCTAAAAAAACAAACAAAAAAGATTTCTAGATGAGGGAAATAGTTTCTAGCCTGACTCTGGCCAGACCCATGTAGTTTGCTGCACTTCACACATGAGTCTGGTACTGAGCCATAGTGGTTGGATTTTTAAATAAAAATCCTTGTATGTGATTGGATAGACCACTTGTTCGTTATCTTGAATGAAGTCTGCTTTAAACCACTCACATCGAAGCACACGACTCCCATAGGTTGCCAAGATTTTCCAACCCTAAATCCGCGAGAATACCCAAAATAAAAAAACACTCAGAATGATTTTTAGGCTAAAACGTAATATAATCAACTTGGGCTATCATGATTCTGTTTATTGTCTTTCTGTTTATTTAATACCTGTGTCTTGGAAAAAAATATGCGGGAACCACCAAACCTGGCAACCCTGCTGCATAGTGTGTAAACAGGAACACTGAACCAGTGCTTCAACCAAACTTTACAGGAACATTTGACGCCCCCCCGCTGAAAGACCAAGGCTGTTTCACCACTGACAGAGCAGCCATCTTCCTGTGGACTCACCCCCTGCAGAGGATCAGAGGGACTGGTGCTATGAGCTTTGGGGGCAGCTCTCATTGCCATCCCCCCGACCCAGAAATGGACAATAAAGGGCTTGAAAATGAAATGTCCGCATCTTGAACACCTCTCGCTGCTGCATGAGAGAAGCTTGAGAAGGCAGTGCAAACCCCACGTAACACCGGCAATCCTGATTGTGGCTATGGCGTCGATACCAGGCCCATGTGGTTCAGCCAAACGCCTCTGGTGGAGCATGGCGGAACTACAAGGGTCTGGCAGAGCCAGGCTAAATAGTGCCCCCTGTAAGAGAACTTTTATTCACTCCACATTTGGGGACATGTCAGAGTACATCACAGAACAGTAAGAATAGATAAATAGCTGTAAATATTGTGAAAATAATGTATTGTTTTTAGTGAGAGGTTGACACAATTATATGGTCTGTTTACTTACTTAAACTAGCATATGTAGAGAACACTAGAGCTGCACTGTAAAAATAATTTAGTTAAACCAGCTTAAAAAAGGGTTTCAATTGGTAACAACTAGTAAATTACATTCTTTCAACTTTTAATTCTATATTGAACTGAACTTGTATTTTTAGTCAGATAAAAGTTAAATATTCGTTCAAGTTGCCTAAAATATTACTTTCTTTCAACTTACTGGCTGAACAGGATATTTGAGTTGAAGGCATCAACTTAAACTTTTCAAGAACTAGAATGATTAAGTTGGTCAGCTAAGTTTTCCAAGTTCTACTTTTCATTAATAATAGACAATTCTAAAGAGATAACCCAGGGACTAGGGCTACTTTGGCCTGGCCCTGTCGATTACAGTTGGTAAAAATGTTAGAAGTGTATTTAGGCCCTAGTTGAAGCAAGGTGAAAATTTACGTAAAGCAAAAGTAGAAAACTAAGTTCAGCAGAAGAACTTCATTTTGAACTTTAGGTCAAAGTAATACATCACTTCTTTGTTAAGTCATGCATGTTTTAGTTGTTTGAAGTGGAAACATGAGAAATTTACTTTTGCTTTACTTACATTTGTACCTTGCTTCAACTAGGGCAAGGTGTTTTATTTATTTACATTACACTATTTTGTTGGGAATAACACTGAACATAAGAGACATGTGACAGAGCTAACATCGAGGCTGATAAAAAGGGTGAATGTGGCACAAAAGAGGATATTTTAGTGCCACGTGCAACACTAAAGTGGGGGCGGCACGGTGGCTGAGTGGTTAGCACTCTCGCAAAAAGGTCCTGGGTTCAAATCCCGGTCAGAACAGGGCCTTTCTGAGTGGGGTTTGCATGTTCTCTTTATCTCTGCGTAGGTTTACTCCGGGTGCTCCGGTTTCCCCTACCACTGAAACCATGTTTCATAGATCTGCTCCATCTCTGTCAGAGAGAAACGTAACAAATGTAAACATCTTTGGGATTCTGGTCCGTGAAAGTTAAAACTAAACTAAATAAAAAACTTACTTTTACATTTCTCATGCTTTTAAATAATAATTTACAGTTTACAATTTAATATTGTTTTTATCGATGTACTTGTCTGGTGCACGCTGGAGACTTTTCGCTAATGTATTCCAATGGGGTTTTACTGCAAATGAAGTGAATCTGAATGCACCTGATTGACTTTAAGGCTTTAATGAAAGAAATCTTTGCTTTTGGACTTTGAGTGTCTAAAAAAGAAATATATAATCATGATGTATTGTTATTATTAATATTATTATTATTCTCACAATGACTCACCGTTGAATTGCTTAAAGTAGTACTAGAATTTAATATGCTGCTATCCAGAATATATAACTACAATATGTGTTTATAATATTTCGGGTGTTAATTTTGACATGTTCAGATTAATTATGTTAAAAAAACTGCTTTGAAGTGGCACCTTTTCACTTCCGCATAGAAACGCTAGGGGGCGCCAAAATGGCAGCGATGACGTAGCAGAAGGACCTCTCACAGCAGCAGCAGCAGCAGTCTGGGCTGAATCTGTAGGAGGTTTCACTGTCATCTGAACAACGTATAAACATATTTTCATCAGTTTTGTACATAATAGTGCGCAACTCTTTTAACCTTTTAGCCTTATTTGTGAGATTCAAGCTAATTAGTGTTGGGCAAGTTAGCTAACTCTACTTGATATCATAAAACATGCTAACAAGGCTAATATTCGTTTTTACATTATGCCAGTCTCACTTTGGTTGCCTTAGATTTATTTACCACAATGTACATTGTAATATCCATAAATGCTAATCAAAATAACTTGAATTAAATAAATATTTTACTTTTATGAACAAAAAGCTGCAGAAGTTGAAAACATAGACTACATGTGATGCAATCATTGATAAAAATGCTAATTAAACCGTTAATAGGTGTTAGCATTTTTGAATATTACAATGTACATTGTGGTAAATAAATCTAAGGCAAAGTGAGACTGGCATAATGTAAAAACGAATATTAGCCTTGTTAGCATGTTTTATGATATCAAGTAGAGCAGGGGTGCTCAATACGTCGATCGCGATCTACCGGTCGATCGCAAAGGTAGTATTGGTAGATCGCATTAAATAAATGAAAAAATTACACATTCTAATCGAATATATACAAAAAACTCCGGGCAAAGTGGAGATTTTTGAAAACTCCGTTAATGCATTTGTGTGTAGACAGAGAAAACCGGAGTTTTGCGTTCTCGCACGCCACAGTACCCCCCTAAATTCCTCTGATCACTGAAGCATGGATCATACTACCTTAAAAACTGTTCGCTGTGAGATGCTCGCAGCAGCGAACATCCTCGCTCCACATCAGAGAGCAGCAAAGTGATCGCGGGGACTCACGCTCAAAAACAACTAAACCAGGACTAAACCAGGACTAAACCAGGGCTGAGGACGGGGTCAGTGCTTGTAAACATACGTCTTACTCTTTACTCTGAGTGTCTTCTATGACTGTAAAAGTGCCGTTACCGGCGTCTGCATCAAAGCTCCGCCCACTTCTGTGTTTTTCCCCAACGCAGGACAGGACGTAAGAGACGCACATGTTTGGAATGTTACGAATGTGATTGATAACGCAGATGTGTGGATGCAAATTATTGTATAAACTGAGGAGGGGAAATATTTGGATTTAAAAAAAACAGGCATAGCACATGGACATGGCACCACAGTCAAATGACATCTGTGTTTTACTCAGTAATGTTTTACTGACACTTAGGTGACTGCACATGCGCAAACAACCGCGCTCAGTGCAGGAAAGCTAAACCACGATAAACTTGTCAGCGAGTTACCACCAATTTTCCGGACTATGCATCCCTGGCCGATTCAATTCAGTGCAAGTCATCAGAGTAAACTCGGGTAATGACAAAAAATGTACATAGATAATTGTGTTGTGCTATATTGGCTCATGCGGTTTTGCATGTACATAAACATACATTGTAGATATAAAGAATATTTTTTGAAATAAATATATGATTTGCATTTTTGTAGTAGGTAGATCATTTTGACTTGATCCTTTTATAAGTAGCTCGCATGCTGAAAAAGTGTGAGCACCCCTGAAGTAGAGTTAGCTAACTTGCCCAACACTAATTAGCTTGAATCTCACAAATAAGGCAAAAAGGTTAAAAGAGTTGCGCACTATTATGTACAAAACTGATGAAAATATGTTTATACCTTGTTCAGATGACAGTGAAACCTCCTACAGATTCAGCCCAGACTGCTGCTGCTGCTGCTGTGAGAGGTCATTCTGCTACGTCATCGCCACCATTTTGGCGCCCCCTAGCGTTTCTATGCGGAAGTGAAAAGGTCCGACTTCAAAGCAGTTTTTTTAACATAATTCATCTGAACATGTCAAAATGAAAAAAATTCTAGTACTACTTTAAACTAAAAATGTTTTTAATCTGCAGGCTTTAACCAGCGCTGCAACAGTGAAACGTACTTCAGCTGCAGAAATGGAAAGTGCATCCCACTCAGTCTGGTTTGTGACGACACAGGCATCGACAACTGCGGCGACGGCAGCGACCTGGAGGAAAACCTGAAGGACGAGTGCAAAGGTCAGTGTCATCAGGCACCGTACTAAGGGCCAATCATTAAAGGGCCCTGATCTGTCATCATTAAAGGGCCCTAATCTGTCATCATTAAAGGGCCCTAATCTGTCATCATCAAAGGGCCCTAATCTGTCATCATTAAAGGGCCCTAATCTGTCATCATTAAAGGGCCCAAATCTGTCATCATTAAAGGGCCCTAATCTGTCATCTTTAAAGGGCCCTAATCTGTCATCATTAAAGGGCCCAAATCTGTCATCATTAAAGGGCCCTAATCTGTCATCTTTAAAGGGCCCTAATCTGTCATCATTAAAGGGCCCTAATCTGTCATCATTAAAGGGCCCTTATCTGTCATCATTAAAGGGCCCTAATCTGTCATCATTAAAGGGCCCTTATCTGTCATCATTAAAGGGCCCTAATCTGTCATCATTAAAGGGCCCTAATCTGTCATCATTAAAGGGCCCAAATCTGTCATCATTAAAGGGCCCTTATCTGTCATCATTAAAGGGCCCTAATCTGTCATCTTTAAAGGGCCCTAATCTGTCATCATTAAAGGGCCCTAATCTGTCATCATTAAAGGGCCCTTATCTGTCTTCATTAAAGGGCCCTAATCTGTCATCATTAAAGGGCCCTAATCTGTCATCATTAAAGGGCCCTAATCTGTCATCATTAAAGGGCCCTAATCTGTCATCATTAAAGGGCCCTTATCTGTCTTCATTAAAGGGCCCTAATCTGTCATCATTAAAGGGCCCTAATCTGTCATCATTAAAGGACCCTAATCTGTCATCATTAAAGGGCCCTTATCTGTCTTCATTAAAGGGCCCTAATCTGTCATCATTAAAGGGCCCTAATCTGTCATCATTAAAGGGCCCTAATCTGTCATAATAATAAACTGCTCTTTTCCAATACTTTTTTTTACTGATAACTGTAGTTCAGAGATATTTGAATTTCTAAATTCATTTTCCAGCCTCTACATCTTTTTATTGTTTTCATTTCGATGTCCCGCCCTCCACCGTTTCACCAATCAGAATGTCTGTGATCCGGGCGCCAGAACTCACCGTGTGGAGCTAATCTCAAAAAGGTCTCGTTATGATTCTCAAATCATTAACTACAAAACAAGGAATAAAACCAGGATTTCTATCTTTGTGAAAAAGGTGTTGGTTATAGATTTGTTGTTGACAAAACTCTTGTCTATTCAGCTGTTATGGTCCCAGCTGGATTCGTCTGCATATCTGGCAACCTGAGTCAGGGAGAGTGGGAGAGGCCGCAGTACCACTTTTGGACACATTTTTACACACTGCTCCTTTAAAGGTCTATAGGAGGATTATCTACACCCGGGTGGATCATCAAGACTATTGGTCCTCCCAACTGTCAATCATTCTGGTGATTTGTGCTCGTCCAATAAGACCAGAGAGTTTTGTTCAAAAAGTGGAGTGAGCGGTTTGTTCCTAAAATTTGGGAAAGTCCTCCTATAAACCTTTAATATACAAGAAATAGTTATGGTATTTCAAAGGTGTTTATTTTTTTTTTTTTTTTCAGATGGTCAGTTTTTTCTGCCAAATCCTGCCACAACAAAGTCCTCTGTATCTGTGTTAAGTCCGTCTGGAACCGCTCATGTGCAACCGAACTGTGCCATGCCAGGCAGTCAGGAATCCACGTCCGGTGAGTGCCCGGGGCCAGAGAGGGACGCTGGGATTGTATGTGAGAAGCAGGTCACTCATCCATCCATTTTCTTTCTCTTAATCCATTTCTGGGTCGGGGGTGGCAGTCAGAGCTGCTCCTCCTGCAGGTGAGTCCAGGAGGATGCTGTCAGTGACAGTGTAGCCTTGATTTTCCAGCAGGAGCTTCAGGCAAAGTTGGGTTAAGTGTCCCAAGGACACAACGACAGCAGACCTCGAGCTCAAAGGCCAATCCTCAACCAACTGAGACACTTTGGACCAGAGCAGAGAAAATGGTCCAAACCAAGCGGCGCCTCCACCTTTGCTGCTGTGACCTGAAGGACTGCAGCTGATTATTACTATTGTTTGATTTTTAGAATGATCAATCAGTCAATCCACGTTTATTTGTAGAGCGCCTTCCCTACACAAGGAAACACAAAGCACCCCACAACCCATATTACATCATGCATAAACCATCAAACATTAGAATCTACATAAACATTACAAAAACACATTAAGAGCACAAGATATATTAAAAACATTAAAAAATAAAATCACACAAGTAGTTAAAAACCTTTAAGCATTAAAATAATGTTGAAGGTTTTAGGGAGAGAGACTGTAGGTGACAGATGACGCTCTCTCTTTGTTTCTGGGGACCAAAGACAATCATTTCAGTTTTGTCTGCGTTTAGCTGAAGGAAGTTGTTTTGCATCCACTCACTGATCTGTTGGATACAGTGAAGGAGTGAGTCCACTGGTCCATGTTCTCCTGCAGTCAGTGAGACATAGATCTGAGTGTTGTAAGGTTATTACTGTGTATTAACTGACCTAAAGGCAGCATGTAAATATTCAACAGAGTAGGCCCCAGGATCGATCCCTGTGGCACTCCTTAGGTCAGGGCCATATGATCTGAGACACAGTTTTCGATCTTCACAAAATACTTTCTCTCGTGTAGATAGTTTAGTTTGTGTGGATATTGACCTCCAACAGGTATCAATAAAGTATCTATCCATCTATCTATCTGTATAAATAAACATTACTTACTCACTTACATGGTTGTGTGTGCTCCATAGGCTCGTGGCCCCTGCTGCTCTGCGTCCTGCTGGGTCTCCTGGGGGGCAGTGTGGTGTTCTGCTGGTGCTGCTGGAGCCCGGGCTGGTTCCTGTGGCGTGTCAGTGTCTGTCGCTTCTGCCCGTGCTGTAACTCGGCGTGCTCGGCGTGCCAGCTCTGCGCCGCCACTACCCACTGCAAGGAGCACCGCATGGCCAAAGTGAACCCCCAACCTCCCGCCAAAGGACCCCCGACCACAGCTGTGAACCAGTCTGAGGGGGGCGGGGCTGCTGCTGTCGTGTAGGGCCCAGGGTTTTACAAACACATCTCTGTAGGTTTTTAGATTAGAGACTTCAGGGTCATTTGTTTTTGTTGGTATTTCATTTGTTTCATAGATTAGACTCAAAATCAAAGGTTATCACGTCACATTTTGTCAGCATTGGCCATCGACCCCACAACCTTCAGGCCAATGCTCTACCAACTGAACTGTCTTGCATATTTTTCCAAAAATTTTTGCTTCGTCCCGATGGCAGATCTTGTTTTTAGACAGTGAAAAAGATAAAAAATCCACTTGATTCACGCCTTTACTATTGTATATTTTATCATTTTTGGATTTAAAATGTGTCTCCGTTTGTCTGAAAAGATGCCAGACGTCATGGGAGGGTGTTGCCATGTTGGTGTGAACTATGTGGAGTGTGGACTGAGCTCTTTCCTGTCATTGCCCAAAAGGTCCCTCCTGCTCTGGGTCTGGGTCTACTCTGAGTCTGGGCCAAGTCTGGGTCTGGGCCAAGTCTGAGTCTGGGCCAAGTTTGATTCTGGGCCAAGTCTGAGTCTGGACCAAGTCTGAGTCTGGGCCAAGTCTGAGTCTGGGCCAAGTCTGAGTCTGGGCCAAGTCTGAGTCTGGGCCAAGTTTGATTCTGGGCCAAGTCTGAGTCTGGGCCAAGTCTGAGTCTGTACCAAGTCTGAGTCTGGGCCAAGTCTGGGTCTGGGCCAAGTCTGAATCTGGGCCAAGTCTGGGTCTGGGTCTATTCTGAGTCTGGGTCAAGTCTGGGTCTGGGCCAAGTCTAAGTCTGGGCCAAGTCTGAGTCTGGACCAACTCTGAGTCTGGACCAACTCTGAGTCTGGGCCAAGTCTGAGTCCTGGCCAAGTCTGAGTCCTGGCCAAGTCTGGGTCCGGGCCAAGTCTGAGTCTGGACCAAGTCTGAGTCTGTGCCAGGTCCGGGTCTGGGCCAAGTCTGAATCTGGGCCAAGTCTGGGTCTGGGTCTACTCTGAGTCTGGGTCAAGTCTGGGTGTGGGCCAAGTCTGAGTCTGGGTCAAGTCTGGGTCCGGGCCAAGTCTGAGTCTGGACCAAGTCTGAGTCTGTGCCAGGTCCGGGTCTGGGCCAAGTCTGAATCTGGGCCAAGTCTGGGTCTGGGTCTACTCTGAGTCTGGGTCAAGTCTGGGTGTGGGCCAAGTCTGAGTCTGGGTCAAGTCTGGGTCTGGGCCAAGTCTGAGTCTGGACCAACTCTGAGTCTGGGCCAAGTCTGGGTCCGGGCCAAGTCTGAGTCTGGACCAAGTCTGAGTCTGTGCCAGGTCCGGGTCTGGGCCAAGTCTGAATCTGGGCCAAGTCTGGGTCTGGGTCTACTCTGAGTCTGGGTCAAGTCTGGGTGTGGGCCAAGTCTGAGTCTGGGCCAAGTCTGAGTCTGTACCAAGTCTGAGTCTGGGCCACGTCTGGGTCTGGGCCAAGTCTGAATCTGGGCCAAGTCTGGGTCTCCTCTGAGTCTGGGTCAAGTCTGGGTCTGGGCCAAGTCTGAGTCCGGGCCAAGTCTGAGTCTGGACCAAGTCTGAGTCTGGGCCAAGTCTGGGTCTGGGCCAAGTCTGAATCTGGGCCAAGTCTGGGCCTGGGTCTACTCTGAGTCTGGGTCTCCTCTGAGTCTGGGTCAAGTCTGGGTCTGGGCCAAGTCTGAGTCTGGACCAACTCTGAGTCTGGGCCAAGTCTGAGTCCGGGCCAAGTCTGAGTCTGGACCAAGTCTGAGTCTGGGCCAAGTCTGGGTCTGGGCCAAGTCTGAATCTGGGCCAAGTCTGGGCCTGGGTCTACTCTGAGTCTGGGTCAAGTCTGGGTCTGGGCCAAGTCTGAGTCTGGGCCAAGTCTGAGTCTGTACCAAGTCTGAGTCTGGGCCAAGTCTGGGTCTGGGCCAAGTCTGAATCTGGGCCAAGTCTGGGTCTCCTCTGAGTCTGGGTCAAGTCTGGGTCTGGGCCAAGTCTGAGTCTGGGCCAAGTCTGAGTCTGGACCAACTCTGAGTCTGGGCCAAGTCTGAGTCCGGACCAAGTCTGAGTCTGGACCTACTCTGTACATTTGGAGTCGGTTCTATTGTCTGTATTAAGTATTTTTTTTCTTTTATTGTTTTCAGATACAATTCATTATTTGATTGTGTGTTATTCCCGTAGTTTTTGCAGATGAAAAATGTTGTGCCAAATGGATATTGCAACACAATCAGATGTTTTAGAGAGAAAAGGGGGAAGAAATAAACCGAAATAAAAACTGAACAAAATGTTGTTTTCTGGTCATTTATCTCCATAACCTGAGTTTGAGGACCGCTTTGGTTATGGGCTCGCATAATTAATTATTGATATCGGCTTCTCAAACTGTAGACGATAGGCTCTCACAATGAGGTAATGTTACAATATGGATACAATGTAAATAACAAAAATATAATACTGCTCTCGAAATGAAAAGATTTATGTTGATTAATGAATTACCACCTTCCAACCCGGGAAGAAAACATCAAAAAGGAACGATTTTGTGTCCTAGGAACAGAAAAACAACTGTAAACAGTCTGCATGACCTGTTGTTGCCACGTATGGTCACTAGAGGGCGCTACAAGCAAGTCTATGGAACAGACCAGCGCACTTAAGGCTATAGCGTCTACTTCGACCTGTGCAGTGTGAATGAATGAATGAATGAATGAAAAACTTTAGTTCCAGCCATGGCACACAAGAGCAAAGACCCACAACACAATAGGAAAATAAAAAATACGTGATAGTATATAAATAGTGTTTTGTTTTTATTTAAAAAAAATCCAGATAAATAGCATCATTGTCCTAAGGCAGGTAAGAAACACACAGTTAGGTAAAAGTACAAAAGAGAAAATGGGCGACACGGTCGCTGAGTGGATAGCTCTCCCGCTTCTCAGCAAGAACCTTCCTGGGTGGCATTTCTGAGTGGAGTTTGCATGTTCTCCCCGTGCTTTCGTAAGTTTCCTCTGGGTACTCCAGGTTCCCCTACCACTAAAAACTTAAAAAACACAATAGGTTAAATCCTCCAGCTCTGGTCCTGACCAAGCCGAGCATCAACATAGATGGTTCCTGGGTACTGTTACTACGGCGACCACTGCTCCTGACGTGAGCCTTGCAGCATCAGGATGGGTCAAATGCAGAGGATGAATTGCCCTACGGGAATTACTACGGGGATTAATAAAGTGCATCGTTACTGAAAGAGTAAGAAATTCCAAGGAAGAGCAGATGATGAATGACTGGACTCCTTTAAAGTTTGGAATGTTATGACGCAAGTGATTTAGTTCTGGTTTAATGCTTTAATTTTTGGTTAATCATGTTCTAATTGGAGTTGTTGTAGAGCAGTCCTGGTCTGATCCCGGCTCTGGTTTTGATTTGAGTAATGTTGAAGAAGACTTTTACATTGTGTCAAAACGTCACACCATTCAACAGAAACTGCAATAACATTGTTTTTAGAACGAGTAAAAAGTAGTCTGGATAGACACACCTATGTGGGTGCAGTATTTCTAGATTTGAGAAAAGCATTTGATGTAGTGAACCATGATATACTTCTGTCTAAGCTGCCATTTTTCAATTTTTCTGAGAAAGCCATAAAATGGATGGCTTCATATTTGTCTAGTAGAAAACAAGGGTCTGTGGTCAATGGAGTGAAATCAAGTTTTATCAACTGTCCACTAGGGGTCCCCCAAGGATCAGTTCTTGGCCCTATTTTATTCTCCATGTTCATAAATGATCTGCCCAATATTTGTAAAGGTGTAAACATTCAATTATATGCCGATGATGCAGTGATATATGCAAGTGCAAAATCATCTGAGGAAGCTGCTAAAATTCTAACGTCAGCACTTGTAAATATTCAGAGTTGGCTCACGAAGTCCTGTCTGCTCCTAAACAAACAAAAAACTGTTTGTATGATGTTCTCTAAAAAGGCCTCTAACATCAGCCGCTCCAATGTGTTTATTGAAAATCAGGAACTACAACTAGTAACAGAATTTAAATACTTAGGGGTGTTAATAGACTCCACATTATCCTTTAAAAAACACGTGAAGATGATTGGTAATAGAATTAAGTTCACCGTTTCCAATTTTAATCATATACGGAGGTCATTAACAGACGAAGCTGCCTTGACGTTTTTGCACTGTATGATTTTTTCCCATGTAAGCTATTGTATAACACAATAGGTGTAACAATCCTAAAGCCAATTGAGAGGCTCTACAAAAAAGCACTGAAAGTTTTAGACAAAAAACCTTACACTTACCATCATTGTAGTATCCTCTCAAAATATAAACTATTAAGTTTTGAGAACTTTATCAAATTCAAAAATGCTTGTCTCATATACAAAAGTTTACATGGGTTAGCCCCCCCTCCTCTGAACGATCACATTAGATACAAAACTTCAACTTCACGAACCACCAGAGCCATGAGTCGAGGTGATTGTGAGGTTCCTGCGAGAAAAACTACTTTCGGACAAAATGTTCTGTCGTACAAGGGCTGTATGCAATGGAACAGTTTGCCGACTTCTGTAAGAGAGGCCCCTAGTTTTACTTCATTTAAAAGTCTCCTAAAGGAGTGGTTAAGGTCGTCTCAAACATGCGACCATTAATAATGTTGGGGAACATGCGATAGGGTTTGTTTGCAAATAGGACATGTGTAGTTTTGGTTGACTGTAATGCAAGGATGTTATGCAGTAATGGGGGTGTGTAAAATAACGGGATGTGTGCAATAATGAGAGATGTGTGTAACGGGATGTGTGCAATAATGGTGATGTGTGCAATAATAATGACATGTGTGCAATAGAGTGTGCATAGATGGCGAGATGTGTGCAATAATGAGATGTGTGCAATAATGAGATGTGTGCAATGAATGATGAGATGTGTGCAATAATGAGATGTGTGCAATATGAGATGTGTGCAATAATGAGATGTGTGCAATAATGAGAGGTGTGCAATACTGAGATGTGTGCAATAATGAGATGTATGCAATACTGAGATTTGTGCAATAATGAGATGTATGCAATAATGAGATGTGTGCAATAATGAGATGTGTGTATTAACGGGATGTGTGCAATAATCTGATGTATGTATTAGATGTGTGTAACAACGGAACGTGTGCAATAATGAGATGTGTGTAATTTCCTCTTGTTTCTGTTAATGTTGCTGCATTTGACCCGTGTGACCCTGACCCTATGGGACTACAGATGGAAATTAGCCTTTGGCTATAATCTGGCATGTTTACATTCATGTTTTTAATGTCTGTTCATTGACATGCACTGTCCCATTCAAATAAATAAATAAATAAATAAACGTCACTACTGAATAAAATCTAATGTATCAAGAGTCAAGTTGCCATAAAGAGTTAATGGGGCCTGAGACATGAACAGCTCGTGCATCACAACAAATCATGAAACATAGACCCAAAGCATTTCCATAACCTGTGATTATAGAGACGGAAAACTCCATTTTGCAAGAAAGTTGTGCTTTAAGGCAGAGGAAGTGTATCACAGTCAGGGTTAGTCCATTAGTGCAGTGGTTTAGTGCCAAGACAAGTGGAGACTGGTGAATGTGACGGCGATGAGACATGAGACACACCCTCTATAGAAAAACACAACCCCAGGCCACTGTTTATGACGGCGTTCACAGACACACACTCATAGACACACACTCACATCACACTATCACAGACACACACTCATAGACACACACCCACAGACACACACTCACACTGGACGCTTGTCTGTGCATGACTGTCTCAGCCACTTCCCCCTTTAGAAAAAAAAAACCCACGATCATGATTAGGGTTGTGTTGGATAAGGAATTTAGATTCAGTGGTAAATATTGGAGATAAGATCAGCTTTATTATTGATCTCACAATGGAGAAATGTAGTGTATTTGGCATGGATAGAGTCAGATAGACAAAAAGTGAGCAAGAGTTAGAAATATAGTCTGTGTCAGTTATAGTGAATTATAGAAATTAAGAATAGTCTTGGTCGTTTTGAGTGTATACTGATTAGTCGAATACAACACAAATGTTATCCCTATGAACGTATCTAATTACTTATTTATTCATTCGGTCGGGGTCCAACAAAATACATTGAGCACAAACATTTAAAATTCACAAAAAGACATTTTCCCAGACTGAAATGGTTTAGGCTGAAGCACTTATCACACCTTTTCACACAATCAAAATCAAGTACAAGAGGGAGCAAGACCGCGAGAAATCACACTGAGCTCCGGCTTCTCTCGCCTCTCAGCAAGAAGGTCCTGGGTTCGAATCCCGGTCGGACCAGGGCCTTTCTGAGTGGAGTTTGCATGTTCTCCCTGTGTCTGCGTAGGTTTCCTCCGGGTACTCCGGTTTCCCCTACCACAAAAAATATGTCCAATAGTTCTGGCATGTGCCTCCTGTACTGGCCCCTCCCATCTCTGTGTGGAGTGAGAGACAATTGCCCAAAAAAAAAAAAATTACAATTGTAAACCACTTTGAGACTCAGATCTGCAGTGAAAAGGGGGTATATAAATAAATTTAGATAGAAGATTAAAGATAGATTGCTTCAGAGATGAAAGAAAAAAACAAACAATAATAATAATAAAACAGAACCAACATTTTTTTTTTCATTAATAGGACATTACAACATTATATTAATTATAACAGAACTATTTACAAGTACCTATACATGGGAAAAATACACCAATATTTATTTATATTTATATTTATATTTATGTGCACTCACTGAGGTAGGATAGAAAACTAATTTATTTAAGCGTTTGGGGATACAGTAGACGTCTCATGTGCTAAATGCAGTTTTTAGTTATCAGTATTTAGATGAAGAGATCTTGTATTTGTCCCACAGGGTTTCCAAGCACTGCCTTCATGGTGCGTCTCTAAACATTAAAAAACAGCAGAACTCCAAACAGCCCAGGAGCCCCACGCTCAGACTTGTCCACAAACTATGGCTTGGCGTGAGGTGTGTTGTTGATTCAGAGGAGGGTGCAGCTCTGGGTGTGACCGTGACACACTGCGGCAGGTCATAAGCTGCTGCTGCACTTGTGGAGCTCATTTCTACAGATTCACGTCAAAAAGAATCTGCTTCAGGCCCACGGAAAACACACCGAATGAAAGTGCTGCTGCTGCTTCTGGCCGGTAAGATTAGATTTGTGTCTGTTTGTCAAAGACTTGAATAAGTTCAGTTAAGGTTAGTTACAGCATAAAGTGAGTGTTTTATGGAGGTCATAAAGAACTCACACCTTTGTCTGTCTGAGCCTCTCTGTGCGGAGTTTACATGTTTCTCCTCAAGTCTGGGTTTTCTAAAGGTTTTTGCCTCCAGCTCCTTAAGTCTTGACAAAGCTGAGCACCAGAAACCACAGATGGGTTGGACTAATCTGAAGTTCTTATCAAAGGCAGAACTTTCACTCTTGTTTGATTTGTTGTTCTGTTTGAAGGATTATTATGGTCTCGGGCTCTGTTCTGTGGAGACACTGCTGCTGCCAGAGGCTACTGCTCCTGGAGCTTGGGCCACATGTTATGATTATGCAGGTTTCTTTGGCAAAAGTCTTTTTAATTACAATGAATTGTATTAGTCATTGTAGCTAAAATTACAGTTTTGTAACACACAATATGATAACAGAGAGTATAATCCTTTAACATCATATAAATTGCTATTGGATTAGTACATTTAAAGATAAACTCAATCTGTTTTTACATATAGATTCTTAAAAATTTCACTTTGCAAAACACCTTGTGCCGTGAATCTTATGTTGCACGATCTCTTTTGAAGCCCTGGCTGCAGTCCCTGGAGCTTCCTCCAGCTGCCTGTTAGGGGCTTGTTACCCCCCCAGTGGAGACTTGCTGCTGGGCAGAGCTCGGCTGCTGCGGGCCTCATCCACATGTGGCCTCACAGGTTCTGAGGTCTACTGCACCCCGTATCAGCAGGTAACTCTACAGAGGTTTCTCCATTCTCTCTGAATCATCATCAGAACAAAAGATTTACTCTTGGCACTTTTCTGATGGATTTGAAGAAGTCATTCAAGCTCATTGCTGTTATATTTCATGATATTAACTTCTGAAATAGTACAGTTTTTGTTTTGTATAAATATATACATGTTTTGAATGCTTTCTAAAACTGCTCTAAGTTGAAAGACTCCAATGTAGGCAGTTGTAAGTAGCTAAGAGTTGGTACATTTGTTGCAGAGGAGAATGAAGTGTTGTCCTTGTGATTCACAAAACCCAGAGGGTCCGCTGGCCCACACCATCCAGGAGGTCCTCTCTACAGCTGCTCCGGACCGATGGTGGCAGTCACAGAAAGGTGGGACGAACATCATGTACAGTATATATCATCACATTAACAAACTAAATTCAGACAAAGACAGTGCATACATCCACTTCTGGTGCGATTAGAGATTCTAAACATACATCTGTTTTCTTTAAATACATATTATTTGTGTATTTTTTTGAAGGAGTGAGTCCTGTCACAATACAAATGGATCTCAAAGGCCTGTTTCAACTCGACAATCTGATCTTGGACTTTAAGGTACGATGCATTCAGGGTATTTGTATGTATGTATGTATGTATGTATGTATGTATGTATGTATGTATGTATGTATGTATGTATGTATGTATGTATGTATGTATGTATTTGTATGTATGTATGTATGTATGTATGTATGTATGTATGTATGTATGTATGTATGTATGTATGTATGTATGTATGTATGTATGTATTTGTATGTATGTATGTATGTATGTATGTATGTATGTATGTATTTGTATGTATGTATGTATGTGTTTGTATGTATGTATGTATGTATGTATGTATGTGTTTGTATGTATGTATGTATGTATGTATTTGTATGTATGTATGTATTTGTATGTATGTATGTATGTGTTTGTATGTATGTATGTATGTATGTATTTGTATGTATGTATTTGTATGTATGTATGTATTTGTATGTATGTATGTATGTATGTATTTGTATGTATGTATGTATGTATTTGTATGTATGTATGTATGTATGTATGTATTTGTATGTATGTATGTATGTATTTGTATGTATGTATGTATGTGTTTGTATGTATGTATGTATGTATGTATGTATGCATGTATGTATGTATGTATGTATGTATGTATTTGTATGTATGTATGTATGCATGTATGTATTTGTATGTATGTATGTATGTATGTATGTATGTATGTATGTATGTATGTATGTATGTATGTATGTATGTATGTATGTATGTATTTGTATGTATGTGTTTGTATGTATGTATGTATGTATGTATGTATGTATGTATGTATGTATTTGTATGTATGTATGTGTTTGTATGTATGTATTTGTATGTATGTATTTGTATGTATGTATGTATTTGTATGTATGTATGTATGTATGTATTTGTATGTATGTATGTATCTATGTATTTGTATGTATGTATGTATGTATGTATTTGAATGTATGTATTTGTATGTGTGTATGTATTTGTATGTATGTATGTATGTATGTATTTGTATGTATGTATGTATGTATGTATTTGTATGTATGTCTGTATGTATTTGTATGTATGTATGTATTTGTATGTATGTATGTATTTGTATGTATGTGTATGTATGTATGTATGTATGTATGTATTTGTATGTATGTATGTATGTATGTATGTATGTCATCAGTAGATTGATTGATTGTTGTTATGTTTGCAGGGTCCTCGGCCTCAGGCGTTGATGATCGAGAGGAGCTCAGACGATGGAAGAACGTGGCAGCCGTACGTCTACATGGCCACACACTGTCCTTCTGCTTTCCCTGGAGTCCCCACAACCACCCCACTACAACTGAAAGACACATACTGTTACACCCTGCCCCCCGTCGGGAGTGACGCGTACCGGGATCACCAAGTATGATTATATACACTATATCAATGTAACTAATCACTTTCTACGACCAAAAGAGAATATGAGATATGAGATGAGAAGGAGTGTGTTTATCTTCAGCAAAGTAAAGGTCAATCTGAAGTACTCAGTGTTCGTTATCTACATGTTTAGCTTTTATGTATTCAATCAGGTTATGTCGCCCATAACATTGAAGTTATAGCATTTCTCATTGTCTGTTGCAGATCCACTTGAGGCCTCTCGAACAATACATGTATGTTCCAGTCCCTAAAGACCAGAAGATTGAAGGTCCGATCCACACTGGTTTTCCTATAATCGCCGTTCTGTGGGTGGTGTTTCTAACGATGTGGTGTGTCTACAGAGGTCTCGGGTCTGACGAATCTCCGGGTGACACTGGCACAGCTGGGCGAGGTGCCTCAGATCCCAGGACGGTCCCTGAGCAGGTTCTTTGCTCTGAAAGAAATGAAGATGCACGGCCGCTGTATGTGTCACGGACATGCTAACAAATGTCTGCCAGATTCAACATCGTACTCAAACTACATCCAGGTACGATAAATGTAGAGTTTGTGATTTTAGATTAACATGTGACGCAAGAGCACGGGTTAGAAGGTGAGGTGTATTATTCTGGTCTAGTCTGAATCTGTAATTACCTGTAATGACTAAGGCTTGGTTTGTCTGATTCTTTTTATTTGCCATTGGCAGTAAAACCACATTGGAATACATGTGCAAAAGGCCCCAGTGTGCACCAGACATGAACAAACAAGGTTAAAAGTACAGAAATAAAAATGACAAAAAAGTGCAGGAAGCAATTGACACCGTGAAATGGATCATCGAAAACAGTTTCAATAAGTTTCAATAATCAGTAAAGAGCTCTGGCTAAAAGAGAGCGTTTTAGTAAAATACAAAAATGGGACAAGGAAAAAATGGTTAAAAGGTGGTGAAAGAAAATCACAAAAAAACATTATTTTGTTAAAGTGTCTGACATAAAACAAAACGTAAAGAAAGTTGTTTTTTTTTTTTATCCCCGGGAACCAAGATGGCGCCTTATTCAAATGAATGGCTTGTGCTCAGTAGCGCCTCACCATGGGGACTGAAAGATTAGCCGAACTGTCTCCCATATTTGGGCATTGTCAATCAGTGGACAAGCTCCCATGATGCTTTGCGCCAGATACGTGTGTGTGGTTCTCACGCACGTGCACAGAGGGGCTCGGCCACGCTCTGACCAATCAGAGGCTGGTGATCAGAGTGGAGTTGGAGCGGGAAGGAAAACGAGCAGAGTTTCTTGTGTTAAAGTGTGGATTTAAAGAAAACTGAAGGATTTAAGAAGAAGAAAAGCACCAAAATCCCCACAAAATCAGACTTTTGTGAAAGCTGTAGGTTCTCTGTCATGTTCTCTGTCAGCTGAGGTCGAGCTGTTTTAGTTTACACTGAGTTCTATGGGACCTTCTTTTGGGTTGCCCACATGAATTTAATCTGCAGTACCACAGCGCCCCCTGTGGCCATGGGTGGGACAGCTATAAGCTAGTGATACACCATCCAGTTATTATTAAAGATCCATGCCCATAACCTATAAACACGTACACAGTCTCATACAGCATTTCCAATAAGGCCTGATCTGAATCAATCGAACTGCCTGAAATAATGAGACCTCACCAGGTTTAATGTGCTTCACGAAACATAAAAGTGAAACATTAGAATCCTTGTTGTTTCCAGGTGCATCCGCGGTGTGAGTGCCAACACAACACCGCCGGCCTCAACTGTGAACGCTGTGCCGAGCTTTACAATGACCTGCCCTGGAGAGCCGCCGAGGAGGACAACACGCACACATGCAGACGTGAGCAAACCGTTCACTACTACACAACAGACACACACACACACACACATGCAAACGTGAGCAAACCGTTCACTACTACACAATAAACTGACACACACATTCCGTACTACAATACAGACAGACACACACATGCAAACGTGAGCAAACCATACACTACTACACAACAGACACACACACACACACACACACACACACATGCAAACGTGATCAAACCATACACTACTACACAACAGACACACACACACACATGCAAACGTGAGCAAACCATACACTACTACACAACAGACACACACACACACACACACACACACATGCAAACGTGAGCAAACCGTTCACTACTACACAACAGACACACACACACACACGCACACATACACACACACACACACATGAAAACGTGAGCAAACCGTTCACTGCTACACAATAACCTGACACACACACACACACACACACATGCAAACGTGAGCAAACCATACACTACTACACAACAGACACACGCACACACACACATGCAAACGTGAGCAAACCATACACTACTACACAACAGACACACACACACACACACATGCAAACGTGAGCAAACCATACACTACTACACAACAGACACACGCACACACACACATGCAAACGTGAGCAAACCATTCACTACTACACAATAGACACACACACACATACACACACACACACACACACACATGCAAACGTGAGCAAACCATTCACTACTACACAACAGACTGACACACACACACATAGTACATGCTTCAGTCAATCCCAGACACCAGCTGTGTCCCTGGTATTTACCATAAAAAATCAATAATTCGTTCAAAATGCAGCGGTTCCTCCGTTCTTTACCTGACCACAGATACTGGACTAGAGTTATATAGAAATGTAGATGTCAAAATTGAGCGTTTTAGGGAAAAAGCTTCCGAAGATTATCAGAGGACCATCAGAGACCTCCAAGACCATCAGAGGACCATCAGAGACCTCCAAGACCATAAGAGCACCATCAGAGACCTCCAAGACCATAAGACCACCATCAGAGACCTCCAAGACCATAAGAGCACCATTAGAGACCTCCAAGACCATCAGAGACCTCCAAGACCACCATCAGAGACCTCCAAGACCATCAGAGGACCATCAGAGACCTCCAAGACCATCAGAGACCTCCAAGACCACCATCAGAGACCTCCAAGACCATTAGAGGACCATCAGAGACCTCCAAGACCATAAGAGCACCATCAGAGACCTCCAAGACCATTAGAGGACCATCAGAGACCTCCAAGACCATTAGAGGACCATCAGAGACCTCCAAGACCACCATCAGAGACCTCCAAGACCATCAGAGGACCATCAGAGACCTCCAAGACCATAAGAGCACCATCAGAGACCTCCAAGACCATAAGAGCACCATCAGAGACCTCCAAGACCATCAGAGACCTCCAAGACCATCAGAGACCTCCAAGACCACCATCAGAGACCTCCAAGACCATCAGAGGACCATCAGAGACCTCCAAGACCATCAGAGGACCATCAGAGACCTCCAAGACCATAAGAGCACCATCAGAGACCTCCAAGACCATAAGAGCACCATCAGAGACCTCCAAGACCATCAGAGACCTCCAAGACCACCATCAGAGACCTCCAAGACCATCAGAGACCTTTAGGACCATCAGAGGACCATCAGGGACCTCCAGGACCATCAGAGACCTCCAAGACCATAAGAGCACCATCAGAGACCTCCAGGACCATCAGAGACCTTTAGGACCATCAGAGCACCATCAGGGACCTCCAGGACCATCAGAGACTTCCAGGACCATCAGAGACCTTTAGGACCATCAGAGCACCATCAGAGACCTTTAGGACCATCAGAGACCTCTAGGACCATCAGAGACCTTTAGGACCATCAGAGCACCATCAGAGACCTCCAGGACCATCAGAGACCATTGAAGACCTCTATAGGTCCTTAGTAACAAGTGCAAAATGTTGCAATAACCCAAACCCTAAAGAGCAATTTTAGTTGCACTTGCTATAATGATTGTGTGTGTGTGTATGTGTGTGTGTGTGTATTTGTGTGTGTGTGTGTGTGTTATTATGAATTTTGAAGTAGTGTCACAGGAAACAGGTCCACATTCATTGTACGGTCTACAACCATCATGTTTATAATAATATCCGGTCATAAATCCAGATTTGTTTTAATACTTAATGCTGTGCGCTCGTTTCCAGGCTGTGAGTGCAACAACCACGCCGAGCGCTGTCGTTTTGACCGAGACGTGTACGAGGCGAGTGGGCGTCGCAGCGGAGGTGTTTGTGTGGACTGTATGCACCACACCACAGGCCCCAAGTGTGACCAGTGCGCCCCCGGGTACCAGGCGAACCCCCGCAGCAGCAGGGACCGGCCTGACGCCTGTATACGTGAGTCACACACAACAACTCTCCAGCTTCCTCTGATAAACTGTACATACTGTGTGTTAGTCTGAGGACAAGAGCTGCATCAGACTATTGTGAAGAAGTGTGTCTGTGTTTGTCTGTCTGTCCTAACTCAAATACACCAACATAACAAAAGGGGGAGAGGTGTTTTGGATGTGAGACAGATTAAGTTAGATTTTTACTAAAATGGTTAAAAGGTATTTTTGCTTGTTCTCTTTAATGTTACACATGACACGCTTTATCCATTTATCCATAAATATAAGAAAAATATTATTGTAGGTATATTTTTGACCAATATATCGACAATCGCTGCATCGTCATATCGTGAGATAATCGTTATCGTGATCTTTGTATCGCACATCGTATGGTATCGTGAGGTTCCCGGAGGTTCCCACCCCTATCTATGGGGTGAGAGACAATACTCACAATTGTAAACTGATTTGACTCTGGTCTTAGAAAGGCGCTATATAAACAAAGATTGCTTATGTGTTTGCAGGTTGTGTGTGCAGTGCAGCTGGGACTGTGGATGGAGCTCTCTGTGATGACAGCTCAGGCTCGTGTCAGTGCAAAGCTAACGTGGAGGGTTCTGAGTGTGACCGCTGTAAACCGGGATTCTACAACCTGAGCTCCTCCAACCCTCAGGGCTGCACCAGTGAGTGTCTCACGCCTTCACCACAATCTGAAAACATTATATTAAGATCAGAAGTGTAGAAACATAATCAAATGTGTTGGTCCATCAAGTTCTGTTGTTTTGCCACTACTTTTACTTTACTTTTGAATGTTCTGGAAAACAGCAGCAGGTCCTGAGTGTCTCTGAAACAGTTGTAGTTTTGTGCTTCACGATTTTTATTTTTATTGCTTTTTTCTGCCTGAGATGTTGCTGCAGTTCAGTGTTCATGGTTTTACACTGGTCCAGACCAGAGCAGAGAGGATTCATGGTTTTACACTGGTCCAGACCAGAGCAGAGAGGATTCATGGTCCAAACCAAGTGGATCAGATGAAAATCCACTGGAGGAATGCTAACTTTATGAAAAAAGCTAATGAATCATGTAGCATTTTACTTTGGACCAGAGCAGAGAAAATGGTCTGAACCAAGCTCCTCCTCTGCTGCTGTGACCTGAAGGACTGATGTTATTATTACTATTGTTAGCTTTTTAGAATGATCAATTTTATTTTTTATTTTTGCTGCTACTGGACCCTTGAATTTCTCCAACAGGGATCAATAAAGTATCTATTTATCTATCTGTCTGTCTGTCTATCATGACTAACGTGTGTGTTGGTGTGTGCAGAATGCCGCTGCTCTCCCATTGGCTCCTTGTCCGAGCTCTGTGATGTCGTGACCGGTCAGTGCCTGTGCCACCCTAATACCTCTGGGCGTGAGAGCTGCTCCCCCGGGTTCTGGAGGCCCGTGGGCTCTGAGCGCTGTGAGCCCTGTGCATGTGACCCTGCTTCTTCTCTGAGCAACAGCTGCGATCAGGTGCGTCTCAGTGAGTACTCAGAACATACATGTATTTGACGATAACATGTTTTCCTCTTCACTGTGCTTGATGTGTAGTCGGGACAGTGTCGCTGCAAGTCCGGATTTGGAGGCAAGACCTGCTCTGAGTGCGGACCTCATATGTTCGGAGATCCTTTCAGAGGCTGCAGACGTAAGTTTGGAATATTGTTGTGGTGAGGGAGCTAATGTATTGTTATGTTCTTCTCTACTTCTGACTTGATTGCACTGAGAGCCAAAGCAATCTCCTAGTCTGTGTTTTACTATTACTTACATGGCAAAAAAAATGATTCTGATGTTTAAGTCCTGTGAATTCAAGTAAAGTTGGAGTGTAAATATGAAAGAAACTTAATTAACAAAATCATTTCAAGATAATATTTGTATTTACATGAACAGTTGTGCTTGAAAGTTTACTCACCCAAACAAAGAGTGTGATTCTTTCAGACGGATAAAGAATTATATATTTTTTGCTAAACAGTCTTATCATTAATCATTACCAAACATATGGCCAAAGTACAATACAATACAATTTATTCTTGTAAAGCCCTAAATCGCAACAGTAGTCACTTCAGAGGACTTTAAAAAAAAAACATTAAAAACCAACACACATCAGACAATCAACAGAAATAATGATAGGCCTGACTTTGAATAAACTTTCAATCACAACTGTGCGTTACTGTCTTTCATTTCCTGCTGTCATTAAATCCTCTTGTTTTCTCATTTGTGTTAAATTATAATCGTAGTGATTTGTGTTGTGTTGTTGTGTGTGCAGCGTGTGACTGCGACAGAGACGGCACATTGGCGGAGGGCTGCGATAAACAGACCGGGACGTGTGTGTGTCGACCCAGCGTGACAGGCCCCCGCTGTGACACTTGCAGTCGGGACCGCTGCGACTCCTTCCCGCTCTGTCAGACATGTCCGTCCTGCTTTTTCACCCTCGATGCCCAAAGACAGAACATCAGCGCTGCCCTGAGAAAACTGCAGCTCCCAGGGACCCCAGGACCATCCCCGGATTTCGGACCCCGCATCCATGCTCTTGAATCCAGCCTGAACAACATCAAGAATGGCATCTCTCTCCCACCTGCTGTTTCTGTGGATGTTGATAAGGCCTTGGTCACGATCAGTCAACTTCAGTGAGTATTTCGATCATATTTTAGTAAATACACTAAATATAATATATAACATAATATACAATTATTACAATTATACACCCGTTTCTGCAGGTTTGAATGTTTAGCCCCAACTCGCTCACAGGCTTCTCATTTCCTCTACGTTCTCATAACACGGAGCCATCTAGTTCTATTTGCGATCTGATACATATGCTAGCATTAGCATGAGCGCAACTTAAGCAGTACAACAATCACTGATGAAATGGTACAAAAGCGACGCACTGCTAACAATATATATAACTGAAAGATTACCGCTAGTTTCACGTGCGAATGTAGTCCGAGCTTAGATAGTCCGAGCTTAGATAGTCCGAGCTTAGATAGTCCGAGCTTAGATAGTCCGAGCGTAGATAGTCCGAGCGTAGATAGTCCGAGCTTAGATAGTCCGAGCTTAGATAGTCCGAGCTTAGATAGTCCGAGCTTAGATAGTCCGAGCTTAGATAGTCCGAGCTTAGATAGTCCAATCTTAGATAGTCCGATCTTAGATAGTCCGAGCTTAGATAGTCCGAGTTTAGATAGTCCGAGCTTAGATAGTCCGAGCTTAGATAGTCCGAGCTTAGATAGTCCGAGCTTAGATAGTCCGAGCTTAGATAGTCCGAGCTTAGATAGTCCGAGCTTAGATAGTCCGAGCGTAGATAGTCCGAGCGTAGATAGTCCGAGCGTAGATAGTCCGAGCGTAGATAGTCCGAGCGTAGATAGTCCGAGCTTAGATAGTCCGAGCTTAGATAGTCCGAGCTTAGATAGTCCGAGCTTAGATAGTCCGAGCGTAGATAGTCCGAGCGTAGATAGTCCGAGCTTAGATAGTCCGAGCTTAGATAGTCCGACCTTAGATAGTCCGAGCTTAGATAGTCCGAGCTTAGATAGTCCGAGCTTAGATAGTCCAATCTTAGATAGTCCGATCTTAGATAGTCCGAGCTTAGATAGTCCGAGTTTAGATAGTCCGAGCTTAGATAGTCCGAGCTTAGATAGTCCGAGCTTAGATAGTCCGAGCTTAGATAGTCCGAGTTTAGATAGTCCGAGCTTAGATAGTCCGAGCTTAGATAGTCCGAGCGTAGATAGTCCGAGCGTAGATAGTCCGAGCGTAGATAGTCCGAGCGTAGATAGTCCGAGCGTAGATAGTCCGAGCGTAGATAGTCCGAGCTTAGATAGTCCGAGCTTAGATAGTCCGAGTTTAGATAGTCCGAGCTTAGATAGTCCGAGCTTAGATAGTCCGAGTTTAGATAGTCCGAGCGTAGACAGTCCGAGCGCAGACAATCCGAGCGCAGACAGTCCGAGCGTAGATAGTCCGAGCGTAGATAGTCCGAGCGTAGATAGTTCGAGCGTAGATAGTCTGAGCGTAGATAGTCCGAGCGTAGATAGTCCGAGCGTAGATAGTCCGAGCGTAGATAGTCCGAGCGTAGATAGTCCGAGCGTAGATAGTCCGAGCTTAGATAGTCCGAGCTTAGATAGTCCGAGCGTAGATAGTCCGAGCGTAGATAGTCCGAGCTTAGATAGTCCGAGTTTAGATAGTCCGAGCGTAGACAGTCCGAGCGCAGACAATCCGAGCGCAGACAGTCCGAGCGTAGATAGTCCGAGCGTAGATAGTCCGAGCGTAGATAGTTCGAGCGTAGATAGTCTGAGCGTAGATAGTCCGAGCGTAGATAGTCCGAGCGTAGATAGTCCGAGCGTAGATAGTCCGAGCGTAGATAGTCCGAGCGTAGATAGTCCGAGCTTAGATAGTCCGAGCTTAGATAGTCCGAGCTTAGATAGTCCGAGCTTAGATAGTCCGAGTTTAGATAGTCCGAGCGTAGACAGTCCGAGCGCAGATAGTCCGAGCGCAGATAATCCGAGCGCAGATAGTCCGAGCATAGATAGTCCGAGCGTAGATAGTCCTGTCAAATGTTATATGTTTGTGCATGTTTGTTATTTGATTAACATTTCAGATCATTTTGTGTGAAAACGATTAGTTTTAAAGATATTGTGACAATATCATTATCGGGAGTTGGGGAAAAATATCGAGATATTTGTTTTTGCCCATATCGCCCACCTCTAATTATTAGTCTTGTATATTATTTTATAAATGTTTGTACTTTCTATTTCAGACAACACAGTCCCCAAACACACACTCACAATCAGTACATACAAAGAATACATAACACAACGACAAAAACTTACTTGGCCATGCTATAGTAAAATACACAAACTGGCAGACGGGACAAATGCAGAGTAAACAGGTTGGACAAAAGACAAAAAGATAAAAACGTACAGACAGAACACAGGCTTGGGGTTTTTTAATTATTTATTTATTTATTTTTTGCCCCACTCTCTGGTTGGCAGCCTCACTGTGGAGAAGCAGTGCGTCTCATTTTTATCTATTCTCAGTCTCTGTTTCATGGTTTCTTCTTTCTTGTGTATTATTACCGGAGTGTTAGATTTTTTTACAGAATGATTGTGATTAAACTATTCTATTTTCTACAGATCAGAGATGAATAAAATAAATAAGACTTTAAAACCTTTGGAGAAAACGAATCTGGAACCAGAGCTGGACAAACTGCAGGATCTTCTGGACTCTCTGAATTTAGATTTCAAGATCAAGAGTGACAACCTGAAAAACACAACCAGTCCCACAGACACAGGTAACACTGAGAGAACAACAAGTATAACATTTAAATACTTTTTTATATACTTTTTTTTTTTTCAATTGTATTTATTTGGTATTTTTATGTTTGTCTCATAAAAACATATTAAACAAAAAGGAGAAAAAAAAGAAAAAGTGGCAATTTTCCCAATCCCTCTCTCCCATCCCACCTTAACCCACCCCCTCCATCACACACTCTATACACCCATACACACACACACACACACACACACACACACACACACACAATTAAGTACATAAATAAGTAAATAATTAGAGAAAAAAAGTGAAATACCTTTTGGAATATATTTCATGCCTATGGAGTTATGTATTTGTGAATTAAGACATTTACACTAAGCTCTCATGTTCTGCCACAGGAGCGTTTTCTGCCATCAAGAAAGCCTATAACGAATCTACGGACACTGCTCGAAACGTGAGCACATCAATCAAAAAACTTGGAAAAACCACCGACACCAGAAAAGACCTTGAGGACCAGCTCAACCAAGTTCTGCCGATTAACACCAAGAATTTAAGCCGGTTGAATAGCAGCTTTGCCTCGGAGCCTGACCTCAGTCCTCTGGCCAAGATGGTACGTCACAAACCAGTCTAAAAAGAATATTTATGCATGTTGTTGTGGCTCATTTAAAGGAGCAGTGTGTAAACATGTGGCCAAAAGTGGTACTGCAGCCTCTCCCACTCTCCCTGACTCAGGTTGCCAGATATGCAGACGAATCCAGCTGGGACCATAACAGCTGAATAGACAAGAGTTTTGTCAACAACAAATCTATAACCAACACCTTTTTCACAAAGATAGAAATCCTGGTTTTATTCCTTGTTTTGTCGTTAATGATTTGAGAATCATAACGAGACCTTTTTTAGTTTTGTGCCACATGGTACTTTACCAGTGAGATTAGCTCCACGCGGTGAGTTCTGGCGCCCGGATCACAGACTTTCTGATTGGTGAAACGGTGGAGGGCGGGACATCAAAATGAAAACAATAACAAGATTTAGTGGCTGGAAAACTCATTTTGAAATGTAATATCTCTAAACTGCTGTTATCAGTTAAAGAAGTATTGTAAAAGTGAAGTTAATAATTATGACAGATTTGGGCCCTTTAGTGATGACAGATTAGGGCCCATTAATGATGACAGATTAGGGCCCTTTCATGATGACAGATTAGGGCCTTTTAATGATGACTCGTTATGAAAATCTCACATATACTTTAATATTACCTTTTGATTGACAGGTGTGTGGCAAAGTCCTCTCAGAAGCCTGCACACCTCTACAGTGTTCGACAGAGGAACTGTGTGCTCCTGACGGACAGCCTCCGTGTGAATCGGGAAAACCCTGCCTCGGTGCTCTGCCTCTGGGGAACAAAGCTGCTGCCGATGCTGGACAAGTGCAAGACAAACTGGATGTGCTTTCCAAAAAGATCTCAGATGCAGCCAAGAAGGTGAGTCTCATACTTTAACCACAGCCAACAACATTACTGACAGAGCCACTTTTTCTCTTATAGCTTCAGAAAACACAGGAGACCACGAATCAGGTGCGAGATTCTACTGAAAAACTGAACAATCAAATTAAAAAAGCCAGAGATGCATTGGAGGAAGACTTAAAGAAGAGTCGGGATGTGGTGAAGGAGCTCAAGGACTTCCTCTCCGGTACAGAATTCTTCAACACATGGCTTTATGCTAATAATCAATCAATCCATATTTATTTGTGGAGTGCTTTTCCTGCAAAGGGCAACACAAAGCGCTTCACAGTCCACCACACAGACACACATCATCACACAAAACACACATCTAGCCTGGTCGTACCACACCATCGTCCATGCAGGGAAATGATAATCAACCGGAGTTTACGGATGGCTAAGTCCAGGCTAACAAACACCAGAATCACCATTAAAAACACAATTAAGATCAAGTAATTAATCCTTAAATGGTTTTCTCAAGCATTTGGTAGATCCCCTTTTGAGTCACTATAGACAAAAGCAAAAGGCAAATGTCTCTATAAAGCACAGTTCATACAGAAGCAATAGACACAGAAAGGACATTGGAAAACAATATTACATATGTGTGCACACGTAAGCCTGTAGTAATAATAAAATATATGATAATAATTTCAAAAAGAGCCATGTTTTAATGATTTAAACAGAAAATAAAAACGAAATGCTGCCTCACTCTTTTTGGTCCTGACATTTGGGACACACAAGATCCCAAACTAAAGCTACTTGAAGCTAGTTTGGAACAAAATTTACCTCTTTGGGACCTCTTTAGTTTCAGACACTTTCATACCTATTATTAAAAAAAAAAAAAAACATAACAAGTGATTATTTGTGTTATTATTGCTCCTACATCTAAGAAAATTAAAATAAATATATAGCTGTGTCCAAGGAGATCTCATTAAAGTACATGGTAGTAGTAGTAAATCCTCGGTTGTATGCACGGACAAACAGAACCGTCTGTATAACCTGAATTTGAACGTTGCCAGAGAAGAAGCCAGTCTGTCTCACACCTTCAGGAAGACTGTTCTAGCTGCATGAGTCTGAAACTAATCAGGTCTCTGCTCTCTCCAGACCCCTCCTCGAACCTGACCCACATCCAGCAGGTGAGTGACTGGGTGCTCAAAGCCAAACTTCCAGTGAGTCTTACTGCTTTGAAGTCGAAGCTGGATGAACTCAAGAACCTGGCCAGTGATTTGCCGAACAGTACCGCGGTGCTGCAGCAGGCCCAGCCGCAGCTCGAGGCGGCAAAGAAACTGCTGCAGGAGGCACAGGACGCACGGTGAGGTTATTATAGAGTCATACAGGGATCAGGCTATGGGACAGAGGGAATAAGAGACAGAGACACACAGACAGAGACACACAGACAGAGACAGAGACACACAGACAGAGACAGAGACACACAGACAGAGACAGAGACACACAGATAGAGACAGAGACAGATAGAGACAGAGACACACAGACAGAGACAGACAGACAGAGACACACAGACAGAGACAGATAGAGACAGAGAGAGAGACAGAGACACACACAGACAGAGACAGAGACACACAGACAGAGACAGAGAGAGACACACAGACAGAGACACACAGACAGAGACACACAGACAGAGACACACAGATAGAGACAGAGACACACAGACAGGGACAGAGAGAGACAGAGACACACAGACAGAGACAGAGAGAGACAGAGACACACAGACAGAGACAGATAGAGACAGAGAGAGAGACAGAGACACACACAGACAGAGACAGAGACACACAGACAGAGACAGAGAGAGACACACAGATAGAGACAGAGACACACAGACAGAGACAGACAGACAGAGACACACAGATAGAGACAGAGACACACAGACAGAGACAGAGAGAGACAGAGACACACAGATAGAGACAGAGAGAGAGACAGAGACAGAGACAGATAGAGACAGAGAGAGAGACAGAGACAGAGACAGATAGAGACAGAGAGAGAGAGAGACACAGAGACAGATAGAGACAGAGACAAGACAGAGGCAGACACAGATACATGCAGACAGAGACAAGACACGGACAGAGACAGACAGACACAGGACAGAGACAGACAGACAGAGACAGATAGACAGAGACAGACAGAGACACACAGACAGAGACAGAGAGAGGGAGGGAGACACACACAGACAGAGACAGAGACACACAGATAGAGACAGAGACAGATAGAGACAGAGACACACAGACAGAGACAGAGAGAGACACACAGATAGAGACAGACAGAGACACACAGATAGAGACAGATAGAGACAGAGAGAGAGACAGAGACACAGAGACAGATAGAGACAGAGACAGATAGAGACAGAGACATACAGACAGAGACAAATAGAGACAGAGAGAGACACACAGACAGAGACAGATAGAGACAGAGACAGACAGAGACACACAGACAGAGACAGACAGAGACACACAGATAGAGACAGATAGAGACAGAGAGAGAGACAGAGACAGAGACAGAGAGACAGAGACATACAGACAGAGACAAATAGAGACAGAGAGAGAGACAGAGACACACAGAGTCAGAGAGAGACACACAGACAGAGACAGATAGAGACAGAGAGAGAGACAGAGACACACAGACAGAGAGAGACAGAGACACACAGACAGAGACAGACAGAGACATACAGACAGAGACAGATAGAGAGAGAGAGAGACACACAGACAGAGACAGAGACAAGACAGAGGCAGACAGAGACACACAGACAAAGACAGATACAGACAGAGAGAGAGACAAGACACGGACAGAGACAGACAGACAGAGACACACAGACAGAGACAGACAGACAGAAAGAGAGACAAGACACGGACAGAGACAGATAGAGACAGATACAGACAGACAGAGACAAAGATAGATGGAGACAGATAGAGACAGAGACAGGCATAAACACATACAGACAGAGACACTCAGACAGAGACAGATAGAGACAAGACAGAGAGAGACAGAGACTCAGACAAGATACAGAGACAGATACAGACACCGGCAGAGACAGACACAGACAAGATACAGAGACAGAAAGAGACAGACAGAGACAGATAGAGACAGAGACAAGACACAGATAGAGACAGACAGGGACAGATACACACAGACAGAAACAGAGACAGATGGAGACACACAGACAGACACAGATAGAGACAGAGACAGACACAGATAGAGACAGAGACAGACAGAGAAACAGACGGACAGAGACACACAGACAGAGACAAGATACAGATACAGAGACAGACAGAAACAGATGGAGACAGAGACACATACACACACAGACAGAGACAGACAGATACAGACACAGGCAGACAGCCACAGATACAGACAGACAGTGATACAGACACTGACACAGACACAGACAGACAAGACAATATTCCCTCCCATTCTCATTCAACACAACTTCTGATCCTGATGTTTGAGATGAATTTGACGCGTTGAAAGTTCTGAATATTCCTTTGTGTCCGAGCAGAGACACGGCCAACGCAGTGAAGGCGGATGTGGACGATCAGGTGACAGAGCTGAGATCCGTGGAACAGTCCCTGTCCGACATAGAAGACAAGCTGGACCAAAGCTCGGACCTCGTGAATTCCCTCAGCGACTACATCTCCAAGGTTTGTATATGTCCATTATGGCCCATCCTGATCCAACGTGGGTTCTCTGATCTGATCCTGGCTCGGTTCAGGTGGAGCAACAGCTGAGTCCGGCAGAGAAGGCTTTGAACGACACCTCGGAAGTTCTGAAGCCCGTGAAACCCAACCTGGAAGAGCTCAAACGTCTGCTGGATGAAGCCAAACGGCAAACTCTGGACGTTCAGGACAAGGCGGACGATGCTGAGGAGGAGGCGGCCATAACAGCTGAGGTGGGGATCATTCTGGAGATGGACATTAATCGGATTATTTTAGTCATTTTTTTGTGTATTTTAGTCATTTCAGTAGAATCCATACACTCTCCTTGCTTTATGTAATCCTTTCGTACTTACACTCATGCAAATATTCACTGAAAATACTGGCATCGTTTTTTTTAGCTGAAATGTAGTTTGTGAAGCCAATAATTCCCTTTGGCTGGCGTGTCCACAATTTGATACAGAAATCAGACAAAAAGATTCTCCAAGTTTAACATCTGCATTTAATTATCTTTACAATCAGATACAGAATATTCAAACAAAAGAGAGCTCCTAAACTATGCTATGCTGTCCCTCTCTTCTTACCCTGCGCTAACCTCCCCCCAGAACTCAAACCAACAGTTTTATCAAGACGTCTGATGACGTCACTTGTGGGCGTCTCCCGAATGTTCATTTCGGGTGTGCTGACGTCCCTTATCCACTGGGGGGCGTCAGAATGCCTGTTGGTGAATCTCCCAGTCTGCCTCAAGATCAGGGACTGAACTTTTGTCCTCGTCAAAATGTTTATTATTTAAAGTTAATAATTCGCCCTGTTTAAACAGCATTTTATCTTTATGACTCATGTCTGATTATCCTGTGTCCTTGGGGTTTTTCCTGAGTGCACAGAGGTCTTTCTGGCTATGATGTTCAAATGATCAAATATTAAAATATACAACAGTTCCCCTCTGTTGACCTATATTAAACCAATTTAGGTCACAATCTTTCAATATTCCTTCTGGGTGCCGAGACTGGGGAGCTCGTCCATCATCGCCTTGGTTCTTGGTTCTGGCTCGTTATCTGTGAAGAGTTAATACAGAAAGACAAACAACACACAACCACATTCGAAACATTCCTTCACTAAACTCTTTGATGACCACTGCTGTCATTCTGATTCTTCTTCAACCTCGTCTGTAATGTATGCACTAAAACTATCCACTATAGTTTAAACTATTCTAATCTATTTACAAATATGTTTGCATATTTTGCTTTTATTGAGCCTTATTCTTAAACATATGTTTTTATCTAATAAATCTATCTCATTAGCCTTTTGCATTGTCAACATTCACATATGTTTGAAACAAGTGAATTTGACAGTATCTAATAAAACTGTGCATAAACTGGGATGAACTTTATCTACCTTTGAAGTAAATACTTTTAGACATAATATGAAGGAAATGGTCCTTTTACCGTTTGATATTAGCCTTGGCTAAAAATAATCTCCATTTTGAAAGCATCTATCTATTTTACACTCTATTGTGACTCCAAATCTTGGTTGTAGTTTGAGCCAAAGCATATTCCCAATTTTTGAGTTCTGATTGTAACAATTGCATTGGCAATGGACGATTTTTCATTGGCTGGTTCTTGTTCTGCCAATCACTATTCTATGTATTGTATTTCAGACAATTCCAAAAACAACACAGTCGTTCTCCAATATTAAAGACATAAATCTAAATCAAGTTGCCTGAAAGGGATTTTAACTATTTTAAAACTTTCTCTACGATTATAAGGCTATGCATTTAATTATTTAATAAACAAAAGCACATTCATGGCTTCTGTCCACTGCCTATAACTGTTTAAAGAGTTGTCCCAAACTTAATATGTGTAAATACATCAGCTGTTTGTAATAAACAATAATATTTAACCTGTTCTCCAATGGAGCAGCTCAGAGGCTGCGTCAAGAGCAATGTTATATTTGAGCTATTTTTAGATTTAAAATTGTGTTAAAGCCTGTCGTTCTATGTCTGCATTTTAATACTACTCTCTATAAACACCTCTGCACTAGTTCCTACAGATGTGGAAAACAGAAACATCTAAAATCTGACTCCATTTGATTCCTTTTTACTTTAGTTATTAGAACAATTTGACCTTATTGATACTTATTTCCACAATAGAACTATTTTGATTATTCACTAGTCTAACTATTATTACTATTGTTTATTCTGACACCTCTTCCTAGCGACCTTTCAACCTATAGCTCCTCGAATCCAATGACATTATAGCTCCAGACTATTTCATTCTATTCTATTATTGTATGATCTATTATCTTAAAGAGTAGATCTGTTTGATGTTATAAGCGCTATTATTTCTCCTTTTGAATTTGCACAACACTAAATTTAGAATGACCCCCTATGGGACAAATATAGAATTTTATTCCATTTTGGCAACTCCGAAAATTACTTAATAATTTTCCCATTTTGCTTTTTTAGGCTGCCCTTTCTATAGAAGGTTAAGGACCATGACCACCTATGACAATAACATTACTATACTCCCCTCTGTTGGTCATGGGCCAAAGTATAAAACATGCATCTGTGTGTGTGTAGATTACTGTTCCAATCATTCTCCAGTTGTTCCTCCCGGATCGTCCTCAATTCATATTGTGGGCTTTGGTGCCAAAGTAGAGGCTCATTTCCTCATGATCCATACTACTGTCATCCCTGAAGCAGGTGCAGTTCATCTTTCATCTGAAAAACAAACATTAGAACACAAGAAACGCCCACTTCCCTCTCTTCGCATGGTGCGGCCTGTCAATCTTTTCCAATTGGGCAAAACATAACTGCATTGACAGACGGTCGTGTGACATCAGGGCAGAGGCTGTAGCCAAATACAGACTTAACAATATGTATGTTTCTAATTTTATACTCCCCTAAATGTGAGTTACAAACCAAAGTTGTCCTCCGCCCAATGACCGCTCACTGCGGTTGGACCGAATCACTGTCCGGGCAAACAGCAGAGGGAGGGGCTCCCAGTACCTTCAGCGAGGTATTTCATCTCAGAGTACTTTCTCAGAGTACTCATCCCAGAGTACTCTCACTTTTACACCTGTTCAATAAAGCTTGTCATCTTTGAATCTCTAGTACTTACACCGTATGCTGTTGACAAAAATAATTATTCCATGATCACATTAAAACATTACAGAAAACTTTTGTTATTCCATTCTCCGTTCAGCACTCCTCATTTCACTCCACACTCACATCACACTCGCATCACACACGCATCACTCACACAGGCCGACTCCCCACGTTAGTATATTGGTCCAGTTTGTTAAGGTCAACGTAGTGTACTTGACATGACGCACAAACATATAACATACACAAACATATAACACACACAAACATATAACACAGGAGGCCTGTAATTTTAACTTTGTTATATTTTTCCATGTCCAATTACAATTGTCTCATGAGCTATTTCTGTTGTTGCAACTTTCAGAGCCTGCAGAACATGCAGAGCTTTAAGAGGTTTTTCCTAAAAGGATCCATTTCAAACTTTAGTGTTTACCACGTGGTCTTTACTCGGGCTTATCACAGATTGTGTCCCCTATATTTTTAATGAGCTCTTGTTACTTAAAAAAAAAACTTGTGCACGTGCAATAAATGTTTTTCCCTTTTTTTTTTAAAAGCCAGTTCGGATTCCTTAAAAATGTAAATTAGTTTCAAACTTTAATACTTCACCTTTGTTTCACGTTCATGTGGAGAAAAGGCCATTGTCCTACTGTATGTGTGTTGTCGTACTTGCACCAATCATGTCTCAAATAAACTTCCAACAGTTATATTAAAGACATGACTGTCCTAATTGTTTCTAATTTAGCTATTTGGAAGAGAAACATGTCATAAAAGATTTCCTAAAATGTCCCTACATCCGTGTTTTCAACCAATGAACAGTGTTGCGTCAATGTGTTATCAGATATGATCTAATATCACCTTTAGCCAAAATTTAGAAATACTCTATATTATTTTTCAGACCTTTTTTTTTTTTTTTTTTTTTATTGTCTGAACATCCCACTTTTTGTATTAAATGCAACGTCCATTAAAAGCTGCAGTTCTCTTTCTAGCACCAGTTTCAACTGTGCATGTGATTGTTCGTAAATGAGAAACGAGCCACGGTTCAGAGGTTGAAAAATTGCCTTAAATATCCGTATTACCAAGATCATGCAGTTAAAATCAATAATTCTAAACTTCTCCGCGTCTATAACTTTAAATAATACTAGTTTCAATAATAGAGCTCATCTACTTTAAATATACTGCTGTTCTAATCTCCTTGTGTCTCATGCTAAAGCAAGAGTCTAATTAATTTTAACGATTGTCCTGTATTCTTTCATGCAGCTAAATGTGGTGTTATGAACGAATGACCTAAATGTGTAAATATGACTTAATATGTCTCTGTGCGTTTGTTGCCTGTCTGTATATTTACCTTCTGTGTGTCTCATTTAGGCCAGCCACGTCCTCCTCAAACGTCCGTTAATGTCTCTTTCTTTTACTCATGGCGTCTTTCAATGTCTTTTGTCTCAAAGTGTCCAATGTCTTTGTTTCAATGTCTTTTTTCTTCTTCTTTAAACAATCACTTTCTTTCTTCTTCTTTCAATAATCACTTTCTTTCTTCTTCTTTCAATCACTTTCTTCTCCTTGCAATGTCTTTTTCTTTTCAATCATTTTTTTGACGCACACCAGTGTGTGTCCTTCTTCTTCTTGTTAGGTTTACACAACGTTCTTCTCCGTGCACATAACTCCACTCGGTTTGTGCAAAAGTCTGGTTTTTCTCCATGAAATGGAGGCCGGAGAGGTCTTCTTCGAGAGTTCCTGTTAGCTGCTGCAGCCGATGCTGCTGTCTTTGGTGCCCCCTGTGGGTGAAACGGGGGAGACGCTGATGGTCCGTGCTGATGGCGCCCGATTGTGGTTTGTGGCAGAGACGATTTTTGGCCCAATGAAACAGACAGAAGTTTTCTCGGAAAAAACAGACAAACAAGAAACACAAACAAGTGTGTTAATTACCATACCAAACCAATGATTAATTACAATTCCAAAATAAACCTATGGAATAATTAATATTAACATTTTAAACATTAGATTCTGAAAACCGAATTCTGCATTCAACTGCTATCCTGAGCCCTATTTTTCCAAAAGTATAATGCTCTCTAAGATCATTCTAACTTTTATATCACCAAAATGTAGGGAAAAAACTTGTCTAGACGCCTTGGAGATAAAAAATAAAACATAAAATAATGCCTCTTTATAATCTAACTCAAAGTTCTGTGATCCTATGACTCCATGTCAGTAACATTATCGTGTGTATAAATGTAATTTTCTACAAGAAAAATTTTCTTCTTCTTTCTTCACGAGAGAGAGAAAGACAGAGAGAGAGAGAGAGAGAGAAAGAGGGAGGGGAGGGGCTGAGTGGCTTCTCGAACAAAGGAACACATGGATGATTGAAATACACCCCTTCTTTGCTACATTTTCCTCGTTTTTATCGTGATATGGTCTTAATCAGTGGTAAAAGTTTTTCTCACGTCAAACGACACTTTACATTTTATCCTTAAATACGTCAGTAATGGAAAACATTACAATTTGCTTACATGACCAATGCATCACTAGGTACAGACGGATCTTTTTTTTTTCGTAATACCTCTGTAACTATTGAAACATTACATCACAATACAAGAGAAAAACTCCCAGACTGATCTTTTGTCATTTCTTCACATGAAAACTCATAGTTACAGCCAAGTGGCTCCCTTTTTTCTCATTAATCAGATCATTATTATCAGAATCCACATTTTAAATACTTGGCTTTTTTCCTGTTTAAATTAATTGTACCCTTTTTTTTCCCGCCCCCCGGGGGATATAGAAGGTTTTATTATCCTATCACTTCTGACCCTAAATCTGTCCCTATTTCTCTAATTCTATTCCTATTTTTTCACTAATATGCTTGTGCCTCTCTGCACGAAGGTGTGCCTCTTTTGCACTTCTAAACCCTGTGGACCTCTCATCCTGTATATTCTTTTTTAGAGCGAGACCAACATCCCTCAAGGTTCAAAAACGTCGAAAAACCTGACTATTGTTCTATCGCGTCCGATAGAACGCCCATCACGGCGGTCTTGTCCACACTGCAATCTGTCGAGCCAAAATCTCTCTCTCTTCTATTTAAAACAATGTGCAGATTTTCAAAACTGTGATCCGCTTACCTTAGAAGCGACCTTTTTGAAGAGCAGAGAGATTTTTCCAAACCCACAAATCCAGTCTCTATAACTGAGCTCATCTTGCGTCTTCTTTCTGTATCAAATCACGTCTCGGGTCACCAAATGAAGCCAATAATTCCCTTTGGCTGGCGTGTCCACAATTTGATACAGAAATCAGACAAAAAGATTCTCCAAGTTTAACATCTGCATTTAATTATCTTTACAATCAGATACAGAATATTCAAACAAAAGAGAGCTCCTAAACTATGCTATGCTGTCCCTCTCTTCTTACCCTGCGCTAACCTCCCCCCAGAACTCAAACCAACAGTTTTATCAAGACGTCTGATGACGTCACTTGTGGGCGTCTCCCGAATGTTCATTTCGGGTGTGCTGACGTCCCTTATCCACTGGGGGGCGTCAGAATGCCTGTTGGTGAATCTCCCAGTCTGCCTCAAGATCAGGTTCTGAACTTTTGTCCTCGTCAAAATGTTTATTATTTAAAGTTAATAATTCGCCCTGTTTAAACAGAATTTTATCTTTATGACTCATGTCTGATTATCCTGTGTCCTTGGGGTTTTTCCTGAGTGCACAGAGGTCTTTCTGGCTATGATGTTCAAATGGTCAAATATTAAAATATACAACATTTGTCACAAGTTCATTTTACTAGTTTTAAGATACTTCATAATTGTATTAGAGGAAAAAGAGCAGTGAGTTTTAAAGATTTTTTTCACGTATTTTTTCTTATTTCCAGACTTTTCTTGTTTAGATAAGATAAGTTTGTGATGCTGTTTAAAAAAAAAAAACATTTCTCAAAAATGTTTTAGAAATGAGTAAATAATACTTTAAATGTATGTTTTTAAACTAGGATCAGATTGTTTTTCTTATTTGAAGCAGTATTTTACTTATTTTCGTAATCTTTTCTTATTTTAATTTTTTTCCAAAATACACAATCAAGCAGCAGCATTAGCCCTGGCTTCACCTTATGTTGAATATTTACAATTTCAATATGTCTTTACTAAATTAATTTGCATTCAAAAAATTCTAATGTGACTTCTGGCGTGACTTCTAAAGAAGTCACGCCATAGACACTGAAGCAGTCGAAGAAAAAAGTCTGAGCAGAGCTTTTCAGCTTGTTTTAGCTTTTTTTGTTTAGAAGAAACAAGATTTTTTTTTTTTTTTGCCAATTGCAGTAAAACCACAAAAACTGTAAATAAGTTTGTTTAAGCTGTATTTTAAGAAATAGTAAATAAATCTTTAAATGTGTATTTCTAAACTAGAATCAAGTCGTTTGGGGCTAGTATTTTGTTAATTATTTTCTGAAATCTTGTCAAGTGAATTTTTTTTTTCTTTTTATCAGATAAATGTATTATTTTAAGCAGTATTTTAATTATTTTCATATATTTTTTTTCTTATTTTTTCCAAGGTGTTTTTTCCACTAAACATAAATATACCATCAAACAACAGTATTTGCCCATTTCACCATATCTTGAATATTTACCATGTCAAAAACTTACAAATTAATTTACAAATACAATTTAAAATACCTCCGCCATAAACGTACTGGAACACTGCAGTTGAAACATTGTGATGCTAAATGTTCTTTTCTATTCCTCTTCCAGGACATGAAGACCCTGGAGAAACAACTTGAGATTCTGAAAACTAAAGCAGCTGACAGTAAACCGGACGGAGACACAGAAAAGTTAGGAGAACGCTTGACAAAACTTCAAGAAGACGCCAAGACTCTCACCAACACCACCAACAGCATGTTCAACGCTCTGGACGGTGAGTCTGAGTCTGTTATCAAAACACATTATGGTCTGTCAGGTTTGTACAGAAGTGGCGTTTTAGGAGTTAAATGTGTATTCTTGGGTTTCACATGACGTCAGGGCAGTGGAATAACAAACGTAGGACAGGACGTGACGTATCCTGGTGCTGGAGTCTGCCGGGTTTATACACGGAGATATAGTAGAAGAAGAAGTGCTGTCAAAATGCCATCTTTTTGTGCGGTGTACGTTTGTAGCAACCGCACAAATAGAGAGACAAGAGTTTGTTCATGTTCCAACTGCGGTCTCATATAAAGGAGGACACTTTGGGCGGCACGGTGGCTGAGTGGATAGCACTCTCAGCAAGAATGTCCTGAGTTCGAATCCCGGTCGGACCAGGGCCTTTCTGAGTGGAGTTTGCATGTTCTCCCCGTGTCTGCGTAGGTTTCCTCCGGGTACTCCGGTTTCCCCTACCACTAAAAACATGTACAATAGGTTTGGCATGTGCCTCCTGTTTGGCGACCCTGCTCCCATCTCTGTGTGGAGTGAGAGACAAATGCCCAAAAAATAACAAATGTAAAGTGCTTTGTGACTCTGGTCTGTGAAAGGCGGTATATAAATAAAGATTACTTACTCACTTTGAAAAAATCACAGGAATGAGGCGGGCGAGGTGGATCAAGGCTTTCCCAGATAAGCGCCCCCTGCAGGCCACCCCAATGAAACGCAGCCATTTCTTCTGTTTTTTTTTTTCCAAAAAAACCCGAAATCAAGACTCTTTTGAGAAATATTTGTTAATACTCCCTTAGAATTGAGTGTCCCCGATTAAGACTGTTCCAACAACCGTACACCGCACAGGAGGAGTGCCTTTGACTCCAAAACAGACTTTACATGGTTTTCAATGGGAGCAGAACTGTCCCACCTCTGCTCATGCGCCCCCTACTGGACTGTTTAATGAAACCCAAGAATAGGAGGATCGTCTACCTCTGGGTGGGTCATCAAGAACGTTTGTCCTCCCAGCTGTTAATCATTCTGGGGATACGTGCTCGTCCAATAAGAGCAGAGAGATTAGTTTAACTCATTGACTGCCAACCAGTTTGGATTATTTCACTGATTTTAAAGACCCACAGAATATTGTGTGCTTTGACTCTACGAATCATGAAACCAATCTAAAAAAATAAGTTGGTTTCTAGCTAGTTTTGTTCTCCAGTAATCTCCAGTCAAATAGAAGTTTGACAGAAATCTCCAGTTTGGGCCCCACACATCAAGGGTGGGGCAGGAAGTAAAACTGGAAACAAGGACAAGAACATGTGATTTCAAACTAAAACACAACGGTACAGGATGTGACTATGATCTATATTCATATGGAAAGGGCTGATGTCTGATGTCTTTTTCCAGGTAAAGCAGAGTCCATCAGGCAGCTCCAAAAGGAGATCCTTGCAAAGTCCAGCACACTGGAGGGCCTGGACGTCAAACTTGGTGACCTTCTTGCTCAACTGCGAAAAAGGGCCAAGGAGCTCCGCAGCTGCCAAGCCTGAGGGCCCTCTGCACAATTACGTTAATATACACTGCAAAGAATGTCCTTGTAGAAAAACGGTAAATAGCGGCAAATATGGTTCCAGGAATTTACCGTTTTCTCAACATGGCGTGACCGTTGCTAATTTTAACGGTTAAAGACTGTTTCACTGAATCACATTATGACTTTGTGATTTCAGGATTTAACTGTATGTTCCTGTTCATTCACAACAACAAAAACAGCTTTATAATGTTAACTTTTTATTATTACCATTTGACTGTTTCTGTTTCTAATTAGTTTCATTGAACAAAAAACTACGCAGTTTAAATTGTTTTACTTTAAAGAACACAACTTTTCAATTATTTTTTAACATCTTCAGTTTATACAAGAAAGTAGTAAAAATCTTTACTTCTATAACATGCTTAATGCAAAAGGATCATTTTAACTAAAGCAGGAGGTTACATGTTTAAGAGGTTCCTTTTACACTCATGTTGCTCGCTGGGTTTGTTAAATTACGGTAATAATACCATAAAATCACATGTGATTATTAATCACATGTGATGTTATGGTATCGTAACGTTTTATTGTAATCACATCATAATTGTGGTAATAAAACGCCACTGGAGGTTTTTTAACCAATTTATACTTAAATTTGCATGTTTGTTCAAAATAACATTTGTTTAATGTTGAAATGTCATTGTAATTTTTCAGAAATGTGTTACAGTGCATACAGTCTATGACATTTACCCACAGAATCTCACACAGGGATGGAGTTCAAATAGTCACTTTATTTATACCTTTTCAAGAAAACTTTTTTTTTTTTTTTTTTTTTTTTATCAACGTAGATTGTCGAATTTTCAACGTACAAATGTCCTTTTTTATAGCGAGTGTATTTTTACTGTATCAGAAAACAGGTAAATGTGTGCATTGCGGTCACAGACAGTGAATGGAGACAGTGGAACAGACATCACCAGAGCACGGGTTTCTTTACAGCATGTGGCACTTGTGAGCAGCAGTAATGAAGAGGTAACGCATAACATAACAAGTATTACAACATTGTCTTTACATGAAAGTATTTCTGTTTAATAAAATATATTTATTTTTCATGACTGTAGCAGGATTCATACTTTCATTACGAGCGGTGAACTGTGTGCTTAGAAAATCTGGGGAAGAAAGGGTTTAAGTGAGTCATTATCAAGGGAATGACAACAGTAAATAACATTAATCCATATTATATACTACACACCCACATACTGCTTACCTCAGAGTTAATGCATTGTTTGTAGATGGAGGGTTACATCACTGAACACACTCCAGACGGTGCACCAAGGTCTTTCCTACAACACGCACAAAAAATGTGATTAAAAACGCATATAAAAGCATCATACTGTCTTAAAAGCTAATTCAGAATCCTTTTTTTGCCTTGTGAGTAACAGGAAGTTAAAACTAGGAAATTGGTTTGGTTCTCGGTGCAAATAAGTTAAATCATAACCATATAAGGCATATATTTAAAAAAAAAAAAAAAAAAAATCAACATAAATAAGATTTTTTTTATCCATCGGCCCCATTTCCGGGTCGGAGGGTGACTGTCAGAGAAGAACGGCTGCTCTAGTCTGAGCTGCCTGGATCTTTGCCTGAAGCGGGGGCTTCAGGCAACGTGGGGTTAAGTGTCTTCCCCGAGGACACAACGACAGCAGTCATCAGCGGGAGTCGTTCAGTATAGGTCTCGTGGTGGGCATCAAACCCACAACCTTCACGCTCAAAGGCCAGTGCTTTACCGACTGAGCCGCTGTCGCCCCAGAATTATACATTCACGTCAAATTTATTTTTCAGACACAATTGTTAAACGCTTCCGTTAAATGGCCAGTGATTATATAAAACATACAAATGAATCAGAAAGTGTTGTATTCTGACAAGTCACCACTAGAGGCTGCTGTGGGATTTTAAACGGATCACAGGTCAGTCTTAGAAAAACAATTATAGCTTCGTAATAATAAAAAATGTAAAAATTGCTACAGTTATTTTCCTGTCGCCCAGTTTTAAGATTAAGAGATTCTTTATTAGTCCCACAGTGGGGAAATTTCAGTGTTGCATCACAAGTTATAGAACAGTAGGAATGAGGAGAACACGGCACAAGATAAGTGAACAATAGCTGTACTGGTTAAAAAAAATCTCTAAGTCAACCCTTTAAAGAACAAGTATAACATCTCGATCTTGAAAATAATAATAACAATAATAATAATAATAATAACAATAATAATGATAATAATAATAAAGAAGAATGAAGTTTTACATTTGGCAAAATAAGAGTCCAGTATCAGACCCAGGCCGGCGCTCACCTGTGGGTTTCTTGGAGGCAGGTGTCACTCTCAGAATAACAGCAGCGGATCTCACGGGACACTTCAGGGGACGGGCCTTGTCTGGGCTCGCTGTGGGTGGGTCTGAGGGGGGGGCACAGGCTCCTGCTGGTCTCACTGCTGGAGGTGGGATCCGTGACCAGGTTTCCATTTGGGTCGACCACCACAGGGAGGGGGTTCTGGGAGGAGTTCTGGGAGGGGTTCTGGACCGTGATCAGCGGTGGGGAGAGGTCTTCAGCTGAGGATTTGCTGTGGGATAACTGCAGCTTCTTCATCTGGTGGATGGCGGAGGCCGCGTTGTAAGCTCGCTACCAACGACAAGACAAACGGGATGAGAAGGATTCATGGTTTCACACTGGTCCAGACCAGAGCAGAGAGGATTCATGGTCTGAACCAAGTGGATCAGGTGAAAATCAACTGGAGGAATGCTAACTTTATGAAAAATGCTAATGAAGCATTTATCATTTTACTTTGGACCAGAGCAGAGAAAAGGGTCTGAACCAAGCTCCTCCTCTGCTGCTGTGACCTGAAGGACTGATGTTATTATTACTATTGTTAGCTTTTTAGAATGATCAATTTTATTTTATTTTTTTGCTGCTGCTGGACACTTGAATTTCTCTAATGGGGATCAATAAAATGTCTATCTATCTATCTACAGTATCTACTGTATCTATCTATCTATATCTATACTCATTTCATCATCATTTCTAACAGGGGAGTCGCTCTTGAGTCCTATTCTCACAGGATTAGAATGACCTGTGGACCTCTGGACATTTGTGATAATGCGGAGGACGTCTGAGATCTTAGAAATTCTCATATCTCTGAACCACTGTTATTAGAATCATCAGAATCAGAATCATTTTTATTGCCACGTAACAGGAGGTCACAGACTTGGAAATTGCTAAGGAAGTAGTTAAGGAAGTATTGGAAAAAAGCAGGGTTTTGACAGATTAGGGCCCTTTAATGAAGACAGATTAGGGCCCTTTAATGATGAGATTAGGGCCCTTTAATGATGACAGATAAGGGCCCTTTAATGAAGACAGATTAGGGCCCTTTAATGATGACAGATTAGGGCCCTTTAATGATGACTTGACATGAAAATCTTACACATTGCTACTTTAAATTAGCGAGTTGTTTCAGCCAATCCAAAAAGTGTTTGTTTGCCATATACACTGTAAAAAAGTGTTGCTTAAATCAGAAGAGGTTCCATGGGCCTTTTGTGTACTGTCCACTTCAGCTCTTTATTAAGTAATAAAAATATGTGCTTTAGTTTGACAGAATGCCTAAAACTATTACCCTGTTGCAATGCATTCTGGGTAGCGTGAAATACATTTTGTTTTTGATCAACACATTACACTAGTGTTTGTCATTAATGGAACACTACGCTTACAAAATAAATACTTAAATGTATCTCACATTAAATAAAAAAAAAAATGAAATATATAGTAATATACTGGGGCGACAGTAGCTCAGTTGGTAGAGCATTGGCCTTTGGGCCCAAAGGTCGTGGGTTCGAGCCCACCACGGGACCTTCTCCACCGACTCCCACTGATGCCTGCTGTTGTTGTGTCCTTGGGCAAGACACTTAACCCACTTAGCCTATAAGGAGCGCGGATATGATGTTCGCTGCATGCCTTGATGTGTATATATGTATGTACTATATGTGTATGCATCAAACTGAAATTTCCCCATTGTGGGACGAATAAAGGACCTTCTTCTTCTTCTTCTTCTAACATCAAAGTCTGGCCTGCTGCACTTTTTACAGTGTAGTTACTCACTTTCCATTTCGATTTGGCAAAGTTCCTCTCCATTTGTTCGCAGACGGAGTGATAAATGTCGTGGTCTTTTGCCGTATCTCCAGCGATCCTGCAGAGAGCGTGAAAAATGGCGTCCACTCCGTTATAATCTGTCATAATTAAGTATTTATGTAGATTAATTGAGGTATAGCAGGCTCACCATGGGTGCCTGAGGGCCTCGTCGGTGCTTAGACGCTTCTCTGGGCTCTTCTCCATCATTTTCTTGATGAAATCTTTGGCTGCACAGATTGTTTGATGTTAACAAAGAAACGTAATGTGATGACAAAGATTTTCAAAGTCCAGAATGAACGTTATTATCAAAACTAATGAAAAGTACGGCTCAGGTTCAGTCCTCTCTGTGGGGACCATGACCACAAGATATCACCTGTACTAATAATCACTACTGTATGTATTTACACGTTTAATCAAACCGTTTTAAATGTGTGTTTGGCTTGAAACCGTTGTGTTAATTAATTATAGAGCTAAACATTTGGATTTTTAAAACTCTTCAGGGGAAAATGTATGAAAATTGCAATTATCAAACAATGTTAACCAATAATGTCTGGTTTAAGTGAATAACTCGGTGTGTGTTTCTGAAAAAAAACTAAATCTAGGTATAGATGTATTTACTAAAAAAAGTAAAAATACATTAACAATGATGATAATGATAATAATAATAATAATAATGCAAAGTAATTATATAAAATGAGTACGTTTTTGTTGCTTGAAGGTATTTTGTTATAAGATTATTTTACTAATATAATAAAACTTATAAGTGTGAGCAGTGAGTTTTTATACTTATTTAAATTATTGTTTGTTATTTCCAGACTGTTCATGTTGTTTATATAACATAAGTTTGTGATGCCGTATTTTAAGCAAGAAATAAGTAAATGATTCTTGAAATGTGTTTTTAAACTCGACTCAAGTCAGAAATCTTGTCCAGACATAACTTCGTGTTCTATTGTTCAGATTTCTTATTTAAAGCAGTATTTTTTTATTTTCATACTTTATTTACCACAACACACTGCATTCAAAAAACAATAATAATAAAATAATAATAGGACATGTAAATATTTATTATGTTTGGTATTGCCTTTAATACTTTTAATTAACTGTGCTATACAAAAAAACATGCCAACTTTGACTCATACTTGTCCTGGAAGAATGTTTTGAGCGTTTAGTAAATAATATAAAAGTATATAAACTCTGTGGTGATATTTGTGTATATTTGAAAGGGGTCACAGGTTGTTTAGTTTTTGTTTTGAGGTTAGCGTCATACTTTGAACATGTCCCTAAAAAGATTAGCTGTTGGTTTATACCGTCCTAATCCAGAGGTCAAGTCCGTTACGTCAAGACCGTGACGAGAACCTTTAGGTCAAATAATCCCGATGCTATTCTGAGGCTTTGTAGGGCAGACGTTTATCACGGGGCGTCAGTATTTATATATATATATATATATATATATATATTATATATATATATGTAAATACTGCAATTACTTTTATATAAAAAACCTTTCCATTCCATTTTCTTCCGCTTCATCCGTTGCCGGGTCGCGGGGGCAGCAGTCTAAGCAGAGACACCCAGACTTCCCTATCCACACACACTTCCTCCAGCTCGTCCGGGGGGACCCCAAGGCGTTCCCAGGCCAGCTGAGAGACATAGTCCCTCCAGCGTGTCCTGGGTCTGGCCCAGGGCCTCCTCCCCAGGGAGGCGTCACCCCTCCGACCCAGAAATGGATCAAGGGGAAGAAGATGGGGATGGATGTATCTGTCAATCTCTCCTTTTGATTTTATCCACACTTTCTCTTTGACCCATCTGTGTTTGAAATCCTGACTGTAATTTTAGTTTTTGAGTTATAACCTTTTAAAATCCTGATACTTTAATAACCTCTTTACTGTGAACACACTCATAAACACATAAAGCTTGTAATATGTCGGGGTAAAGTTTAATTAAACGACATTCTCAAAGTGAACTATTGTCTAACATTTGCGTGAGTGGGTGAATAAAGTAGTACCTGATTCTGAGATGTCGTCCCAAAACGGAGAATGAAACGCATACTCCGCTCTCATGATCTTTGAGAACAACCGTGTTTCATTGTCTTCGAAGAATGGAGGATAACCGCACAATCTGCAGAACAAAGCTCCAGAGTTACTTTACAGAACCAAAGAATACATGTTTTTATTGTCAATTTTGTATCCAAACTAACATCTTACAGGATATATGTGATGACTCCAATAGACCAACAGTCCACTGCTTTGCTGTACGGCTTCTGCGCCAACACCTCTGGAGCTGAAACAAAAGATGACAATAAAATAGAGAATAATAAATGCAAAATCAATGTATTCCTTAAAAAATAACATAAACCCAGGACTGTGCTGTGTCTTGTGTAATGTGTAATAATAAAAGTATTGTCCAACTTTTATTATCCTTTATACATCTGTCACTTTGTAAAATCATACGACTGATTGTTCATCGATAATCTGCTCTGTCAAATGTCTTCTGTAAATAAGAAATGTTTATTTATACAGCGCAATTAACGACCGAGGTCACTCAAAGCGCTTTACAATTGTTCAGAAATCAGATATTGTTGCAATCAAACCACACACGGTGATGTCCAAAGTGAGACCCCGAACACACAGGTCCATCAAAGCCTCCGACCAAACACCATCCATTCACTCTCTCACTTACATTCAGACCTATTGTGCATGTTTTTAGTGGTAAGAGAAACTGGAGCACCCGGAGGAAACCTACGCACGGTGAGAACATGCAAACTCCACTCAGAAAGGTCATGTTGCGACCGGGAACTCAATACTTTGTTGCTGAGAAGCGAGAGTGCTAACCACTCAGCCACCAAGCCGCCCAATTGTGCGTAGTTATATATTAGAAGTTCATTGGGGGTTTGCATACCTTCATGTCTGTTTTTACGTTTTATAAATTGTTTGCACCATTTACAAAAGCAAATTCCTAGTTTTTGACTTCCTGTTACATACAAAGGCAATAAAAATAATTCTGATTCACAGTCAAATGCAAACTTTAGTCAGGGCCTGGTTAGTAATAATAACAATAACATAATAATAATAATAATGCATTGGTTTTATACAGCGCTGTTTTGGACACTCAAAGACGCTTCATATGTCATTATTCATTCTCTCCAAACACGGTGGTGATAAACTACTACTGTAGCCACAACCGCCCTGGGGCATACTGACAGAAGCGAGGCAACCTGTCTGTGCCACCGGCCCCTCCCACCACCACCAACCATTCACACACACACCAGGCTAGTGCTGTGATGATGGAAGAACCCCCACAGTCCCAAATATTTCCACAACCATGAGTAAAAGCAGCACTCACCGACATATCCCGGAGTGCCGCAGGCCGTGGACATGACTCCGTGGTCCAGGGTCTTGGACAGTCCAAAGTCACTGACCATGATCTTGGAGTTTTCATCAGCGTTGTAGTAGAGCAGGTTTTCTGGCTGCGCACACAAACGAATGGAATGATGTAAAAACACACGGTACAACAGAAGAGCATGGATTTCTTTATGGCAGAGGTGTCAAACTCATTTTGGTCGGGGGCCAATTTTAAAAACACAGAAGCTGTTTGGGGCCAAATGCATAAAGGTGGTTGATTTTTTTGTTTCTTTCATAACTTTGTCTTTTCAGAATCAGGGCGACAGTGGCTCAGTTGGTAGAGCATTGGCGTTTGGGCCTGAAGGTTGTGTGTTCGAGTTCACCACAAGACCTGCTTAACGACTCCCACTGATGTCTGCTGTCGTTGTGTCCTTGTGCAAGACACTTAACCCCACTTTGTCTGAAGCCCCCGCTGAAAGATCTCAGCACCTGCAGGAGGATCAGTGAGGGGCTGGTGCTCTGTGGACTGGGTGTAGCTCTGACTGCCACCCCCCCAGCCCAGAAATGGATTAAGGGGAAGAAAATGGATGGAGAATCAGACTCTGCTTTGACAAATGTGTTGAATCTGACATGAGTTTGGATATTATTTTCTCATGTTTGGATTCAACCAGAACTGAGCCAAATATTAAGGAGATATGTACTGTAAGATTGTTAGTATAAGAGTACAAGTATACAATTGATTATAATAGTTAAGAATCTATTAGTTCTAATTACATGTTTCCTTAGATAATAGGCTGTAAAATGAACTTACAGGGGCCACAATGAATATTCTTGCGGGCTGGATTTTGAGTTTGACGTGCCTGCTTTAAGGAATCAGGCTTACCTTGAGGTCCCGGTGCACGATGCTGTTTTGGTGCAGGTAGCTGACAGCCTGCAGGACCTGTTTGACTACGAAGCTGGCGTCCTTCTCAGTGTACACCCCTCTGTCTACAATCCTATCAAACAGTTCTCCTCCTGACACCCTGGAAAACACGTGGGTCACATTAAAACATTGGAAAGCAGTGGATTTTGGTTCAATACTTCAATCTCTGCCTCTTCCTTCGAAGGATTACAGCAGATTGAGGTGATCTACCATTTAATCTACCAACAGCGGATCAGGCTTATCAATGCAACCGTATTCATTTTTCCTCAGTGTTAGCTTAGCAAACCTATGCATATATAAACATGTAAGCGTATAATATATTGATATAATTTACGGCCGTTTCATATTCGGTCTCCTGCATGTGTTGAACCTGCTGTATCTGTAGTCTCTTTGTTGTAAATTATACAACCTAAACAAGCCCCGGATACTCACAGTTGCATAACGAGGTAATAGTACGTCCGACTCTCGTAAAAATCCTCCAGACCAATAACGTTGTCATGTTTTATCCTAAAAAGTGACAGTGAGACATCAGAACAACTGACTGAACGACTGTAAAACAACATTGTAAAGATGGAAAAGTTTACCTTCTCAACACATTGATTTCGTTTTCTAGGTTGCTGTGAGCTAAGTGCTTCTTTCGGAGACATTTGAGGGCGAACAGTTTCCCGGTGGCTTTTTCTCTGACCATGTAGACCTCGGAAAAAGACCCTCTGTGAACATAAAAGACAGTTTTTAATCACCTCAGAACCTCAGTGAGAGAGCCTTTGTCATTACTGAGTTTAAACAGCTCAAATGATTCACACACTGTAAACCCTGACAAGTAAAGTTTACTTGAAAAAACCTTGGAAATAAATTGCATATTAACTTCACTTGAATTCCTCGAGTACATATTTTACTTGATAGTGCCAAGTAAACTCAGGTAATTGCGATGAAGATTAAATTTCAACTCATGTTTGAACCGGGATTCGTACTCACAACCTTATAATTTAGAGGCGATGGTGCTACCCACTCAGCCACCGGGCCACCCTGTCATTGACACACCTGTCTCATTTAAGACGTCAAAATGTCAAAAGTGAGGCTTACTTGAACAGAGACAGTTCAATTCAAAGAAAACCCTGAGTGATATATAGGCAAGTTTTAAATAAACTAACAATAAATGAGTAAGTTCACTTACTGGGAAAAATCTGTTTAAAATAGCTTTGATATCTGAAGTGAGATTGAAGTGAGGGTTTACAGTGACCTGTCTTTGCCACATGCTTCATCACAAACAGCACCTGCAGAGGAATGAACCCACTCTAATCCAATAATGAAGTGGTGTCAGGATGTTCCCGCTCTGCTCTGACGTCAGCTCAGGCACAGCTCATTCACAGGAACTAAAGCTGCTCTCTGCCCTTGCTCTCCAGAAGGTCCACTGCAGTGATATACTTCTGCTTTTATTGTTATTCTGTGACGGGGAAAGTGTGTATACTTTTGAAAATTGTCCAACTTCTGGGTGTAGAGTGTTGTGAACAAATATTCAGCCTGTTTAGATGACCATAGATGTAATTATTTCATTTAAAAAACAAATTAAAGATGACGTTTTGCAAATAATTCTTGCTTTTTAAGGATCTTCGTTCAAGTCTCTCACTTTTTCTCAATGAGTGAGGCTTTGATCAGAGAATGTGAGTCTGGGATTATCGCTGGAAGTCTGGCTTTGATCCAATCACCATTAAAGTTTTCAAGGCATTTACCTAATACCTAATAAATATCTTAAAACACTGTATTACTGGATTTTACACTTCATGAAGCAGTCAGGGTTAGGGTTAGCACTTTCAAGCACATGTTGAGTCCAATATCAACCTTTTCTAAAAACTAAATCTCAAACGAGTAGAACTCACGATCCCATTTTGGCTTTGAAGTCAAACACATCCTTGATGTTGTCGATGCTTTTCTTCCAGCTGCAGATGATTTCTTTCCGTCCCATTTCGGCTCTGATGGTACAGCAGACTCCTCCTGAAATAAATAAAACAATAATAAACAAAAAGATGGGATACAAAAGTTATGATGATGTTGATCAACTAAAATGTAACAGTCCAATAATGTGGACAATATAATGTGTCGGTTAAACATTGTCTCTATTGTTATGAACCTTCATGAAATATGCTGCACTTCAAAGCTTATGAAAATATAAATCTGGGATCAGGAAGGAAGTGTAAATGCAGTTGTTTTGAGGCTGACTCGTCTCCGACATGTCTCTGATGAAACTACTTCACACTTGTCTCATTGTTAAACACCTCTGTGCCGTGTTTGTGCTAGGGTCATCTTCTTCCCACTCCTTTTTGAGCCTAGATATACATTATTTGTTTTGTTCTGTCCTTCATGTGTTGCCCATGTGTGTGTACAGTGACTTCTGTATCATACTGAACTTCTGTTATCATTTTGTTCTGTTTGGCTCAAAATAAAGTATTCAATCAATCAATCATGTGGGATGTAAACAGATAAAATCCATCACATCATTCAACAGGTGAGAGAAGGCTTATGCTCCGTTATGTAAAGCAGTCCTGCCACAGTCACTTACACAAGACACGGGACAGCAGTGATTAGGCAGATAACAGCAGATAAACAGCAGATAAACAGCAGCAGAGACTTAATCGCACCTCATTCAGACACAGATTATAAACTGTTCTTTCAAAACATCTAAAAAAAACCAAAACATTGTTCACATAAAAAGGAAGTACATTTTAGACGCCTACAAATAAGAGCATAAATAAAGTACAGACATTTTGCAAAACAATTATATCATTTTACTGGAATTCAATCTGTAGTTTTGTTTTATGGATTGCAAAAAAACCAACAAAACAAAACCAACACATTCAATGCAAAAAACAAAAATAGTTACATGTGATTCATTGTTGTTGTAAATATGTAATTTTCCGTTTCTTTAGCCGTTAGAATTGATAAAATCCTCAGTCTATGGAGTAATATAATTCACAAGCTTGTGTGTGGAGAATGATAATGACGATAATGGTGTGAGAGGCCTACCTGGGAGCGGTGGGGTCCGGCTGGGTTGAGGTTTTTCCACAAACCTGATCACTTGGAACGTGTTGTTTGCTGAAGAGATGGAGAGGAGGAGCAACGCCACCGCATGACACTCCCTGTTCTAAATACACACAAGCTCAACATGTGAGGACAGCCCGTTATTGTGATAGATCCATCTGCTGTTTTCTTATCACTTGCATTGACAGATTTCATCAACATCTCATATTGACATTAATTTATAATCATTTTGAATTGGCTGTTTACAATACCGTTTACAATTAAAAGACATTTTATTCTTGTATAGCCGTAAATCCCAACAGCATCATCTCAGAGACTTAACAAAACCATTGAAATCACCAACACAGATCAGAGAATCAACAGTCAATCATCAAACAGTTAAAACACAAAACATATAGAACACATGTTGATAAATGTCACACATGTTGATAAATGTCATACATGTTGATGAATGTCATACATGTTGATAAATGTCACACATGTTGATAAATGTCATACATGTTGATAAATGTCACACATGTTGATAAATGTCACACATGTCGATAAATGTCATACATGTTGATAAAGGTCATACATGTTGATAAATGTCACACATGTTGATAAATGTCATACATGTGATAAATGTCACACATGTCGATAAATGTCACACATGTTGATAAATGTCACACATGTTGATGAATGTCACACATGTTGATAAATGTCATACATGTTGATAAATGTCATACATGTTGATAAATGTCATACATGTTGATAAATGTCACACATGTTGATAAATGTCACACATGTTGATAAATGTCATACATGTTGATAAATGTCATACATGTTGATAAATGTCATACATGTTGATAAATGTCATACATGTTGATAAATGTCACACATGTTGATAAATGTCACACATGTTGATAAATGTCACACATGTTGATAAATGTCACACATGTTGATAAATTTCATACATGTTGATAAATGTCATACATGTTGATAAATGTCACACATGTTGATAAATGTCACACATGTTGATAAATGTCACACATGTTGATAAATGTCATACATGTTGATGAATGTCATACATGTTGATAAATGTCACACATGTTGATAAATGTCATACATGTTGATAAATGTCATACATGTTGATGAATGTCATACATGTTGATAAATGTCACACATGTTGATAAATGTCATACATGTTGATAAATGTCATACATGTTGATAAATGTCATACATGTTGATAAATGTCATACATGTTGATAAATGTCATACATGTGATAAATGTCATACATGTTGATAAATGTCACACATGTTGATAAATGTCATACATGTTGATAAATGTCACACATGTTGATAAATGTCATACATGTTGATAAATGTCATACATGTTGATAAATGTCATACATGTTGATAAATGTCACACATGTTGATAAATGTCACACATGTTGATAAATGTCACACATGTTGATAAATGTCATACATGTTGATAAATGTCATACATGTTGATAAATGTCATACATGTTGATAAATGTCATACATGTTGATAAATGTCACACATGTTGATAAATGTCACACATGTTGATGAATGTCACACATGTTGATAAATGTCACACATGTTGATAAATTTCATACATGTTGATAAATGTCATACATGTTGATAAATGTCACACATGTTGATAAATGTCACACATGTTGATAAATGTCACACATGTTGATAAATGTCATACATGTTGATGAATGTCATACATGTTGATAAATGTCACACATGTTGATAAATGTCATACATGTTGATAAATGTCATACATGTTGATAAATGTCATACATGTTGATAAATGTCATACATGTGATAAATGTCATACATGTTGATAAATGTCACACATGTTGATAAATGTCATACATGTTGATAAATGTCACACATGTCGATAAATGTCATACATGTTGATAAATGTCACACATGTTGATAAATGTCATACATGTGATAAATGTCACACATGTCGATAAATGTCACACATGTTGATAAATGTCACACATGTCGATAAATGTTATACATGTTGTAGAATGTCATACATGTTGATAAATGTCACACATGTTGATAAATGTCATACATGTTGATAAATGTCATACATGTTGATAAATGTCACACATGTTGATAAATGTCACACATGTTGATAAATGTCATACATGTTGATGAATGTCATACATGTTGATAAATGTCACACATGTTGATAAATGTCACACATGTCGATAAATGTTATACATGTTGATGAATGTCATACATGTTGATAAATGTCACACATGTTGATAAATGTCATACATGTTGTAGAATGTCATACATGTTGATAAATGTCATACATGTTGATAAATGTCACACATGTTGATAAATGTCATACATGTTGATAAATGTCACACATGTTGATAAATGTCACACATGTTGATAAATGTCACACATGTTGATAAATGTCATACATGTTGATGAATGTCATACATGTTGATAAATGTCACACATGTTGATAAATGTCATACATGTTGATAAATGTCATACATGTTGATAAATGTCATACATGTGATAAATGTCATACATGTTGATAAATGTCACACATGTTGATAAATGTCATACATGTTGATAAATGTCACACATGTCGATAAATGTCATACATGTTGATAAATGTCACACATGTTGATAAATGTCATACATGTGATAAATGTCACACATGTCGATAAATGTCACACATGTTGATAAATGTCTTAAATGTTGATGAATGTCATACATGTTGATAAATGTCACACATGTTGATAAATGTCACACATGTCGATAAATGTCACACATGTTGATAAATGTCACACATGTTGATAAATGTCATACATGTTGATAAATGTCATACATGTTGATAAATGTCACACATGTTGATAAATGTCACACATGTTGATAAATGTCACACATGTCGATAAATGTTATACATGTTGATGAATGTCATACATGTTGATAAATGTCACACATGTTGATAAATGTCATATATGTTGTAGAATGTCACACATGTTGATAAATGTCATACATGTTGATAAATGTCACACATGTTGATAAATGTCATACATGTTGATAAATGTCATACATGTTGATAAATGTTACACATGTTGATAAATGTCACACATGTTGATAAATGTCATACATGTTGATAAATGTCACACATGTTGATAAATTTCATACATGTGATAAATGTCACACATGTCGATAAATGTCACACATGTTGATAAATGTCTTAAATGTTGATGAATGTCATACATGTTGATAAATGTCACACATGTTGATAAATGTCACACATGTCGATAAATGTCACACATGTTGATAAATGTCACACATGTCGATAAATGTCATACATGTTGATAAATGTCATACATGTTGATAAATGTCATACATGTTGATAAATGTCACACATGTTGATAAATGTCATACATGTGATAAATGTCACACATGTTGATAAATGTCATACATGTTGATGAATGTCATACATGTTGAAAAATGTCACACATGTTGATAAATGTCATACATGTTGATAAATGTCATACATGTTGATAAATGTCATACATGTTGATAAATGTCACACATGTTGATAAATGTCATACATGTGATAAATATCACACATGTTGATAAATGTCTTACATGTTGATAAATGTCATACATGTTGATAAATGTCATACATGTTGATAAATGTCACACATGTTGATAAATGTCATACATGTGATAAATGTCACACATGTTGATAAATGTCATACATGTTGATGAATGTCATACATGTTGAAAAATGTCACACATGTTGATAAATGTCATACATGTTGATAAATGTCTTACATGTTGATAAATGTCATACATGTTGATAAATATCATACATGTGATAAATGTCACACATGTTGATAAATGTCACACATGTTGATAAATGTCATACATGTTGATAAATGTCTTACATGTTGATAAATGTCTTACATGTTGATAAATGTCATACATGTTGATAAATATCATACATGTGATAAATGTCACACATGTTGATACATGTCTTACATGTTGATAAATATCATACATGTGATAAATGTCACACATGTTGATAAATGTCATACATGTTGATAAATATCATACATGTGATAAATGTCACACATGTTGCAGAATTTTAAGTTGTCCTGGATCATCACCACGTTGTATTTATTGGATCACTGGATCATTGTTTTGTTTTTTTAAGTACAGTCAAAATGATGTGATAAACTCCTGTACTATGCACAAAATATGACAAAACGGTTACAATTGTCTCGTCATGTTCATCGCAAACTTACATTCTTCTAAAAAGCAAACTGTGACTATAATGAAGCAGGTAACTTCCTTTTTGACCCAGAAATGGATTAATAAAGGGAAAGAAAATTACACGACATTACATAATAATTCTTTAGTAATTATGTATATATTTGTTTTTTTGTTTGGATGGATGTGTTTCTGATGCTAGTGGACACCTGCATTTCTCTGGGAATCAATAAAGTATCTATCTAGCTATAATAAAACAGAATTTCTCCCTGACACGAGCTCAGATCAGCATTGGCCTGGACCAAACCTTCCACACAGGGCGTGGCCTAAAGCAGATTCTGAGTTGCCTTAGAGTGGACCAAAAGTATTGATTTATTTATTCATTCGAGCAGAAATGTAACAATCAAAAGTATTTACAATATTTACATTCCTGAGTTTACATGACCATTTATACATGTTGCCTTCAGTGTTTGCAGAATATACTTACACATGCAAATATATAAACATAACAATACAATCAAGCAACATCCATCCATCCATCCATCCATCCATTTTCTTCCCCTTAATCCATTTCTGGGTCGGGGGGGGGTGGCAGTCAGAGCTGCACCCAGTACACATAGCACCAGCCCCTCAATCAAGCAACAATCTTTGTATATTATCATCTACAATATCAATATGTATTTACAAATGAATTTTAATTCACAATTCATCTGCTCGAAATGGAGTGGGATTGAAGTAAAAAAGCAGAGAGATTGTTTTAACTTTTTTTTTAAATATTCAACAGGATTTAAGTTGGGGGACAGTAGCTCAGTAGCTCTTTGGAACGAAGAGTCGTGGGTTCGATCCCACCACGACCCATGTCACCTGCTCCCACTGAGGTCTGCTGTCGTTGTGTCCCTGGGCAAGACACTTAACCGCACGTTGCCTGAAGCCCCCGCTGAAAGACCAAGGCCGTCTCGTTGATGACAGAGAAGCCAACTTCCTGTGGACCCACAATCTGCAGAGCATCAGAGGGACTGGTGCTATGAGACTTGGGGAAGCTCTGATGTTGAGTGTCCTGGATCATTACCAGTCCTTTTTGCAGACCCTCCTGCATCGGCAAGGGGAAAAGAAATATGATAGGATTTTAAAATTATATAAATATAGAACGAATTAAAAAAACACAAACACAGGGAAAAAACTAATAATGAGAAAAATACATACAAGATACATACATACAAATAATAATAATGAAGGAAAGAAAGTGTATCGTTATCGCTGGGTATAATAGTGTTCTGCCATTGGCCAAATGAAACAAAGGCGTGGTGACGTAATTACGGTGCCGCGCGACCTCTCGGCGCAGGAAGAATAGTCTGTTTATGAATTGCCGAAACTGACAGGCTTCTCTGTCTTATCATTTATAATTCTTACCCAACAACAAAATGTAGAACCACATATGATACACAGGCATCTGCAGCTACATTGACAGGTTGGGTCGGATTTGTCCTCTGGTTACTTTCCGAAAGCTAGCTAGGGTCATATGATGCTAGCTTCTCGTTAGCATACACAGACAACATTAGCATCGTGGAAGTGGTGTCTGCTACTGACGCGCATTGCAAACCGTTCTAATATACATTCCCATTGTGTTGTTATGTAACTTTGCCACAAACAGGTGCTTTGTGTATCGCCCTAACACTGTGCAGATATAATACGTGCAGCTAATGGCAGGACAGAGGCTAACATGTGAAGCTAGCGGACTGTGCTGCACTGAACTACTCTGAACCTTTGCTTTAGAAACATGGCCCCGCGGTTGCAGTTGGAGAAGGCAGCGTGGCGTTGGGTGGAAAACGTGAGACCAGAGGACATATGCCTTGAGCACGTAGAACTGGCTTACCGTGTCAACCTACCCCCCTGCAAGAGAGGCACCTGCAGGTAGCGCCTTTTTCGCCACTCACTACCACTACATATGTTGTAATGCACTAAAACTACATGTTCTATATACAAACTTTTATATAACTCAAACATCATATCACATACATTGGGGTGATTTTTCAGTTGCTGGACCAAACCTCTGGAACAAGCTGCCCCCTGACCTACTCACAATCACTGACTTTGGCCTTTTTAAATCCAGACTTAAGACATATTTATTCAGACAGTTTCTTTAGTTTCTCATGGTTTTAACTGACTGTTTTATTGTTTGGGAGTATGAATGTTTTTAAAAGATTTTGTGATTTTATTGTAAAGCACTTTGGTCGCCTTGTGTGTTGTAAAGGGCTCTATAAATTAAATTTGAGTGATACATAAATTATGAGACAATACATATAGTATTATGCAGGATGTTTGTATTTATGTATGTGCTAGTATCGTATGGGTGAGCATGTGCATTATTCTGACATCTGTCAACTGATTGACAGAAGGATGTGAAAGGGAAAGGCCCTGATGAGCTTTTCCTTCTAAATATACAAATCTAGTCTAAGTTGTAATATTTCACTCAAATAAATAAGTAAATGAATATCTATTACAATAATCAGATATTAAACAACTTCTCTATCTCAAGGAGAAACTGCAAAGGAAATCCAAACTGTCTTGTTGGTATTGGTGAGCAGGCATGGCTTGGGGATATTGATGAAAATACCTTTCACAATATAGACGACCCAAATGCAGAACGCAGAGTCAAGGTAATTTGCATATTATTTTAGTTAAGTTATTCAGTAGCAGTAATAGAAATGTGATTTTCTTTTTCTCCCTGTTTGTTTCAGAACTCATTTGTTGGTCTCACCAATTTAGGAGCGACATGTTATGTAAATACATTTCTGCAAGTATGGTTCCACAATTTAGAAATGCGAAGAAGTCTTTATCAGTGTCAAAGCTACAAAGAACAGGCCCTCGATGACGAGTCTGGTAAGCTAAACGTGGGGTTAGTTTTAATGTGAATCACTCTCTTTCACTACTCTCTAAAACACTGATTTTCAAATCTGTATTCTTTAGATTATGAGCCTCAGACTATTTGTGAACACCTACAGTATCTGTTCGCACTACTACAGAACAGCAGCCGAAAGTACATTGACCCATCAGGATTGGTGAAAGCATTAGGTTTGGACACTGGGCAGCAACAAGTAAGTGACCTAAATGTAAAAAAGTTAATTTGTCTTCTTTTGTTCAAGGCTTCAATCAATCAATCAAATTTTTATTTGGCTTAGAAGGTTCTTTTAATTAGTTATTTTAATAAAGGTTCTTTTTATATATAATAAGCCGAGTTGTGGTCTCCAAGTGCGAGACAAGGTTTAAGCCCCTTTGTCTCTGTTGATGGTCTGTGTGCCCTTCTTGCTGATTTCAAGAGGCGATTGAAATCAGGAAGCGGGGCACACAGACCAGTGTGGTCAGATCTGTCAGACTGACCGGCAACAACAGCTGATCAGAGACGCGTCACACCGTCACGTGTCGCCTCTGACAAAGGCTACCACCAAAACATGTCAAGTAGTTCTAGCTTTCTTTATTAAAAACATGTACAATAGGTCTGTGCCTCCTGTACTGTCCCCGCTCTCATCTCTGTGTGGAGTCAAAGAAAAATGCCCAAAAATAACAATAGTAAACTGCTTTGTGACTCTGGTCTGTGAAAGGCGGTATATAAATAAAGATTACTTTCTTACATTTTTTTCTTATTAATCTTAATAATAACTTCTGAATTCTTAAGAACTTTTTAAGCCTGTGTGGTCTTACTACTGTCCTGTATGTGCGCGGCAACATTGACATTTCCCCGCTGTGGGATGAATAAAAGATCTATTTTATCTTATCTTAAAGGTAGTCTGTGTAATTTTTACCGTTGCTCCAAATGATAAAACATTTGAACCAATACCAAATGTACCAAACAAATACCCTTTTAAGAATATTTACCGCCACCATGTGTTTGAATTGTTATTGTCATAGACGTATAGAATTACACTCACATGTCCATGAAGCTGAGGACTCTACTGTCAAATGCTCCATCTTGAAATACAGTGGTTGATCAGGGACAAAAAGGAGTTTGAGCGAGAGTTGGGGACCACTGTCAAAGACTGCTTTTTGTCCTGCGAAGCCACCGTAGATTACAATATATGAACTCAATGCTACATGGGAGTAAAAACTACACAGAGAACCACAGTGGGAACAATCAACTGTACATACATAGCAGATACAGATGCACTTTAGGACAGTTTCCCAGTCTGTTCTCCAGTTGGGCATGTAGTACTTCAAGTTTTTACGATATTCCTTAATTTGTCTCACAGTGCGGAAAATTAAATGTCATAGTTGGGCACATTACAGCAGAGAAAGAAGGAAATAAGTGCACTCAGATTGCATACATCAGTCTAATTAAGAATTAAAATAGTAAAATAATACAATGGTAAAATGTAATAAAATTCTATATTCCATTTTACCATTTTAACTTTACTCTTAAGGGAATCTTAAAGGGACATGTAACCGTTTGTATGTGGAGTTTAATCTGATATAATGTCATTTCTAATGTGTTTTTTAGGATGCTCAGGAATTTTCCAAGCTCTTCTTATCTCTTCTTGAGGACACATTATCAAAGCAGAGGAATCCCAGTTTACAGGATGTCATTCAGAAACAGTTCTGTGGACGATTTTCTTATGTTACAGTGTAAGTAAGTTACTCACAAACATAATCATACTATCAGCAAAAACAAAGTCATCTTCAATTGTGATAGATACTGCTTTTTATGCGTATTATATATTATTGTTGTAATATTAACAGTGAATAATATTTAGTGTTGGTATTATTATTGTTGTTTTTTGTTTCAGTTGTAACCAATGTTCCCGATCCTCTGCTCTGTCATCGCGGTTTTATGAATTGGAACTTAACATTCAGGGTCATAAAAACCTCACCGAGTGCATCATGGAGTTTCTAAAGGTTGGTTTTTTCCTGTATATTAAAGTTGGAGATGATTTGAAGCATCGGTCTTTCATGATTCACGTTGTAGGAGGAAAAACTTGATGGGGACAACCGCTATTTCTGTGAGAACTGCCAGAGTAAGCAGAACGCAACCCGGAGAATTCAACTCAATAGTCTGCCTCCCATTCTCAACCTACAACTTATGCGTTTTGTCTTTGACAGGTAAAAAACAAATACCAACGAATATTTTTACAGTGTATTAGTGCTGAAATATAGGCCCTGTTTATTCGGAGGCGCTGCGCAGACGTTTCCAGGCTATTAGCAGAAACGACCAGGCTCCTAATGCAAATTTCACAGCGTTCTTACGAGGATCAAAAACGATGTAGTTCTAGCGCCCGGCCAGTAGGGGGCAGAGGAACTTTACAACATGACACACGCGAGCCCCAGCCCCCCCAGCAGTTTACTCACTTCCTTTGCAGGACGTGAAAGAAAGAATCAACATCATTCTGCATTTTAACAGCAGCTGCGAAAATGAAAACTAAAACTAGAGCTTTGCGTGGTCTCGTTTGGACGAACGAAGGAGTAGAATTATCCTCTGTGCAGCGCTCGACGCACACGTAGCTAGTTAGCATACCCGCCGCCATTGTTGTTTACGTTTGTTCTACTGCGCATGTCCAAATGTACGTGCGGGGAGCAGCGGGAGGTGGGGGTCAGATCAGGCAAAGAATTCACCTTTTTCCCTCACGTGGGTGTGAAAGAGCGCCCCCTGCTGAGCATCTGAGCTGTCCCACTCTGAGGCTGGATCTGAACACTTACATTTTCACCTGAAACACAGTCTCTGTATGAACGGGGGGTAGCAACCGACATCCAACTATAGCGTTTTACTGCTGCAGCGTCTCCGTATAAATGGGGCCATAGTGATATATGTTTATCTTAAGTCTATCTTATTTTATCTTGTTCTGTTATGGGATTCTTCAGGCAAACTGGTCACAAAAAGAAACTTAACACCTACATAAGTTTTCCTGAACAGCTTGACATGGGAGTGTTTTTGGAAGGAAAAGGAGGTTAGGATAATTATTTACATTCTGTATTTATATATTTTTTGAGACGCTGATCATTAATTCTCACTTAATACTCACTCTTTCAGACCAGCATTGCGTTTATGAGCTCAGTGCTGTCCTCATCCATCGCGGGGTCAGTGCATATTCAGGCCATTACATTGCCCAC